ATGAGCAACGGCGGTTGGAAGACAGTGAGGTCGCGGGGCAACCCAACAACCAATCAAAATTGACATAATGACACTCTGTGGGTAATGAGTTGGGATTTCACGTTGCTTTAAACAGTATTCAAGTTATATCACCACGTCAGCTTAATGTGGGAGGAAAGCCCTAAGTGATGCAGGTCTCAGACGTTTACCACTTCGGTGAAACCCACGAGCAGGTATGGTGCTGACAAACCTAGAAACATAATCAGGGCGAACCGGGATTCGAACCCACAATCATAGGTTTCTTGCGTGCCCAAGAGACGCAACTCTGCACAGCGAATCGTGACGACTGGGCACCCATGCCCCCTCTGGAGGTTAGAAGAGGGCCCAGCAACCTATGCAGGTTGTGTTTGTTTGTTTGTCGTTTAACCCCGCACTCAGCAATATTCCAGCTTTATGATGGCGGTTCGTAAATAATCAAGTCTGGACAAGTCAATCCAGTGATTGATAACATAATCATCTACCCAAACAATAAGGATCGATGACATGTATCAACCAAGTCAGCTAGCCTGACCACTGGATAGTCGCCTCTTACGACAAGCATAGTCGCCTTTTACTGCAAGCATGGGTTGCTGAAGACCTATTCTACCCTGGATCTTCACGGGTTATGCAGGTAGGGAGAGGCAACTAAATGGGTCGGGAGATCAGGCTCAGGTGGATGGCATGTCACTGGATTGTCTGGACCAGACTTGATAACTTACAGACTGCCATATAGCACGACTATAGCTGAGTATGGGATTAAACAACATTTCACAGTGATGGTGTTCTTACAGAAGACTGTCACAAAAAGACAAACAAAGGATATCTCTGATGCTTTTTTTATGTACAATTCATTAGATATTCTGATCAACAATATTTCACAATTCATAACCTAACATAAAAGGATTCAATCCCAATAAAACATGGATCAGTATTACATTTCTTCATCTTCAGCTCTCAACAATTAGCCCTGAAAGCAAGGTTCATCCCACCCTTAACCATGGGTGGACCTCACACACAGCTTATGGTAGACCTGATAATCTGGATTCAAATTTCAACAAGCAACTTATATTCTCTATACAAGATCATTGAGGTGTGTCAGTCACAAAGGGACTTTGCTTGTTTGATTTGTAAAACTGACATGTATGAGAAGGGATCATCTGCTTTGATTAAGATTTAATTCTGTCACCATGGAAACAAGTCCTGCTCACTTCCAGGAATTGATGGAGTCACCATGGAAACAAGCCTTATCTTGCCCTTTTCAGCATCCAACAGACGCAGTTACCATGAAAACAAGCCCTATTCTAATCTATATGCAGAAAGCCAACATGTATCTTATCTAGAGTAAACTTAAACTAGTGAACATTATCACCATGACACCAACTATCAACTTTTCAATATCACTGGTATGATAAAAACTGTCAGTCCCCGCTGTATTCCATGATTCCATGGGTGGTCTCATAATATTGGCAGAAATGCCCACTTGGTGCAGAAATATACCTATCTTGCAGAAAATTTTGTGCAGACCTCATGCAGAATTTTGCATTTCTCTGCCGCAGAATTTGTCAAACACAAATGTGAGTCGAAAGGTGGTTTTAAATGTGAAAAAGGATTTGTTTTTTTTGGAGTGGAGTTGACTTTTGCATTGTTGCCTACCGAAAGTACATGTCTGTATGATTCAATTCAATAAGCTGTTCTAGCCGTGAATATGTTTATCATAAAAATGCCTGCAACAAGTCAAACAGATCCAAAACTACGAAATTCTTGATAACTAAGCTTAAAAGTCTTCAGAATTGTGTGCAGAATTATCTAAACTGTTGAAAAAATCAATCGCAACAGTTTTTTTCTTTGCCACGGAATACAGCTGGGAGTGTACTGTTAGCAAGTAAGTCCCGTGACAACTGACCACCAAACTGCAGACACTGCAACAGCAACAGCTACAGCAGCGTAAATATATGTACCTCCCAATATGACAGGTAGAACCCTGACCTGGAAGATATGATACATCAATGATTTTTGGCTTCGAACAATTACAGGTGACAACTTATAACACGCAACAAACAAGGGCCTGATTTTCTGGAACAATATGTCCACAACTGGAACAATATGTCCACAACTGGAACTGCCCCTGGGACATGTTTCCCAGAGGTCAAAAATAAAATGAAAGGTCAAGGTCATGTACCTGACCCTTTTGAAAAAAAACATTATTATGACTTCCCAGAAGGAATAAAACAAGGCTGCGATAACAGAGCTCCAGATAAGCTGCGTATATCTGTACATGCCAGGAGGTTAGTGTTGGAGGGGCTTCATATGGTTAGCTCTGTATTTGGGCTAAACGGTTACACTTAAGCTGAAATACATTTTCATCTGCAGAGTAAATCATTCTGCTGGACTACACTTCAGTTTTATTACCAAATTCAATCTGGCATCTCACACAACCTTATTCTCCCAGACGAATTATTTTCTGTCAAAAGTGTATGGATTTAGCCTCCCAAAAACATGATGGAGGCTGCGAATGTCAGCAGGTTGTCACAGCAACAACAGACCTACCCCTTTATCATGAGGATAGTTGTGAGATATGCATAGCTGCCAACCTTCAGAAAATCATAATTAGTATTTTGTTACTATCTTCGGGTTGGGACACCAAAGACTGACCATATGAATCACCTTCATGTGGCTCTCAAAATCAGTTGAAAAGTTTATTGTTTAGTTTCCATTTCTAACTTCCGATAATACGAGTGGAGTGTCTTGATTGGACAGATGCAACACTGTAAATAGACTTCATACCAGTCGATAAACAAGATATAATCACAGGAAGGGACAAAGACTAAAAAATTACCCTCTCTTTACCTGTTTCTATGAAAATTTAGTCCTTGTGGATTTTTTGGGTCACAGAGATTATTAGGAGCATGTGCGTCATGCTGGTTTTTACAATGAAACAAGTGTCAGAATTCTTGTTTTTCTGGCGTGACCGCGAGGGTAATACATGAATTCTGACACAAGTTTCTTAGAATTAGTATGACACCTGCGAGTGTAATAATTTCATTAAATTCATCAGGGCTCCACTTTAAAAAGTGCGTTGATTGCAACCACCGTCTCAGAAATTCACAAATGTCGAATGTCATCAACGATCTTAAGCTATGACGTCATTCCGACCTAAGTCACAATAAGACTTGAATGATATCAACAATACACTGGTGATCTTGAACTGATATTTGCACTTTTGCACATACCATTTTTATCAACTTGTAATAAATTGCCATATAATTCGTATGAATTATGGAAGAAATTGAATTTCATATCTTGGTTGCAAAGTCGTAACACATACAAAGACCCCGGGACTGTTGGCAGCTATTGGTGAGTGGACACAGGTGAGTGGACACAGGTGAGTGGACACAGGTGAGTGGACACAGGTGCAGTGTACACGATCTAGCAGCTATATACAACATCCTGTTCAGACTACTTACACAGGTGACACTCGGCATGGCTGCAGGGACAGTAGACACAGGGCTAGCACAATTCTACCCACAACTTTAACGGCCTTACATTCCACTCCAATGGAAGCAGCCAATTATTGGAGAGAGAGAGTATTGTTTTACGCCTCTTTTAGCAATACTCCTGCAATAACAGAAATGGGCTCTCACATTGTACCTATGTATGGAATCGAACCCAGATCTTCAGCATGATGAACGAACGCTTTAACCAGTGGGCTATCCCAGTCTTGGAAGGAAGATCCATTAGTAGTTAATGACCACAAGAAGTCACAGTTATGGACATTTATTACCGTATTCGATGTAATAAGTGCCCTGCCCTAATAAGCACCCACTGCGATATTTGCTTGTATATTGGCTAGTGAACAATCCCAATTAGCATACCCTTCCGATTGATCAATGTACACAAGACATTTATTCGTGTAAAATATGTGTGTTATATCCTTAATTATGGGAAATTAAATTCTGGAAAAAAAATTTTTCACCAAAATAATATTCTAATAAGAGCCCCCATTTCTAATTTTGAGAGCGCCCTGGGTTTCTTATTATGTCGAATATGGTATATATTTTTTCAGCTCTCAATTTAGTTTCACTAACCATATTCATTATTTATTTTAACAGAATTTACATGCGATTGTGACTGCAACTTCCAAGGCACAAAACGTTAATTCAAGGCCTTTTTTAAAACAGGCCTCAAATTTTAAGGCCTTTTGCAGCCTGTGCGAACCCTGTGTCAGATTGGCCTCTTTTAGTCTTTAGTCCGAGTGCACTGGATGATGGAAGAGGGAAGAAATACTATACATGATGAATAGTGCTTGCACAAGATGGTGGTGAGATGATACAATTAAAAACTTTTCCCTCAACATTTTAAATATGAATATGATACAGACAATATTCACCTTGACACATACAGCAGTCATATGTCATGTCATAAGTGACACATCTTCATGAGGCAAGGGATTTTACTGACTATAAATGTCCAGTTTCCACCCTTGCCAAACTAGACTGGAATTATGGAGTTATATTTTGGCTGGACTAATGAGTTTATGCTTAGTCCAATCAAATTCGCTTTACAAAACCAACACATGGTTTGTAAACTGCCTTGCAGATTTCGGTCGATTGCAGGATTCGGGGCGTCAACAGATCTTCTCCAAATCCTTTTATGTTTTTAATAAGTGTGCTCACACATGATTTAAAGCACTTTGCGAAGTAAGACACATTTTGATGCAATATACATCTTAATTATCGATCAGATCATCTTCACTGGGCACTGCCATTTTGTTTTAAGCAAATGCAAGTGATATCTTAGGTGGAATCTGATTGGTCAATAGGGACATAACTTGTAATAGTCACTGCTGGCGCTACGGTCAAACCAGAGATTCCAGCCTAGTTCGACAAGGGTAGGAACTGGACTTTTTAGAGTCAGTTAACTCCCTTGCCTCGGAAAGATGTAAGTGACCCCACCCCACCCCACCCCACCCCACCCCACCCCACAACACCTCACCCTTGTTCTTTTGACATGATATATCATGATTCACAGCAGTCGTATCCAGTGTGAAATATTCCCCACATCCTAGAGATGTGAAGCTTAAAACAGAGCACAGCCTCTCTTGATTATTGCACACAAAGCCCATGACAGCTCTTGGAAGTATGGCTCGATACCCATGGAGTTATCTCCCTGATATGACGGAGTTATCTCCCTTACATGAAGGTAACACCAGTAACTATGTGACATGCTTGGTGATGAATGTGGTCATCTGTTGCTATCTGTGGATCACGTGGGACTAAATGATATCCGTAAATCTACCACAAATCATATATATTAGATATCTTTTGGTAAAAGTATATACAGTCTCTTTACTAAAATCTGAAACAGCCGATCTAAGACAGGGAGCTAAAGCGTTGCAGTGGTTTTCACATAGTTACTCCAGTGACAGAAACACTCTCAATACACAAACAAACTTGCCATTTGGATAGGTGACTTCTATTGTATGTCTGAATATGGAAACAAGCAACATAGCAATGACTTCAGTTCAATGTGTCCAACACATAGTTAGTATCTGATCTTATAAATCTTAAAAGGGATGGACATTGAACTGATTAACCTCAATTTGAAAAGAATAATTCAAATTTTTTTATGGGATGTATCTCATAATTAAGATTAACAATGCCACATAATTATGTAAGGCTTGTTCCACAAAGCAATCTTAGCGCTACGACTATCGTATGGAAGCTATGATGGTGTAAGTACAACAACTGCTGAAGTCAATGTTAGAGTATGGGAGTTACGAAGATTTAATAACTACTACTGTCGCAAGTCAATGTTAAAATATGGGAGCTACAATGGTTTAAGGACCACGATGGCTGCAAGTCAATGTTAGAGTTTGGGAGTTACGAAGGTTTAATAATTACTACTGTCGAAAGTCAATGCTAAAATATGGGAGCTACGATAGTTTAAGGACTGCAACTACCGAAGTCAATGTTAAAGTTTGGGAGTTATGAAGGTTTAATAATTACTACTGTCGAAAGTCAATGCTAAACTATGGGAGCCACGATGGTTTAAGGACTAGGATGGCTGCAAGTCAATGTTAAAATTGGGGAGTTACGAAGGTTTAAGCACAACTGTTGCAAGTGAATGGTGAAATATGGAGTTCCAATGGTATAAGCACTACGAGGTAAGTCAAGGTAGTGAGTGAGTGAGTGAGTATGGTTTTACGCCGCTTTTACCAATATTCCAGCAATATCACGGCGGGGGGACACCAGAAATGGGCTTCACACATTGTACTCATGTCGGGAGTCGAACCCGGGTCTTCAGCGTGACGAGCGAACGCTTTAACCACTAGGCTACCCGACCGCCCCTTAAGTCAAGGTAGAAATTGATGGTCATGATGGTCACGATGGTCTGAGCAAACAGTTTACTTTGTGAAACAGGCCCTTTACAATCATTTCCGTGAGAGTGCTATTCAATCATTGACTAAGGAGTAGAACTATTTGAGTTAGGGTGATATGTCAGGGTATGAGAAACACTTGGAATCTTCTATCACAATACGTCAGCTTCCGACTGACATGATCTGCTGTCTGGGAGATCCATCACAAGCGTTGCTTTGATATTAACGGTACACGGAAAGGGCTGCCATCACAACTCGTACAGCTCATCATCGGCTTTGCGGGCATTGTCTATTGAATCCTGCACACGGCGGGACTGGGTGTGGCTGCGGATCACGAGCACGGGGGAGTGGGGGTCTTCAAACGAGATGCTCCGCTGTCGCTCTGGGGGGGTTCGGCGGAAGGCGGACAGTGGGTTAGGGTCTTCCATCCCTTCAAGGAACCTGGCAACAGAGACATGGATACCGTTACCATAGCTACAGAGACTATCTGGTTACCATGGTTACAGACCAGCTTGATGATTGGAGGATTATGTGCTTTACAGAGTGATTGATGAAGTTATGATATTTGAAATTGATGCAATGATGTTGGAAAACAACCCTATTCACATGAAATATGAACAAAATGATGAAGCAATGAACAATGAACATGAAGCTGGCCATTTATATGGCATATTGTTATAACAAATGTATTGACAGGATTAGAACATTGTCAGTAGTAATCTGTGCACTGATGGTAGTGATGATACTGATAGCAGCCCAAAACACAACTGTCTGGTATCTATCTCAAGTCTAAAAATTGTAAACAGTTCTGTAAACGTGGTTGGTTGGTTTGTTTGTTGTTTAACGCCGCACTCAGCAATATTCCAGCTATATGACGGCGGTCTGTAAATAATTGAGTCTGGACCAGACAATCCAGTGATTGACATCATGAGCATCGATCCACGCAAATTGGATATGAAGTGAGGTGAGCTAAAACTTGTGGGAATTAATGTCACGTTTAAGATTATTGAACCTATATTGCAATGTGCATGCATGTGTGTGCATGCATGTGTGTGCATGTCTGCTTGTACTAGTCTGATCTTACGCTAGCCTATTGAGATACCTTCTGACAGGTTTAACATGGACACTTGTCCAGACTAATGCAGGTTTTATAGTGCTTGTTGATGGAGAAACCATGCCGCAGTTTAACATGAATACCCCACTCAGTCACAGTATACTTAGCCGACCAGTCCTAGTTTTAATCCCTTAATGCCAAACTCCATGCAGGGTAACAATAAGTACCATTTTTTAATGTCTTTGGTGTGACAGCCTGGGGCCGACCTGTTGCTCTCAGGGCAGACACTCTATCCCTAGACCACGGAGGTGGTCAGAGGTGATGTGAATGCTATGTGTGTCGATATGAAGTGAACGCAGTATAGATAATAAGTGAACGCTGTGTTGATACAAAGTGAATGCTGTGTTGATATGAAGTGAACACAGTATAGATAATAAGTGAACGCTGTGTTGATATAAAGTGAACGCTGTGTTGATATGAAGTGAACGCTGTGTTGATATGAAGTGAATGCTGTGTTGATATGAAGTGAACGCAGTATAGATATGAAGTGAACGCTGTGTTGATATGAAGCAGCTGTATGTCGATATGAAGCAGCTGTTGGTCGATATGAAGCAGCTGTATGTCGATATGAAGCAGCTGTGTGTCGATATGAAGCAGCAATGGCAAAAGCAAGGATGTGTCAGTACTGCCATCATCAAATCTTTTACACAACAATAAAGTGATCTTCAAACAAAACATGGTTAGAAACCTGCAGAAAACAAAATCTGACACAAAAGCAGATTCTATGGCAAAAAAGCAAGCATATGGTGCCATGAGACAGGGGAGACAACTTACGTGACGAGGGACAACAGCACAAATGTTAAACCATCACCTGCATTCTCTCCCCTGCTGGGTCGTGTCTCTGGCACAACCTCCACGCACCTGCACCGTGGCGACTGCATTCACCGCAGAGTTGTGTCACTTCTAACAGACGAGCCCAGCAGAAGAGAGAACATGAGTTGCCAAGGTACCCACAAGCAGACTAGCTACTGTATACCAACACATAAGACACACAGGTTGCGCACCTCCGTGACGAGACACGAAGTAGCTGACACATTCAAGTATCAAACTAAAAATATCTTCTCATATATATAGTCATTAAGTTCCCAGAAAATACATCATTCCGAACCATATATTTCTATGTTTCTGAATCAAAGAGTGTGTGTGGTAATAGCCTTAAATTGGAGTGTGCATATAATATAATAAACCAATATTGCCAGCAGACAGTATACTGAATTCTCTCTTGACACTTGTGTAATTAACCTCATACTGCCGCCAGTTGTCTCCCGTCTAATCAGTGTATTGTCTAATACATCCCAGCCCATACCTGGTGTCTCCCCTGCTCTAATGTGTTGCCCCAATACTGAATGCTAATAGTGGCCTGCCTGTGAGTTGTCTCCCCTGCTCTAATGTGTTGCCCCAATACTGCCTGCTAATAGTGGCCTGCCTGTGAGTTGTCTCCCCTGCTCTAATGTGTTGCCCCAATACTGCATGCTAATAGTGGCCTGTCTGTGAGTTGTCTCCTCTGCTCTATTGTATTGCCCCAATACTGCCTGCTAATAGTGGCCTGCCTGTGAGTTGTCTCCCCTGCTCTAATGTGTTGCCCCAATACTGCATGCTAATAGTGGCCTGTCTGTGAGTTGTCTCCTCTGCTCTATTGTATTGCCCCAATACTCAGTAACTGCCTGTGAATTATGTCCTGCCTGTGAGTTGTCTCCCCAGCTCTAGTGTATTGCCCCAATACTACCTGCATGTGAGTTGTCTCCCCTGCAATAGTGTATTGCCCCAATACTACCTGCATGTGAGTTGTCTCCCCTGCAATAGCGTATTGCCCCAATACTGCCTGCTAATAGTTGCCTGCCTGTGAGTTCTCTCCCCTGCCACAAATATATTGCCCTAACACTGTCATTGAGTTGTCTCCCCTGCCACAAGAATATTGCTTGTGAGTTGTCTCCCCTGCCACTAGTATATTGCCTGTGAGTACCTTGGCGGCTTTATGAAAAGATGACTCTAACATCTAACACTCGGTGTCTGGGTCAGGGTGCAGCTCATAGCGGGACCCCAATGCCTGTACCTCTGACTGGTCCTTGGGCGGTCGCTGTGCACTGAAATACAATACAACAGTTACCTCCCTTCCTCTCCATATGAACCAACTTCATATACCTTGTAATGTGCATGAGCTCACCCTCAAGTAATGTGCAGAAACACACTGTCTTATCTCTTTCTTCCTTCACACACCTTCCTTCAGACACTGAAACTCACACTGCGTGTTTGTAACACCCTGAAACTCACACTTCGTGTTTGTAACACCCTGAAACTCACACTTCGTGTTTGTAACACCCTGAAACACACACTTCATGTTTGTAACACCCTGAAACACACACTTCATGTTTGTAACACCCTGAAACACACACTTCATGTTTGTAACACACTGAAACACACACTTCGTGTTTGTAACACACTGAAACACACACTTCATGTTTGTAACACACTGAAACACACACTTCGTGTTTGTAACACCCTGAAACACACACTTCATGTTTGTAACACACTGAAACACACACTTCGTGTTTGTAACACCCTGAAAAATACACCTCATGTTTGTAACACACTCCCCACCTCTCACAGACCGTAACACACTCCCCACCTCTCAAAAACCATAACTCACTTCCCACCTCTAAAACACTGTAACACACAGGCCACTCCCCCCACCCCATCACACAATCCCCAATCCCGTCAGTCACACTTTCCAGTCTCGTCACACACAATCCCCCATCCCGTCAGTCACACCCCACCCTGTCAGTCACCCTCCCCCACCCCTCACCCCCACCCCATCACACAATCAGCCCACCCCATCACACAATCAGCCCACCCCATCACACTCCCCCTCCCCGTCACACTCACCCTCCCCGTCCCACACTCACCCTACTCAATCACACTCTCCCCCCACCCCGTCACACAATGCCCCCACCATGTCAGTCACACTGAACCCACCCCGTCACACACACCAGCATACATGAATAGTGGCCCTACCACAGTGAAGTCCTGCAGCCAGCCCAGCCCCACTCCAACAAACAGTACATGCAGCAGGGATGTATCCAGAATTCCTAACTAAGTCCTCCAGTCGGGCATGGAGAGAGCGACATGTAATACTGTTTAAACTTGGGATTATTTACAAGCCTCATCCCCTCTGTTGGTCCTGGTGTTATTGAAATACAAGTCACCTTGACCATTATTGGCCTCGATTTAGCTATATCAAACATGCACCAGTGCAACCTATTACTGAAAAATACATTCTAACATTTATATCTACATGCACCAAGTGCACGACAAAATCTTTCAAACTTGTCCACACAACATCTATTTTGGAACACATTCAGTACCTCTTAGGTTTATTTACCATACATCAACGATCCCCGTACCGAGTAATGATCATGCTCTTTGGGGCTTGGTGTCATCACACCGCGGGCACGTCAAGATTATGTGTACATGTTGAGACATTGATCAATTTATGGGACTGGATTTGTCTAGTGCAACCCAATCGCATTAATATCAGTTCTCACTGCCGCTAAACAAAGATCTTAGGGCATCCCATTAAGGGTCACATCAGAATGACCTTATGCAAACATTGACCAACCACTGTAATTACTAACTAGAAGTCGACATCAGCCAATCAGAAAGCAGCTTTCTTGAGCTTTACGACACTTGTTTCAACCTGGCGACTTCCATTTCAGACTACGCTTGAAAAATATGTTGAACCTGTTCATGATTAAAATTTTGAAAACTGAACAAACATTCCGGAATGTCTAATATATGGTTGAGATTGTATGGCAGTGCTTCCCACGTACTGTGCAACGCCTCCTCCGTTCAAATCTTTATCCTATGGAAGTGAGATAGACAATAATTTTTTATGGAATCAGTCATAAGGGCCGTAACTGTCGTTCAGAATACCCCGTGTTAAAGTTTTCAAGGTTGCATGATTAGAAAACACATTCCGACTGTCACTTTCATGATCTGGTAAGCGACGCTTTAGTTGATCAGATGAAAGGTCGTTCTGACATGACCTGTAATGGGATGTCCTCATATCTTTGTTTAGCGAAAGCGAGAACTAAGAACTGATTTAAATGAGACTGACATGCACCTGTACAGGTTAAATCAAGTTCCTTAAATCAAGCCCTGCCTTGGACCAAGCCATCATTTTAGTGATCATAACCATATCGAAAGGAACTGGAAATGTTTTGTTCCTGAGTGGGAATATTTACTGACATTGGCTACAGACTCGGGTTAGACTATTGGCCTCTGAGGAAGTCTAGATAAATCCCTTTGGTCCAAGAATACACTCACAAGGCATCAAATCATGCATGGCTATCACCAAAAGAAATGTTATAACAATTAAAAATTGCAAGCCGACCTCAACCATCTGACTAAATCTGTTTGATCTGAGGTGTGGTGAGGTGAGATTGGGTTTAACGTCGCGTCCAACATGTCGAAGATTATTGCACTTATATAGCGACGTGCATGCACATGTGTGTGTGGCTGCTTGTACTAGTCCGGACTGATGGCGATTTATAGTGGTAGCCCACTGAGATACCATGCCGCAGTTTAACATGAATACCCCACTCAGACACAGTATACTGACTCCGAGCCGACTAGTCCTTGTTTTAGCCCCTTAATGCCGAGCGCCAGACAGGGTAACAACAAGTACCATCTTTAAACGTCTTTTGGTATGACGCGGCCGGGGACCGAACCCCGGACCTTCCGCTCTCCAGGCGGACGCTCTACCACTAGACCAGGGATGTTTGATCTGAGCTGCTACACTGAGCCTTTACTACACCTGCTTCCTCAGGTCATCACCTTGATCACTGTAGATGTGTGTACAAATCCTTCAACATTTGTGTCAAATGAAACCAAGATTTGTTAATTCATTTGTTGCTTAACGCTGCACTCAGTAATATTCCAGCTATATGACGGCAGTCTCTTAATAATCAAGTCTGGACCAGACAATCAAGTCTGGACCAGACAATCCAGTGATTGACATCATGAGCATCGATCCACGCAATTGGGATATGATGACATAGTCACATACATCAACCAAGTCAGTAAGTCTGACCACCCGATTCCGTCAGTCACCTCTTACGACAAGCATAATCACCTTTTATGCCAAGTATGGGTTGCTGAAGACCTATTCTACCCCAGACCTTCACGGGTCACTGAAACTTAGATGGGGAGGCACATCTTCCCGAGGCAAGGATGTCAACTGACTATAAAAGTCCAGCTTCCACCCTAGCCGAAATAGGAACGAGCCTATGCATACTCCAATCAAAATAGTGTAACAAACTAGACAGACGGTTTTCAAACAATATGGATTTCAACGTGCAGATTTCGGTTGACTGCAGGATTTGCAAAGCATGTGTACCGTCAACTGGGCCTCGACAGATATTTTCAACTCTTTTCATGTTTTCTATCAATGTGCTAAGGAGATTTGACGCACTTCGCGGCATACTGACTCCGAGCCGACGAGTCCTTGTTTTACTTTTAGCCCCATAAAGCTGGGCGCCAGGCAGGATAACAATGAATACCATCTTTTAACATCTTTTGGTATGCCGTGCATGAGTGTGTGTGTCCAGGACTGTGTTCCTGTTAACAAGGGGAGATAGGATTGTGTTCCTGTTAACAAGGGGAGGCAGGACTGTGTTCCTGTTAACAAGGGGAGGCAGGACTGTGTTCCTGTTAACAAGGGAAGGCAGGACTGTGTTCCTGTTAACAAGGGGAGGCAGGACTGTGTTCCTGTTAACAAGGGAAGGCAGGACTGTGTTCCTGTTTACAAGGGGGGGCAGGACTGTGTTCCTGTTAACAAGGGAAGGCAGGACTGTGTTCCTGTTTACAAGGGGGGGCAGGACTGTGTTTCTGTTAACAAGGGGAGGCAGGACTGTGTTCCTGTTAACAAGGGGAGGCAGGACTGTGTTAGGAGGCAGGACTGTGTTCCTGTTAACAAGGGGAGGCTGAACTGTGTTCCTGCTAACAAGGGGAGGTATCCTGTGTTTCTGTTAACAAGGGGAGGCAGGACTGTTCCTGCTAACAAGGGGAGGCAGGACTGTTCCTGCTAACAAGGGGAGGTATCCTGTGTTTCTGTTAACAAGGAAAGACATGACAGCAGTGCTCACCTTGCATTCTGTTCCATCTTGGACACATTGGTCTTGAGCTGAGCTATTGTGCTGTCGTATTTGTTCAGGAAGTCCATGCCCGACACATCAGATTTACTTGTCTTAGCATCTTTCTCTGGGTTGGAAACTGAGCGGTCCCGGTCAGACACGACGATGAGGTCCTTAGGAACTGTCTTCTCATTGTCTGCAGTCAGGGGAATCAGCAGGTGCTCACGAAGAAACAGGCTGTCATTGGTCCACATCTTGTTCTCACGCTTAATCTGCTCCACCTGCAACACACGTCGGCCATTCAGTTTTGTTGTAGACCATATGCATAAAGGCTGGATAACTACACATATATACACATGATACAACTAGCACTTGTTTTTGTCCTAGACTGTACAAATGTCCTTTTGATAACTATACATACATACAACTGCAACTTGTTTTTGTCCTAGACTGTACAAATGTCCTTTTGATAACTACACATACATACAACTACCACTTGTTTTTGTCATACTGGACCCGTGAAGATTTCGGGGTAGAACAGGTCCTCAGCAACCCATACTTGCCGTAAAAGGCGACTATGCTTGTCGTAAAAGGCGACTAACAGGATCGGGGGGGCAGGCTCGCTGACTTTGTTGTTGCATGTCATTGATCCCAATTGCATGGATCGATGCTCATGATGTCAATCACTGGATTGTCGATTATTTACAGAAAGCCGTCATATAGCGGGAATATTGCTGAGTGCGGCATTCAACAACAAACAAACACACAAAATTTTGTCAGGCTGCATAAATGTCCTTTTGAAAACTTCACATACATACAACTGCCACTTGTTTTTGTCCTAGACTGTACCCATATCCTCTTGATAACTGCACTTCTGATCTGCACATAAGTGCAACTGCAACTAACTTTTGCTTCAGACTGTATGATTGACCTCCTGATAACTGCACTATAAATAACACACATACGTCACTGATACCTGCACTACCTGCATCTGTCAGCTGACTCACCGATGATACAGGGAGCTTATCACGGGTCAACAGTCGTGTAAACAATGAAGGTTCAAACTGTATTTACAGCGTTAGAAACTAACAGTTTTCGTCCACTAGTCCTTATATGATAACATATAGAAAAACCCGTAAAAATGGCAATTTTCTACTAGTCCTTATGAAGACCTTTACCGTTGGGCAGTTTGGCAAAGACTATAGCACTAATGCCAATTTCTAACCCTGAATCAAAGCAATTCAGTGACCATCTTCACGAGGCAAGGCAGTTATAGACTATAATGAAAGTCCAGTTAACACCCTTGCTGAACTAAGTGGAATTATGGAGTCATATTTTGACTGGACAAACGAGAGTCTTTGCATAACGAAATCGACATCCCGTTCATAAACAACATGCTGTCTGCAGTGCATATTTCGGTTGATTGCAGAATTGGCAGAGCATGTGTACCGTCAACAGATGTTTTTCAAATCTTTTCATGTTTTTAATCAAGGTGCTATAGTGATGCACTTTGCAAGTTTTTATTTCTATAGATCTTGATTATCAATCTGATCGTCTTGACGGGGCGCTGCCATTTTCATTGAAGCAAATGCAAGTAATATGAGAGGTAGAATCTGATAAGTCAATAGGAGGGACATAAAAGGCAAAAGCCACTGGTGGCACTGCAATCGAGCCCAGAAATTCCAGCCTAGTTCGACAAGGGTGGAAACTGGATGGGAAGATGTTCTGTGACTAGGCTTGTGTCTAGTCAAACGCATCTTAGTCTAGTGGCGAGTGGGGATGTCGTCTTATATTGCAACACATTCTTAATATTGATACTGTTTCAATAAAACATTTATGCCAAATTAATTTTTAAAATTCAATGCCAGAGAAACGTTTACACTTATTATGATTACCATAGTTAGGTGACAACGAGAAGGCAGAAATTCAATCATTAATATTAATGGATCCCATAGTTAATATTTTGAATTAAATTTATTAATTGCAGGTTTACATAGGTTATTTTCATCTATAAATCAAAGTAAAGTCATCTTATTTAAATTTATTTATCTGCAAAATATGAAATCCAAATGGAGCCAAGAACAACGCAAAATTTCAGGCTGGTGCGGAAGCAATATAGACTTGCCAAATCATTCCAGAATAGAGTTGGAATCCTTTCTGGTCTGGGTGAGGTGGGGTAAAATGAGATTTAACGTTGCGTTCAAGATTATTGCCTTTATATAGCGATGTGCATTGTATATGTGTGTGTGTGTCTTCATGTACTAGTCCGGGCAGATAGTGCTAGCTCACTGAGATACCATGCCACAGTGTACATGAATACCCCATTCAGACACAGTATACTGACTCTGAGCTGACCAGTCCTTGTTTTAGCCCCTTAATGTCGAGCGTCAGGCTGGGTAACAAGTCTTTTAACGTCTTTTGGTATGATGCAGACGGGGATCAAACCCCGAACTTTCCGTTCTCTGGGCGGATACTCTACCATGGAGGCAGTCCCTAGGGTCTGGGGAACAGACTAGTCATATCAGGGTATGTAAGTTTACTGTGATGCTGTACTGCAGGTCTGGTATGTCTGTTAAACCCTTGACAGAGGCATGGCTGACCTACCCGAACTACGTTGTCTGAGGAATCAGTACACAACAAACAAAAAACAGTCTGGTCATAGAGTCAGTAGGATCAGTGGATTGACTGTACTGCAGGTCTGGTATGTCTGTCAAACCATTGACAGAGGCATGGCTGACCTACCCGAACTACGTTGTCTGAGGAATCAGTACACAACAAACAAAAAACAGTCTGGTCATAGAGTCAGTAGGATCAGTGGATTGACTGTACTGCAGGTCTGGTATGTCTGTCAAACCCTTGACAGAGGCATGGCTGACCTCCCCGAACTACGTTGTCTGAGGAATCAGTACACAACAAACAAAAAACAGTCTGGTCATAGAGTCAGTAGGATCAGTGGATTGACTGTACTGCAGGTCTGGTATGTCTGTCAAACCCTTGACAGAGGCATGGCTGACCTACCCGATTTACGTTGTCAGAGGAATCAGTACACAACAAACAAAAAACAGTCTGGTCATAGAGTCAGTAGGATCAGTGGATTGACTGTACTGCAGGTCTGGCATGGCTGACCTAACCGATTTACGTTGTCAGAGGAATCAGTACACAACAAACAAAAAACAGTCTGGTCATAGAGTCAGTAGGATCAGTGGATTGACTGTACTGCAGGTCTGGTATGTCTGTCAAACCCTTGACAGATGCATGGCTGACCTACCCGATTTACGTTGTCAGAGGAATCAGTACACAACAAACAAAAAACAGTCTGGTCATAGAGTCAGTAGGACCAGTGGCTTGACCTCATATGACCTCATGACCTTGAATGTCTCACTGGTTTGTTTGTGTGTTTGTTTGGTTTGTTTTTTTTGTTTAACGCCGCACTCACCAATATTCCAGCTATACGACAGCGGTCTGTAAATATTTGAGTCCGGACCAAACAATCATGGGTATCCATCCATGCAATTGGGATCGATGACATGCATCAACCAAGTCACCGACCCTGACCACCCGATCCCGTTAGTCTCCTTTTACGACAAGCATAGTCGCCTTTAGCGGCAAGCATGGGTTGCTGAAGACCTATTCTACCCCGGATCTTCACGGGTCATGTCTCACTGGTGTAAATCCCATCTTTTGAACAGTCACTTGATTTATGTTGTTTTTTTGTTGGCCATCTGTCATCCAACAGTCAATACAACATCACACGTGTGTTTCAGACATCATCATGCCTCTGGCTCACGGACTTGTGAATTAATCAACATCTATCAGACCCAGCTGTTTTTCCACTGTTTGGATTCCCACTCCTCGTGTTATGACAGAAACCGGTTCAAACTTTTTTCCACCTACAGAAATAAGCGCATTTGCTTGTAGTTTCCCCAGAGCTACAGATAGGCAGGATGTTTGCGTTAAAGACCCAAAACAAACATTCAAAACCCAATTACTTTTAATTAACTTTCGTGCAGAAACACATGCATTAAATAAAAAACTCAAATGTATAAAAACAGCTCACACAAATACCCAATGAAACTTTGTCAGCATGCGTACAAAGGAGCTAATTTCCAAAACACAATTACGAGCGAATTTACTTTCCCAGTCAAGCCTATGTAAAATTATTTTAGAACAGTTATACACATCTAGAACATTATTTCACCTTTTTTAATCTTTAAATGTTCGCTAATTTGGGGAAAAACCCAATAGAGTGATGATTAGATGAGTGAAAAGATATTGGTTACCCAAAAGAAAAATGTAATAACCCAATTAAAATAGAAAACCGGGAGTAAAAAAACAATTGCTCAAAAAGTTATCTGGAGCTCTGGTTTCACACAAGGTAACAGTATTGGTACAGTCAATATTCCAGAAACAACACAAACAAGTATTTGTCACAGAGTGACGAAATATCCCCCGCCATATACACCATAGTACCAAATATGAAGACAATCCAGCGATTAGTTCTTGAGATATTGTGGCAACACCGTTTTCCAACTCCAAAAACAGATTTGCCTGCTGTGACCTTGAAAATGGGGTCAAGGTCACCAAACCTGACAGGTGTATGCGGTGTCTGTATATACACTATAGTTCCAAATATGAAGACAATCCAGCGATTAGTTCTTGAGATATCGCGGCAACACCGTTTTCTAACTCCAAAAGCAGATTTGCCTGCTGTGACCTTGAAAATGGGATCAAGGTCACCAAAACCGACTGGTGTCTGCGGTGTCTGTATATACACCATAGTTCCAAATATGAAGACAATCGAGAGGTTTAGTTCTTGAGATATCGCGGCAACACCGTTTTCCAACTCTAAAAGCAGATTTGCCTGCTGTGACCTTGAAAATGGGATCAAGGTCACCAAAACCGACTGGTGTCTGCGGAGTCTGTATATACACTATAGTTCCAAATATGAAGACAATCCAGTGTTTAGTTCTTGAGATATCGCGGCAACACCGTTTTCCAACTCCAAAAGCAGATTTGCCTGCTGTGAACTTGAAAATGGGGTCAAGGTCACCAAAACCTACTGGTGTCTGCGGTGTCTGTATATACACCATAGTTCCAAATATGAAGACAATCTAGTGTTTAGTTCTTGAGATATCGCGGCAACACCGTTTTCCAACTCTAAAAGCAGATTTGTCTGCTGTGACCTTGAAAATGGGATCAAGGTCACCAAAACCGACTGGTGTCTGCGGAGTCTGTATATACACCATAGTTCCAAATATGAAGACAATCCAGTGTTTAGTTCTTGAGATATCGCGGCAACACCGTTTTCCAACTCTAAAAGCAGATTTGTCTGCTGTGACCTTGAAAATGGGATCAAGGTCACCAAAACCGACTGGTGTCTGCGGAGTCTGTATATACACCATAGTTCCAAATATGAAGACAATCCAGTGTTTAGTTCTTGAGATATCGCGGCAACAAACAGGTGGGACGTACGGACGGACGTACGGACGTGAATACTATATCCCCCGCTTCGCGCTTTCGTGCGGTGGGGGATAAAAACTGGTTGGTGGTCAGAACTCATTCATACAAAAATCACTTGGCTTTTTCACTCCTCCCATATGATTTGAAGATTTAAATTTTGTCGAATTTTAGCCCATTGTAATTATGTAGCCCATAAACACAGGGCCAAAGGCGATTCAAGAAAACTTCCTTCTCAATCACTGTAAAAAACCTCCATATCATTTGGATTGATTTAATCAATACCAAGCACAGTTCAAATAATGAATGTTCGCTTCAGTTAACCTATCCACCTTTAACATGTTTAGAGCAGGTTTTCCACTAGCATGTTAAAATTCTGCAAAGTATTTGACAGAATCCGTGGCAGAAAACTTCAAAGGGTGATTTCCTGTAAGATCAGTACATTTCTGCACTGAGTGGACAGTTCGGGAAAACATTCCACAAACATAGAATCTCGGAATGCAGCAAGGACTGAATCAATGAAATTTGACTGTACTTGTTTTTCGTTATAATCATTCCAGCTGTAGGACAAAAATGCATTTTACTGGATACATTGCACCATTCTAGTAAGGGATGTGAACAAGCTCCTTGATGTGCACAAGTTCCTTCCTTAGTTTTTCAGACATAATGTTTAGCCGCATGACTAACAACAGGAGGTTCTAAAACTCACACATAACAGCTTGTATTATATTCATTCGTTAGTAACCGTAACTTTTAGTTTTCAAAGTTACATGTTTGTTGAAGGATGACCAATGTCTCTGATGAGGTTGTCGCATGCAATCATCATGATTATCAAAGTTCAATTTTTGAAGTCCAATCTTTTATGTTTATGAATTGCTTTGCTGTTCAATTTCCAGGTTTAATCAGATAAAAATGATACAAACATGAACAGAGCAATATTTCTGCTTATTTTTATCCTTATCGCCCTATATTGTAAGCAATTAATCTGTTGTGTGCATCTATATTAGTAGCATGAAACTAACATGTGAATGGGTGTTCTGTAAAATGTATGCGCACCAACTGTCGCAGTGTACTGAAAAAATACATGAAGGTCCTGTAATCTTACACACAAACTATTCTATGAAACCATACACTTTAAAAAGAGTATTGACAAGTATCTCACATCAGCAGGATCAATTGTGAATATGTATTGTGTTGCACAAGCTGAATGTACATTTTCAACATTTAGTCAATTGGAAATATGAATAATTCCATTTTATTCAAGTCGCTGGCAACAGCTGTCTCCAGAATATCCAGTGATATTGAAACGTAAATGACATAGCTTGGAAATATTTTCGTTTAATAATTACAGAATTATTAGTGAATTCCATACTCCAATACTTCCATAATTCAAATCCCTTTTCATGTAAAACACAATTGACATGACGTTCCCTGTCCCCAGTGAGCGCTAACAACCTCTATAGACATGTATAAATAGGCCTAACGGTTCACTGTCATTGACAGTACTTGACCCCGGCGACTGGGAGTGGGAGCTTTCTGAAGCCATCACACGTCTTGTTGCCTTGATTGTGGTCTTGAGTATACCATATACTCACCGAAACGGTGTACTTGAGAGCGATGCCCATCAGGGTGTCGGTGGAGGTAATAATGTGTTTGATGTAACTTGACGACTGGGACTTCATTGGGACTTTCTTCGTCGAAGTGTTGCTTGTCACTGTAGTACCATAACCATACCTGGCTTGACTGCGGACTGACTGACCCAGACCCTGTCGCTCCCCGACCCCGTTCTGAGACATTATCAGCTGAGGTCACACTCTGGTGTCGCAGTAGCCACGCCTACCCCTGCATGTATGTATATCTCTCATTACTCTAGATACAATATGTCATTAGTGAGGTTTAAGTGACATCTTGGCTCGATCAATGCAGCTTCTGGGTCGCCAAAACAGCGCTCTCTGGTGGATGATCCAGACAATTTACTTCCGCTTCCGGCTTCAACAAAGATACGACTGTTCGTACAACAATTTATTACATCTATGACTAATAAATCGACTTCCTGTTACATAACACGATTATCCTTCATAGAGCTGTGTAATTAATTGTCACCGATTAATGCGGATTGTAGAGATTGTAACTGATATCCCGTCGTTAGTTTATGCAAATGTTAGTGTGTTATCTGTGACACCCTCTGCGCGTGAAAGTGAGGATACAAAATATGAGGTGCAAATTTGTCGGGGGTCTCATTGCTCATTCCGAATACGACTTAACACAAGTGTCAAAAGCATTCAGAAAGGGGTGCAATTTAAAGTTATTTTACTGAAAAAAATAAAATAAAATAGTATTTTATTACGCTAACCATTTTTCTTTAAATGTTGAATCTGCTTACCAAATATGATTAAAATTATCAAACAAGGATTTTATCAAACACTGAGTATATCCTCACAAATAGACCCTGAATCATGCCTTACAAAAGGGAGTTGGCAACTTTAAATATGGAGGCTAGGTGTTCTGGCTAAAATCAGCACCAAAATGAGTGAGTGAGTGAGTATGGTTTTCGCTGCTTTTAGCAATATTCCGGCAATATCACGGTGGGGGACACTAGAAATTGGCTTCGCTCATTGTACCCAAGTGGGGAATCGAACCCGGGTCTTCAGCGTGACGAGCGAAAGCTTTAACCACTAGCTTCCCCACCGCCCCACACTTAAATGATCCTTTTAGCAAATGTATTGTTTATAATAATTTATTGTTTGAAACCTAAACGTAAACTTAATTCAAAAGTATAATTTTCAAAACTTCCCCATGTAGCTCAATGTGTATTTGTGCACTCACACCATAATGTATTCATGCCTCCCACTATTATCACTAGCTGTGACGTCCTATGCTTTATGACATCCAAAGTATAACGTTGGCTGTCGCCTAGGACTATGTTTTACTTCTCCCTCTATTGTCACTGTTACATCATAGGCATTATGACGCCACAAATACTACTGTTGTGCGTCGCCTCAGACTACAATTTAAGTTAAAGTTTTCATTACACCTGAAGAGCCGTAACATGAAAAGGGATTTGAATTATGGAAGTATTGGAGTATGGAATTCACTAATAATTCTGTAATTATTAAACGAAAATATTTCCAAGCTATGTCATTTACGTTTCAATATCACTGGATATTCTGGAGACAGATGTTGCCGAAAAGATCTTGTGTGGATAAAGGAGTTTTGACAAGCACGAATATCTGGACTTTTGTATATTTAATACTTATACACCTGATGAAATCCTATATATATATATATATATATATATATATATATATATATACAAAAATGAGGTAAATGTTCACTCGGTGTACATGTAATATATAATAAAATAATAAATTTCACGTTAGTCCATCATCTTCAGTTACACTGAAGAGCTGTCATGAGACATTGAAAGTACTACATGTATGTCTGAAACTGACATAAAGAAGATGATGGACTAACATGGACTTTATTATTTTATTACATATATATTTCATCAACATGTGTGTGTGTGTGCGTGCGTGCGTGCGTGCGTGCGTGCATGTCTTCTACACATTGAGTGACTGCCTTATCCCATAAATAAGCACTATTCCAGCTACATCATTGTATGTGTCATGGTTTCTGGATAAACATCTTCGACACGACAACCCGAAAATTGAATGGGTGAAATAATGTCTTATCCCACAGCCAGCACTGTCCCAACTGTATCATGGCAGTACGTGTTTCTGGATATACACCTGATCTACACTACCCAGACATTGAGTGAGTCAGTGATTGTCTTATCCATAAGTTAGCATTACAGCGCTAGAAATTGGCACTAGTCCTGTAGTCCTTACCAAACTGCCCAATAGTAAAGGTATCCTAAGGACTAGTAGAAATTGGCCCATTTTAAGGGTTTTTCTATATGGTATCATTATAGGGACTAGTGGACAAAAACTGTTAGTTTCTAACCCTGCATTAACCCAAGTATATCAATGCAGTCATAAATAATGCTGTGTCTGACAAATCAGTGTTTGACAGCACTAGCAGGAGATTCTCTGGACATCATTAGAAAAATGAAATTTCATTCCGTTCAACAGAGTGAATTAGACTGAAATTGATTTCTCTTGAAGGTAAAGCCAGATATAAAGGGAGGTTATTCACGGTAGAGGGCGCAACCGTGAGGGGTATATATAGGAATTGTAAACCCCGGGTAGTTTAATCTCTCCTGTGGTGTCACCATTACTCAAGGTCCAAGTGCGAAGGGTATATATAGGGATTGTAAAGCCCAGGTAGTTTAATCTCTCCTGGGGTGTCGCTGTTACAGTGCGGTCTGTTTATTTTATGTTTGTCCTGTGCGTTATGGTTATGAACATTTTCTGTTGTCAGGTGTTGGCGGTCATGCTGCAAGGCAGATGTCGTCACAGTGACGAGTATGGTTCTGAACCACAAAGCATGGATGGTACCTGGTACATGCATGTATCTTCCAGTAAGATGTTACAGTGTCTGTGACTGGCGTGGGTTCTGAAATCATATGGATCCAGGCTAGTGATGCTACTGGTGTTTGTAAAAAGGAAATTCAATGCAGAGTAAATGCCTCGGCGTGTGCCACAGGGGAAGCCACAGGAAGGAAGGACAAGTGGTTCACTGGTAGAAGGCAACACATCCTGTAGAGTTGCATCCAGATGCACGGATGATGAGTTTTGGTTTTAGACATTCAATGTCTGTGGGGGCCTGGTTTGTCAACATGGCTTCCACAGCGGCTATGGTCACCACTGCTGCTGGCCTGTCTCTTAACGATAAGCAGTTCTGCCATGGTATGAATGAATTCCGTTGAACATCAGCTGAGACGAAATGAATATTCTCCACTCCACAAAATTAACAGGACATCTGCAGTTGAATATCAAAACACAACACACGCTGTTGAAGATAGACAATTTTAATTGCCATACGTTACAACCATGTCGTGAGCAAGTTAAAATGTTACAGTTTGTACAAAAATATCACAGTTAAAACCTTCAAATGAAATATCTGCTAAAAAAGATAAAATAAATGCTGGAATTGAAGAACTGTGGAGGGAACGAATGAACAGACAGATGGACAACAACAAACACTTCAATCACCTCCCAATGCTAGTCTCCCTCGTGTACACTAAGCGAGTTAGTGACACTGAACTAGTATCCGGGGAACTGTATCAGGTACAAAGTGTAAGATTCCTGTTACCTATGGCAAACACAAACTATGATTTTTCATTGATTTGGCCCAAAAATTAATCTATTTGTTAGGTTCAACTTTTCAGAATTATTGCCAACAAATTATTGAGGGAGGGGGTGGGGGGGGGGAGAGAGGAGACTGTCCATATGCCGAGACAGATGCTTTGATCAGTGTACATGACTAATATCTGGCGCATCTAACCTTGGAGATACTTCATCAAGTTATCCTGACATTGTTAGTTTAAGGATGTCTGAGGGCTTGTCTGCCGGCCTGTATTGACAGTACATCTATTATCTTTTCCAGTGATGGTAATTTTTCAAATCTAGATGACCTAATCTAACGATCCAATTGAAAAAAGGTCAGTGTGCATTATATTTAACTAGGTACAGTTATTTAATTATTATAACTTTTGTACCAATTTCACATTTTACTACAGACATGTGGAAACCACCTATTGTACAGTTTTGCACAAAACTATAATTAATATTACCTGACTTTTGAAATTATTTAATCCCAAATGGATAAAACAGTCAGCTATAAGAATACAACATTATTTCTAAATGTCAGTGTGCTTATTTTGTAGCAAATGCATAAATGTGGGGATATAAGTATTTCCCTGAATTTCTAACATGCATTGACATTCCACTGAAGACATTATACAGTGCTGCGACGACATGCAGGAAGGTTACAATGCAGTGATGTCCGAGTGACGCTACCATCAATAACTCATGTCGGAAGATATATAAAAACTGTCATAAAATGGAGAATAATTTGCTTTCAGTATGGTATATCACATCGCAACTTGCAATTAGACGTTTAATTTGTGGTTCTCTGCTTCAGACTGGCGATAGACTGACTTAAAATATGTCATGGAATGACAGTTCGAGCGGCACAGTAACCAGGGAACATACCAGCAGACATCCCTGACACAATGCGTTCGGCTGAATGTCAAAGGGAGACTACTCCTCCTCAACATTTTAATCACTGAAATTCAGATGTTGCTTCCAAAAAGTATAAAGGAAAACCTTGTTTCCTTGTGATGGCTGTAAAGTCCCAGAATCTATTGCTGAAGAAGACAACCTCAGACGGGTATGGATAGGGCTGGGACGTTTAACTCGGGTACTCGGGTCCAGGGTATAGGAACCGGGTACCCACAGGATACTCAGATCCATAATTAGTTATGTCATGTATAATATAGTGTTTAATGAAAATAAAACTCCATGGTTACACTACAAGTCACTAAAGTTTGCATTCCTCCTGACGTTTTTGTTGAGTAAAGAAAATGTTTTCAGTCAACAACAGCATATGCATGATTAGATTGTTTATACATGGAGCTCAATAGCTTTTAACAGGGTCTTTGAAAATCAATTCCCAATTGGACATTTTGTACCTTGAGACCTACAACGGTACCTGGGTAGGGTCAAGTAATAGGGGGGTCGGGTTTCCAGAAAGTTAATTTGGACTCATCCCTGCCTAATATGTAGAGGTTTCAAGTTTTTGGTTTGGTTTGGTTTGTTGTTTAACGCTGCAATCAGCAATATTCCAGCTATATGACGGCGGTCTGTAAATAATTGAGTCTGGACCAGACAATCCAGTGATTAATATCTTGAGCATCGATCCACGCTATTGGGATCAATGACATGCATCAACCAAGTCAGCGAGCCTGACCACCCGATCCTGTTAGTCGCCTTTTACGACAAGCATTGTCACCTTTTACGGCAAGCATGGGTTGCTGAAGACCTATTCTACCCCGGAATCGTTTCAAGTGGTCAAGAGGGAAATCAGACTTGGTAGGGGAGGGCGATATGATTTGCAATTAAAAGTATGTTACTTACTGTAGGTTGAATCCTACACACTGAATATTCACAAAATGTTTAGTCGAGATTGAGACATGCTTATAGACTACTCTGATAATGGAGATTCGAACAAGGCTGGACGCATCAGTAAATGATACAGTTGAAATACTGATCTCATTGTCATTATGTTTTATAGAGAAGGGTTCGCAAATGTTGGCATATTGTCTAAGCATTTTGGGACGAGGGAGACATGCATGAATGTTAGCAAGTGTTAGCAGTACATTAGTGGAAGACGTCACATCCTCCTGATGACTGTGAGTGTAATATCGCAACAAGACTAGTTGTAAGTAAAACTGTATCAACCTGAAGCCAGGTTACCATGCATTAGTGTCTGACATTATTTTCCAGACCCTTTTAAACGTAACCATGCTGACATATTTTACAGCAGTTGGTGAATTAATGACACAGCTGAATGAGCATAATACTGTCCACTCAGCAATCACAGCATAATCACATCTGCATGGTAACCAGGTAACCTGACATCAGAAGATGACGGAAACAATACAAAAACACACAAAAAACTTAACACTACAAAAAGGATGACTGTGAATATTGAAAACCACACATGATATATAATGTATACAATACGAGGGGCTCAGCTCAGAGCCTATTACAGACTTCATACCAGTATACTAAACGACTGAGCACTGAGTCACGTCAGTGCTGTGGACACCCTTGGAGCAATGCTTATCCTTGTCTGCAGTGCAGAGGGTGAGTTGAGACTAGAACTATGACTGACAGTTGGAGATGCACATTCTTGTAACCATGGTAACATGACTAAATCCCTGTCAACAGGATAAGAACATTTGTAATGTCGATAAGGTCAAATGTCCAGGACCCATTCCACAAAATATATCTTAGCTCTATGGCTGTCGTAAGTCTATATCAAAGATTGAAGTTACAATGTCGTAAGTCTATGTTTATAGCATTGGAGTAACGATCGTCTTAGCATGCTTAGGGCTGACTGTCGTAGGTCCATATTGAAGGATTGAAGTTACAATGTCGTAAGTCTGTGTTTAAAGCATTGGAGTAACTATCGTCTTAGGGCTGAATGTCGTAAGTCAGTGTTAAAGGATTGAAGTTACAATGTCGTAAGTCTATGTTAAAGCATTGGAGTAATGACCGTCTTAGGGCTGACTGTCGTAAGTCCATCTTAAGGATTGAATATAAAATATCGTAAGTCTATGTTTAACGCATTAGAGCAAAGATCGTCTTAGGGCTGACTGTCGTAAGTCAATATTAAAGGATTGAAGTTACAATGTCGTAAGTCTATGTTTAAAGCATTGGAGTAATGACCTGGTATCTTCTTAGGGCTATGAATGTCATAAGTCAGTGTTAAAGGATTTAAGTTACAATGTCGTAAGTCTATGTTGAAAGTATTGGAGTAACTATTGTCTTAGCACTATGACTGTCATAAATCCAAATTAAAGGATTGAAGTTACAATGTCGTAAGTCAATGTTTAAAGCATTGGAGCAACAATCGTCTTAGCGTAACGACTATCATAAGTCTGTGTATAAAGCATTGGAGCAACAATCATCTTAGTGCTATGACTGTCATAAGTCTGTATAAAAGAGTCCAAGATCGTCCTAGGGTAAAGAAATCCCTGTGGAAAGGGGTCAAGAACCTCATCGGTGACTAAATTGTACAGTCATCTACGCTGTGACTATCAATATGACAGCTCTACATTCATCAATTCTGTGACTATCAACACGACAACCCCAGCTCTATTGATCGATTCTGTACACAGACACACTTGTGACACACTAATGTGACATGCTTGTGACACGTCTCTATTATATATAACCTGAACCAACCCTCTCAAGGAAACACTCACACACTGGTATACTGAGAGTAAGAAATTAGGGAACAGACACAAGGAGAAGTAGGTTAATATGGTTTATATCTCCCCCTTGGAGACTATTGCGAATGAGCGGTTTGGGTTTTACACTGTGTCTACCAATAGTTCATCTATATGACAGCAAGGGGGACACCAAAGATGGCCTTCACTTTGTATCATGTGGGGAACTGAACCTGGGTATTCGAATTGACAAGCTAACACTTTACCTACTGGGTCACCCCACCCCACAGATAATGTAGTGAACACCCTATCTTTATTTGATGGACATTCTTAATTCAGCCAATATCATTTCTTAGTGATCCAGTCAATGACTGAGTAAGTTTTGAATCTCAATGTCATGCAAGTCATGAACGTACACTTAGTGCTGACAAACCAGCTGCAAAACACAATGCTGAACAAAAGTCAAAATGAGCAGTCTGTGCCAAAAACTGTTGCGTCAATTTATCTGAACTCTTTCAATAGATTTAAGGGTATATGAGGGTGATAACATCTGGCCTTTTACCAAAGGCCCAAGTACATTTTACTAGATTTGATCTTCAGAACAGTGACAAAAGTCACAGGCTGATGGTGATTAAAGTTGTCCCCAGTGTAGTACCCAATGGTATAACAGCACATGTATGGTCTCCACACAAAAACTACAAGCAATTTGAATTAACTATCACACTATCACTCACACAACAGCCGTTACATGTACTTAAGATATGAAGGTTGTGGCCCTTCCAAAGGTCATCTGACCTTGTATACACATCTTTGCATACTGCAATGAAACAATTTGATACATTGGTAGTGGTGAGGTTAGTAGTATTAAAGTAGTTGTAAAAGTCGACCTGTAAACATATCTTGCCATAAGACTGTCCAGTACAATGTCACAATGTAAACGTTGCAACACAATGCATAAAACAATGTATAAGTTTGGGCTATGAAAGAAAAACACATAGCCATGTAAAGTGGATACAGAAACGGTAAAGAACACAGTTAATATTGGACCACGATTGAATACGAGATTACGACACTTTGCAGATGGAACTCCAGCGTTGACGGGCTTGTATCCATTGTATAATAATCAACTTCAAGTACGAGATAAACTACTGTGGTATAAAATTTGAGGTAGTCTAACTGTAGATTACATACCTCTTATTTTAATTTGGACCCAAGTACTTGATACAATTCTAATGGCATAACGACAGCTTTTGTTATATGCATCGCGTATGCTATCAACATGCCAATGCTTTTATAAGCAATATTTTTGTGTCAAAAAGGCATGTTAATTTTGAGGTATCGAATTGAGTTAGATACCTGTTTTTAATCTTCAATCAGAATCAAGCATTCTTCACTGTCATGGTAGAATGTTACTACTTATGATGTCCTTATCCAAATTCCACCTCACACCAGACAATGGAGACAAGCCCAGCTGTGGAGATAAGGTGAGTGACTAAACAACGTAACTGATGAACACGAAACTAATTGTTGTGGATAATGCCAACTAGAAATGCTTTTCGTGAATAATGTAACGAATAAATAAGAACTTTCATAACGCTGGTCGCCAGTAATAGTTAATTTGATCATCACTTTCAATGTACTTTCATAATGCTGGTCGCCAGTAATAGTTAATTTGATCATCACTTTCAATGTAACAACAGACAATGTTATATGATATCCTTTCAGTCCACCCCCACTGATCATATGATGTCAACCTGGAATGGCTCTGAAGTCACATAATGATTAGCTAAGTAGCACATTAAAGGCCAAAAGCTTCATAATCCAAATTTTGTCCTAAAGATCTTCCACTCTTAATCGCTAAATGAACATCACATTCGCTCACTGATGGTGCAACTCAATCTCATTAAAATCAGACCTTAGTTCTCGCTACAGCTAAACAAAGATCTGAGGACATCCCTGTAGAGGTCATGTCAGAACAACCTTTCATCCGACCAATCAGAGCAACGCTTACTAGATCATGAAAGTGACAGTTGGAATGTGATTTCTAATCATGCATCCATGAAAACGTTAACACGGGGTGTTCCGAACGATAGTTACGGGTCTAACGACTGAATCCATACAATCTAGACCATCTATTAGCGATTCCAGAATGTTTTTTTTGTTCAGGTTTCAAATTTTTAATCAAGAATATTGTCAAAATATGTTTCGAAGCGTTGTCGCCAATTTGAAAATAGTGCCGTAAAGCACGAGAAAGCTGCCTTCTGATTGGTCATTCCATTGGTCGGTCTGATGTGACCCGTAATGGGATGTCCTAAGATCTTTGTTTAGTGGTAGCGAGAACTAAGATCTGATTTTAATGAGATTTGGTGCAACTGGACCAGCCAATAGCATGCTGGCCCGATGACAGAGGAACATACCAAGTGGGCGGGGCATACGCAATAGAGTCTTAGATATCAAGTGGGCACCTGCAGTCCTTAAGGCTCTCTGCTGTCATACTTAAATCTAGGGATGCCCAATCTTTGATTTTAAACATTTGGGTTGTACAGGGCCCTTTGATTTTCTTAATTTGAACACACTAGATTACATAATCTACTTATCAAGAAAACGGCGTAGTTGCTGTAGACCGTGCAGAAACGAGGGAGACAATATCACAGCAAGGGAGTCAACAGGTCTGCCTACGTTCACTAGAGTGACGGCAGCGGAGGATTGCTATCTAACTCACAATCAGAAATCTCAGTGCACACATAAGCATAGTTACACATCGTCAATACTGACAATGACAGTTACAAGGTGAAGGTCATGTCTACACTAGCATAAATTTTAGAAGACAGATAATTGAAGTGAAAATTATTAATAATACAGCATGTCAATTTGTAGCACTATTTAAATGTATTTCCCCAACTACTAGTCAGCAACATATGTGAGCTGGCTCTCCCAGAAGTTAATATAACTCAAGAGCAATGGCACCAAGTTTTGTCCCTGTAGCCACTCTGTTACACCAGTCTCAACAACATCTACAACTCCTGTCCCTATGGCAACACTGCTGTATGTTACAGCCTCACCAACATCTAACACTCCAGAGCAAGTCTTCTGGCACTGTCCGCTAAGCTAGTCGGACTAGATTTCAACAAAAACTTCAAGCAGTAGTATTCCTCCAGTGAAACACCATTGACGAAGCCAGAAACACTCTTGGCAAACTTGGTGACAAGATCTGCTCTCTCTTTCTCAAGCCAGAGAGACAGGTCCTGTTCCATGTCCTCAGGGCTGTCAGAAGGTTCAGACCGCCCAGGTTCAGTCTGGCTCGGGTCAGTCCTACTCGGCCCCCATAGCAGGTACTCCACGACAGAGCGAACCTGTGCCAGGCACTCCACCTTCCGCGGCTGCAACATTCCCTGCAACGTATCAACTGTGTCTAGGGTATCTGGGCTCTCTGTCTCCGCTCGGTGCTCCGTCATTGCATCGTCCAGCAGCTTGTCCAGGAATCGACACATGGCCTCACCCTGGTGGACGTCATGTGAGCGTTGCCGTGGCAAGAAGGTGATGACCTTGCCCCGAAGGTCGCTGCGTGTTACAAGGAAAATGTCCCGGAAGTCTGTCTCGGTGACAGTGTACCCCTGGTCTAAGCAGTGTGACATGGCACTGAGCAGTTGCAGTGCCATGGAGAGGATGACGTTCATGTAGACTTCAGCATTGTGGGTCAAGGTCTCCCTCAGCAGGGACAAGTGACTGTCCAGACTCTCAATGATGTCAAAGCTGCCTACCGCACAGAAACACTTAGCCAGGCTGCTGTCATACACAGAATTCTGGACCAGCTGACTTGTCTTGATGAACTCCTCCGTGAGGAAGGAGAAGGGGATGGTGTCTGCAAACACGGCAGCTGGCTTCAGAAGGCTGGGATGAGTCACTGTGCTGCTTTCTGTCGCTGGTCGTGAGTGGAGGAGCTGAAACATGACGTAGTGTTACATGTACATGGGGTTATATCTATGCTACGACATGTACATGATGTTATATCTATGTTATGACATGTACATGGTGTTATATCTATGTTACAACATGTACAGGGTGTTATATATATGTTACAACATGTACAGGGTGTTATATCTATGTTATGACATGTACAGGGTGTTATATCTATGTTATGACATGTACAGGGTGTTATATCTATGTTATGACATGTACAGGGTGTTATATCTATGTTACAACATGTACAGGGTGTTATAGCTATGTTACAAAATGTACAGGGTGTTATATCTATGTTATCACACGTACATGGTGTTATATTTATGTTATGAAATGTACAGGGTGTTATATCTATGTTATGACATGTACAGGGTGTTTTATCTAGGTCATGATGTGCAGGTTGTCATATATCCGTGTTATGTCATGTTCAGGGTGTTATACCTATGTTGTGACAAGCACAGGGTGTTGGATCTATGTTATGACATATACAGGGTGTTACATTTATGTCATGACATATACAGGGTGTTATATCTATATTATGACATATACAGGGTGTCACATCTATGTTATGAAGTATATGTGGAATCCGTGGAATGAGGTACCGGGGACCTATTCTGTCCCGGGATCTCCACAGGGGAAACACATCTGTGGTACTGGGGACCTATTCTGTCCCGGGATCTCCACAGGGGAAACACATTTGAGGTACTGTGGACCTATTCTGTCCCGGGATCTCCACAGGGGAAACACATTTGAGGTACTGTGGACCTATTCTGACCCAGAATCTCCACAGGGGAAACACATTTGTGGTACTGGGGACCTATTCTGTCCCGGGATCTCCACAGGGGAAACACATTTGTGGTACTGGGGACCTATTCTGACCCAGAATCTCCACAGGGGAAACACATTTGTGGTACTGGGGACCTATTCTGTCCCGGGATCTCCACAGGGGAAACACATTTGTGGTACTGGGGACCTATTCTGACCCAGGATCTCCACAGGGGAAACACATTTGTGGTACTGGGGACCTATTCTGTCCCGGGATCTCCACAGGGGAAACACATTTGTGGTACTGGGGACCTATTCTGACGCGGGATCTCCACAGGGGAAACACACTTGTGGTACTGGGGACCTATTCTTACGCGGGATCTCCACAGGGGAAACAGATTTGTGGTACTGGGGACCTATTCTGACCTGGGATCTCCACAGGGGAAACACATTTGTAGTACTGGGGACCTATTCTGACCCAGAATCTCCACAGGGGAAACATTTGTGGTACTGGGGACCTATTCTGACCCAGAATCTCCACAGGGGAAACACATTTGTGGTACTGGGGACCTATTCTGACGCGGGATCTCCACAGGGGAAACACATTTGTGGTACTGGGGACCTATTCTGACCCAGAATCTCCACAGGGGAAACACATCTGTGGTACTGGGGACCTATTCTGACGCGGGATCTCCACAGGGGAAACACATTTGTGGTACTGGGGACCTATTCTTACGCGGGATCTCCACAGGGGAAACACATTTGTGGTACTGGGGACCTATTCTTACGCGGGATCTCCACAGGGGAAACACATTTGTGGTACTGGGGACCTATTCTTACGCGGGATCTCCACAGGGGAAACACATTTGTGGTACTGGGGACCTATTCTGACCCAGAATCTCCACAGGGGAAACACATTTGTGGTACTGGGGACCTATTCTGACCCGGGATCTCCAAGGGGGAAACACATTTGTGGTACTGGGGACCTATTCTGACCCAGAATCTCCACAGGGGAAACACATTTGTGGTACTGGGGACCTATTCTGACCCAGAATCTCCACAGGGGAAACACATTTGTGGTACTGGGGACCTATTCTGACCCGGGATCTCCAAGGGGGAAACACATTTGTGGTACTGGGGACCTATTCTGACCCAGAATCTCCACAGGGGAAACACATTTGTGGTACTGGGGACCTATTCTGACCCGGGATCTCCAAGGGGGAAACACATTTGTGGTACTGGGGACCTATTCTGTCCCGGGATCTCCAAGGGGGAAACACATTTGTGGTACTGGGGACCTATTCTGACCCAGAATCTCCACAGGGGAAACACATTTGTGGTACTGGGGACCTATTCTGACCCGGGATCTCCAAGGGGGAAACACATTTGTGGTACTGGGGACCTATTCTGACCCGGGATCTCCAAGGGGGAAACACATTTGTGGTACTGGGGACCTATACTGTCCCGGGATCTCCACAGGGGAAACACATTTGTGGTACTGGGGACCTATTCTGACCCAGAATCTCCACAGGGGAAACACATTTGTGGTACTGGGGACCTATTCTGACCTAAATCTCCAGAAGGGAGGCAGATTGAGGTACTGGGGGGAAGACTACTCCGACCTTGAACCTCCATTGGGGGGTGGGGGTGGCATGTACAAGGTGCTTCGGACCACTTCTTATCCAGATTCAACACAACGAGAAACAATGCTATCAGAACATACAACTTACCATGAGTTGGCATGGGGAGTTGTTGACCTTGAACTTTGCATTATAGACGATACATCTTTCTGAGGCATGCAGAGGCTGGCCGTAGATGTCGAAGTCTCCCCACTTGAGCTGGTGGGGTGCCGGCAGGGACAGTTTCTCCTGTGACAGCAGCCGTTCCACCTGACTGTAGATGTCCTGGAGGCTCTGCAACATCATCGTTGTCAGGCGACTGTGCAGGTCTCGTAGCTTGTCCTCTCGCAACGTAACTGACGCATTTGGTCGGTTCATTGCCACATATTGCTCGGAGGAAGACCGGTCACCTTTCTTGGGTTTCCGTCTGGGGGCAGGTTTAGGCCTGGAGAGGGTACTGCAGGTGGAGGTCGTGTCGGACTCCGAGGAGACAGTTTCCCTGGACTGGGAGCGACCTGCGGGGTCAGGAGGGGCGAGGAAGTCGGTCTCAGTGGTCTGTGATACCTGGGACAGCGTAGACACCATGGATGTAGCATCATCATCAATGACCCTGTTGTAGCCGTTGATTTCCTCATAAATGGGCTGCGAGGCGAGAAGCATCTGTCTTGATTCATCCATGTCAGCATCTTCATCAAATGGATCACCCAGGCTATCCTCTTCCTCAATTGTTGACGGCATCGCCACCATGCTGGAGGTCATCCCCATCATGCTGGAGGTCATCGTCGATGGCAACGCACACATACTTGAGGTCATGAGATTGGCTGCAGTCCCAGACGTGGCAGTGACCGGTGGCACAGGCTCAAGGTAACCTTCAACTGGAATGTTCGGACAAATTGTTGTCACAGTACTGCCAGTGATAGGATCATAAAAGTGACGACCCCCGAACTTCGGCAGGATTGCCTCATAGAGGTTCTCCAGAGAGCCTAAGGGGGAGAGAGCATCAGGTTTCAGATCCTCAAACTCCTTGTCCATGACAACAGATGATGACATTGGCCCACCTGTTTAGCAATACACACCAGCATGTTGGTACGATATGTGAGATGTAGACTACAGTTATATATGAGCAGTTATCACACATTATCCTACACCAATGAAATTACTTGTTTCACAGATCTGAATATCATAGATTAACCATTATAAAAATTGTAATGGGAAATGATCATGTCTTGAAAAGATTTTTGCGGTAATTGGAAAATTAAGTAATAATTTATTTTACACAGTGATTGTTATTTCATAATTTAATAATTCAACATATGCTTCTTAGATAGATTGTACATTCAAAATATAACAGAAATATGACAAATAATGGGATGATTGCTCGGGACGATCAGTTTCTCACATTATCATAAGCATGGTCATGGAAATGGGCTTATCCAAAAATACTATCAATATGAGTTGTGTTACAGTGTCATATCTCCATAGAGATTATTAGCAAAGTGAGTTTCCGTATCATTAATATCATATATACCGAGGATGAAAATGGTATTGTGCAAGATTATGGCAGATGTAATACATAGTTGGTATGTTGGTACATAAAATACGCACTACTGCATATAGGACAAAATTTACCCATATTTATCAACCATGCTTGTATACAGTAAATAATGTCTACTGCATCTATCAGTTATCATGGAGTTAAAAGGACAAAATTTATCAACCGAGCTTGTAAACATAGGATAATATTAACTTCATTTATCGGTTATGATGGAATATAAATGACAAAATGTATCAACCATGCTTGTAAACAGAGGACAATGTTTACTTTAGCTATCAGTTATGATGGAATATAAAGGACAAAATTTATCAACCATGCTTGTAAACAGAGGACAATGTTTACTTTAGCTATCGGTTATGATGGAATATAAAGGACAAAATTTATCAACCATGCTTATAAACAGAGGACAATGTCTACTTAAGCTATCGGTTATGATGGAATATAAAGGACAAAATTTATCAACCATGCTTATAAACAGAGGACAATGTTTACTTTAGCTATCGGTTATGATGGAATATAAAGGACAAAATTTATCAACCATGCTTGTAAACAGAGGACAATGTCTACTGAATCTTTTTGGCATGCTGGTACACAGAGGAATCTATCAGCATGCTTGTATATAAAGGACAAGTATCCATAAGTATAATAAGGATGTCACTTTGTTCTACTGATCATCCACAGCAAGTCAGGGGTTCGTCTATCCCTAAAAACTACGGGAGAACAAGCTGTGAGAAACTGAACTCCTTACTGAACATCAAACCCGAGGCAAATGCCGGGTCATCACCTAGTGAGATAGTGTTCCGCCGGTTCTCCAGGATCTTCGTGTTCGTCATGTCAGTCACCAGCTGAAACAGAAGTACAACTCTGAACATCTGAGGGATTTATCTAGGATTCAAAACTAAGTGCCCTTGCCCGTCAAATTGAGAAAAATTGCTACTTTGTTCAAAATTTGGAATTAATCTCAAGTTCTTCTTTTCACAATTGGAATCTCAACATTGCCTTTAATGCAATAATGGTAAACTTAGCACTGAAGCCTATTGTGTGTATTGGTGTAATCAATGAAATAACAGTCACTTCCACTAAGTCATAAAGGAAACAATGGGAAGTGTTTAAATCCAATTTGTAAAAATTTACTTGCAGCAGACTTGTGGCCGAATATCGGCTTTTAAGCAGGTCTAGAAAATCCCTGCATTTAGAAACAATTTACTGTGCATAGTTGCTTCCCTTAGTCATACCTGGATCCACTGAAGCACCTAGAAAAGTATCTATGTGTACAAAGACCCATGATATTATGAGGTGAGGTATATGCCTTCTGTATTACAGTAAAATATGTTTATAATGAACACACTCAGTTCAGTGAGTGAGTGAGTGAGTATGGTTTTACGCCGCTTTTAGCAATATTCCATCAATATCAAGGCGGGGGACACCAGAAATGGGCTTCACACATTGTGCCCATGTCAGGAATCGAACCCAAGTCTTCGGCGTGACGAACTAACGCTTTAACCACTAGGCTACCCGACCACCCCCACACTCATAACAAACTGACGGATGTTACAAACTTAATTTTTGGTCCCTGCCTTTTGCTTCATAGATGGTGTATATATGCTTATAACAAACTACAGTTTTACAAACTAAAATTATAGTGGTCCAATTGAGTTCGCTATAACCGTAGTTTACTGTATATGCATGTGTTCACATATGCTATTCCCCTCCGACCATTTGAGAGGAAATGACATGTTTAGTAATGAATGCTGCTATTTCATAATTTGATACCACTTACAATTAATTTCTGTATGTAATCATTTCGACACACAGTGGAATGCATAATGCATGTTTAGCAATGAATGCTGCTATTTCATAATTTGATACCACTTACAATTAATTTCTGTATGTAATCATTTAAAAAAAAATATACTCAGTCAAAGGTTAATGACCTTCTCCGGCTATCGCTTTGGGAACTCTGTTTTAAACAGTCTCTGAGTATGTGCAATCATACATTACTTCTAAAAATAAGCTGCATATTTGCGTAAAATACCCCCCCAAAATATTCAAAACCCAATAACTTTCAATTAACTTGCGTACAAAAATGCATGCATTAAATGAAAAACTCAAATGTATAAAAATAGCACACGTAAATACCCAATGAAGCTTTTTCAGCGTGCATACAAAGGAGCTGATTTCCGAAACACAATTACGAGCCAATTTATTTTCCGAGTCAGGCCTATATATTTAGAACTGTTATATGCATCTAAAACTCAATTGCTCAAAAAGTTATCTGGAGCTCTGTGATAGAGTCCTGTGTTACATTATTGACATTCGTCTGGGACCCTATTAGGGCTGGGACGAGTTCAAATTTACTACCCGGGTACCCACCCTCCTATTACCTGACCCTACCCGGGTACCCACTGTAGGTCTCAAGAGATACAAAATATCAGAGTGGTTTTTTTTTATGACAGCACTTGCAAAATGAATTTAGATACATGTATTAAATGATCTGGTCATGCATACACTGAAATTGACTTAAGTTACTCATGGTTGTATCTTTATTCAAAGATGTGAAAAGTCAGAAGGGAAGGGGTGCATAGTCAGAAAGAAATGCGAATATTAGTGACTTGTAGTGTAACCATAGAGTTCTAGATAATTTTTGTCATTAAACAATATATCACGTGACTAACCACGAGTCTGGGTAGTCCTGTGGGTACCCGGGTCCTACTCAGTACCCACCCGATCCGGGTACCCGAGTTACCCGTCCCAGCCCTAGACCCTATTCTGTAGCTTGGAGCCCCAGGTTTTATCCTGGTACAATTAAAGGTTCTGAGTCCCTGGACCCCAACATAACTAAGCCAGGTAACGCTCTGCATACCACAGGCCCCGATATGTCGGCAGCGTTGATCTTCTTCTGTTTGTTGGTGCGCGGCAGAGTGGACTCGGTGATGGACTTGGCTCGCTTCACGGACGCCGGGGGCTGCGGGGCACGGACCTTCTTGTTGCCCAACTTGCCCAGGAAACTCTTTCTACTCATCGGAGCAGCGGTCGGCAGCTCGATCTTCTCCCGCGGTGAGTCGATCTTCTCCCTTGGTGAGTCGATCTTCTCCCTTGGTGAGTCATCTTCATTCTGAAGGGCCAAGAAATTGTATTGGGATCAGTTAGCATAGGTATTCAATCAGTTTATTCAGTAATAAGGCCTCTGGACCATGTACAGATATATACAATTTAGTTTCAAGTGCTGCATGAAATAATATTTACAGGTAAGAGTGAGTGAGTGAGTTGGGTTTAACGCCTCTTTTAACAGTATTCCAGTTATATCGCGGCATGTCAGCTTAATGTGGGAGGAAAGCCCGAAGTGATGCAGGTCTCAGACGTTTACCACTTCGGTGAAACCCACGAGCACGGGTATGGTGCTCACAAACCTAGAAACATAATCGGGGTGAACCGGGATTCGAACCCACAATCATAGGTTTCTGGCATGTCCAAGGGACACAACTCTGCACAGCGAATCGCGGCGCCTTAGACGACAGGGCCACCCGTGCCCCCTTTACAGGTAAGAAGAATGAAGACAGTTAGCATCATTAAAATAATTGGCTAAGTTCTCAAGACAGAATATTTAAACATTCTAACTAGTATATCTTTACAATTATTATCAGTAATAACGTCTAAATATGGGAACTATTTTGACCGAATATCTTCATAAATAGAGCAAACAAGAATTAAATGAATTTCATTTTCAGCTGCCCTTAACTTGCACAATGGATGCCATCCCTCCTTCCTGTGTTATGCATAATTCTCAGTTCTCCAATACATAAAAGGGTAAGCATACGTCACTTTTCTTTTGATAATACATTTAATAGTTATGGTTCAAGTGATAATGATATCTTAAATAATGAATACAGTGTCAGTATTGGTGATCGTGGACAGTGTCATTATTGGGAATGATGACACTGAGTGTTTACTTTGAATTCAACCAGCCATTAAGCCCATACCACTTCCTGCATCCCATCTAAGCCATTCCAACAACAGTGATCTGATTGATGTCGCATCTTCATTACAAGTAAGTGAGTGAGAGAGTTTGGTTTTACGCTTTTAGCAATATTCCAGCAACATCACGGGGGACACTAGAAATGGGCTTCACACATTGTACCCATGTCGGGAATCGAAACCGGGTCTTAAGTGTGACGAGCGAACGCTTTAACCTCAAGGCTACCCAACCGCCCACTTCATCACAAGAAGCACAACTCATGCTCTGCATGGGGAGGCATCACAATTGAGCCAAGAAAAGTTGGCAAGGTTGAACACTTGAGTTGGATATAGGCTAGCGGGCACTCTTTCCTCAAGAAAAGGCCCATCTAAGTACTAAAGGCAATACTGTGATATACTGGGAAACAGAATATAACTACTGAACATAACTATTGAATATAACGGCCGAATATAACAGTTGAATATGACTGTTGAATATAACTACTGAATATAACTGTTGAACATAACTATTCAATATAACTGTTGAATATAACTATTGAATTTAACTGTGGAACATAACGTTTGAATTTAACTGTTGAACATAATGTTTGAATTTAACTGTTGAATTTAACTGTTGAACATAACTATTGAATATAACAGTTGAATATGACTGTGGAATATAACTGTTGAACATAACTATTGAATTTAACTGTGGAACATAACTATTGAATTTAACTGTTGAATTTAACTGTTGAACATAACTATTGAATATAACTGTTGAACATAACGTTTGAATTTAACTGTGGAACATAACGTTTGAATTTAACTGTGGAACATAACGTTTGAATTTAACTGTTGAATTTAACTGTTGAACATAACTATTGAATATAACAGTTGAATATGACTGTGGAATATAACTGTTGAACATAACTATTGAATTTAACTGTGGAACATAACTATTGAATTTAACTGTTGAATTTAACTGTTGAACATAACTATTGAATATAACTGTTGAACATAACGTTTGAATTTAACTGTGGAACATAACGTTTGAATTTAACTGTGGAACATAACGTTTGAATTTAACTGTTGAATTTAACTGTTGAACATAACTATTGAATATAACAGTTGAATATGACTGTTGAATATAACTGTTGAACATAACTATTGAATTTAACTGTGGAACATAAATATTGAATTTAACTGTTAAATTTAACTGTTGAATATAACTGTTGAACATAACTATTGAATATAACAGTTGAACATAACTGTTGAATTTAACTGTTCAACATAACTACTGAATATAACAGTTGAACATAACTATTGAATATAACCAGAGCTCCAGATAAGCTTTTGGTGTTGTGGGTATTTTACCCATGCATTTTAAAATCATTGAATATCAGTAATTCTATCTGGGTATTCAAATTTCTGTTACCCACTAGTTTTTACACATGTGGGTATATAAGTTAAATATTTAAAAACACTATTCACCTAGTCCCTGCAAACTGGTGTCGTGTTGGTTCGAGAGCTTTATAGGACTAAAAAATACCACGATACTTCCACAAGAAAGTGTGATGGCAAATGATCATGATGTAACTGTCATCGTGGAGTTTGGCAAGGTTGCCCGTTTATAATTTCAAAATAAGTTGCTGATTTGCTAATCGAATACGCAGGGTTACTTCACAATATTTTGATGATACGCACAAGTTTTATTTTTGTAGCGTATCTGTAATGTTCGTTGCGTATTTGATACTCTTGGATTTTATTATATAACTGTTGAATATAACTGTTGAACATAACTGTTGAACATAACCATTGAACATAACAGTTGAATATAACTGTTGAACATAACTGTTGAACATAACCGTTGAACATAACCATTGAATATAACAGTTGAATATAACTGTTGAATATAACTGTTGAACACAACTGTTGAACATAACTGTTGAACATAACCATTGAATATAACAGTTGAATATAACTGTTGATCATAACTGTTGAATATAACTGTTGAATATAACAGTTGAATATAACTGTTGATTATAACTGTTGAATATAATTCACCAAATATCACACTGTTAAGCTTGAAATGACAAGAAATAACTGTGTCCAGATTGTCCTACAGCTTACTACCAGCCCATCCAACCTTCTGAGGGGTGGAGAAACTGTTTGTGTCAGTATATAAAACAAGGAATAACTGTGTTCAGTATTGTCCATCTTATTTAAATACAGTCGAATTCCTACCTTCTTGATTTCCTCCGGCTTATCCAGGGTTGTGGGGGAGGCAGGCATGGATTCGTCAAGCTCTGGAACAGGCGATGTTGGCGACGGTGGCCCCTGGGTGGACGACTTCCTGTCTCGTATAGATGACGCACCTTCAGTGGACCGACTCAACCTTCGCTCCAACTCACGAGCAAAATCTGGATTCCGTGTGTCCGTCATCCGAGCAGGAACTGATGTACGAGTGGGCGGCTGAGGGGGAGCCCCCTTCTTGGGACTCTTCGGTCTCCTTCGGACAACAACCCCAGACTCTTCCCCGCCCGACCCAGGAGGCTTGGATGGGAGTTGTGGTTTGGTCTGTGGTGGGTTGGGAGGCACCTGTGGTTTGGTCCCGTGTTGGGGGGGAGGGGGCTTGGCACCTGGTTGGGTCGGGGGCACCTGTGGGGGAATGGGTTTGGGGTTGGGGGAGGATGTGGAGGGCTGATGTGACCTTGACAAGGTGGATGTGGAGTTGGAAGAGGAGGTGGTGTCGCGAGATTTGCCATGGTCACGGGGGAGGGTATGGGAGGTGAAGTCTGTCTTGGGTTTAGTGGAGGGGGGATTGGCTGGAAGTTGCGGCAGGACTGTGGTATCCTCTTTGGTGGCAGCTGCTCTCTGCATGATTGGGGAGGATTTCTCCATGTCTCTCTTCATTCTTAGTTTTGGACTAGATATTCCCTTCTTATGTTGTAATGGGGAGCTGGGAGCAGCTTTTGGCATAGCACCATCGAAGCGGTCCTCCATGGAGCTCTTGTGGTCCAGTGCAGGGCTGGAGGAGGAGGTGACAGGCGGGCTCATTGGGGGAGGGGTTGCTGGGGGCAACACTCGGAATTTGGGCTGCGGAGAAAACTTTGCAGTTCTCTTCTCCGCCGGGGAGGCCGGTGGCTGATCCTCCTTTATGTCTCTGATCTCTATCATAGATGAGGACATCACGTCCGTTTTGGTGTCCGGCTTCGCGAAGGTAATATCGGGATTGCTGCTTTCAACAGAGAGTTCCGAGGAGTCCCGCCCACGACGCAGAATGTTCCTAAAGAAGGAAGTAAAGCCCCGCTTTGCCTTCCCAATATCTGCCGACTTGCAGGTGACCCGAAGGTCATCTTGGTCATCCAGGCCGAGACTTGGTTCACTCACGGCCTTCGGTGCTATAAGGGGTTCCAGCTGTGGAGGAGTCACAATTGACTTCCCCACCGTCACCATCTTAAAGTTCGGCTCCGTCTGATTAGCTAGTTTTCGTGTGGGCGAGACCTGCGGTTCTGGGGGAGGAGAACTCGGAGGTCGTGGAGCCTGACGAGATTTCCGTGACTTCTGGAGGTCAAGGTTGGCCGCCACAGAAGCCATTCGCTTCTCAAAGTCAGCATTCTTTTTCAACTTGTCCTTGCGGGCGTCAGTATTGCTGTCGGTATCTTTAGCACCAGATTCCCCTTCATTGCTGCCAGCCTTCACCTCTATTAATGGCTGGCGAGGGCTGTATCTAAAGTCACTGTATTTACTCTCAATCTCACCATAGCTAGCCAACACATCATTAAGCAGCTCAACCACCTCTAGTCCAGCAATAGTGCTGTCTGTGTCCGAGAAGGAGGTGTTGCCATCCTTCTTCTTCTGTTCCTCTTTCACAGAAGAGCTCAATTCTTCCTCCTTCCCGGAAGAAAGCCCTTCTTGTTTGGGCTCGGGCCCGGAGGTGGATTCGTACTGAGATCCATACAGACACTCCTCAATATCGTCCAGAGTGTACGACTTAGAGTTCTCCTTTGGAACTACGTACGGCTTCGGAGTGTGTTTTGGAATAATGTTCACTATTTTATATGGCATTGTTACATCACTTTCTTCTTCCACATCCACAAAAATTGACTTCTTGTCGTCTGATCCTTTACTGTCGCTGTCTGACGAAGAGGCAGAGGACGCGGTCAGCGACTTCAGTCTATCAACACTTGTCTGCTTGTACTGCTCTGACCCCGAGGATTCACTATCTGCCCGATCACACATAGTGTCCGCAATCCGGTGCAGTTCTATGTCCGAGTTGAACAGTTCCTCCACGGACAGCTTAGACAGGCTCGGCTTGGTGCGCACTGGAAATGTCCCATGTTTGAAGGAAGCATCACAGTCTCGGAGGGTGTGGAACCGGTCAGGTCGACACAGTAGCTGAAGGTCAAGGTCTTCGAACTCCTTGCTGGAGGCAGGTCTGGGCCCCTTTTTGCTGGCAGCAGAATCTGGCAACAAAGATTTACATGATCACTGTCACATATTCATGACGTACAAGTGGATTTTTGAGGAAGAGGCCCTTTCTTGGGACTCATCAGGCTCCTTCTGAAAACCACCCTGAACTCCTCCCACAGGGCTTTGATGGGAGTTTTGGTCTGGTCTGAGGGGGTTGGGGTAAATTGTTGTTTGGTTCCTTGTTGGGAGGAGGGGACTTGGCACCTGGTTGGGTAGGGGTTGTGTGTGGTTTGGTGCACATTCACATATATATTCCTGATAGCATGTTGCAAAGTTGTATTACTAATGTTGTACTATGACATTCAGAGAATGAATAGAGACAGCAGCACACGTCATTCTATTTAATCAGTAACTATTCCACAAGAATATTTGTCAGCCCTTTCATACCAGGCCTCAAGGTTTCGACAAAAACGGGAGCCAATGCGACCTAAATTTCAGTTTGTCTACTGTCTAAAATTCAGAGGTAGCTAAATGACTACCTTGAAAACTATCTTGCGGTGACTAAATTCTATTGCTACACATCTGTAGATACAAAAAAAACAGCTGATCTTGGAAAACATGTCTGCTAATAATTGTACTCGCAAATACTTCCTTCTAAAGACGATAATGAACCGAAATACATAAATATTAATGTAATGAGTACTTTATTTTAGTTGACAATGCTCAAAGGATAAGCAAGGATATACCTATATAATCTAGTAACATAAATTGCATCATTGCTCGAGTCACAAGAAACAAAACTAAAGCACAGATTCAACTAATATACACGATACAAGACTAGTGCTATGACTTGTACATATAATAGTTATTTGATAAAAGATAATTTCAAATGCTTTTGGCTGCCTCCAATATTGGCAAACATGACACCCAGAGAGAACAGAACCCAAAGAGGAAAGAGGTGGGAAGGTGGGTGGGGCCTGCTGGAGTGAGTGAGTGAGTATGGTTTTACGCCGCTTTTAGCAATATTCCAGCAAAATCACAGCGGGGAACACCAGAAATGGGCTTCACACATTGCACCCATGTCGGGAATCGAACCCGGGTCTTCGGCTTGACGAGGGAACGCTTTAACCACTAGGCTATCCGACCACCCCTGGGGGGCCTGCTGGAGGATATCTGATAACGGATTAGGGCATGTTGCCTGGGGCAAAGATGGGGGTGTCTTACCTTTAAGATTTCGGATGTCAGCATTCCAGATCATGTTTTCAAGTGCCAGCAGAGCATTCTGTTTCTCTTCCTCAGTGAAGGACATCTCATCACTGGATGAGTGACCTTCACCTTGAGAGTCGACTTCATCGTCAAGGAGGTTATCTAATCCACCGTCGTAACCAATCACGTCTGGTTCAGCTTCTGTGAACACAACGTGTCCGCCGCGACTCTGGCGGCGGGTGACTGACTTCACCAACACACCCTTCCCTGGATTTGACCTGTTGCCCTGACTACCAACAAGCCGGACTATTCTTGGTCTGTTCTCATCTTGTAGCAGGTTACTATTGTGGTTTTCATTGTTCTTGAACCGTGTCTTCTCGCGGGAACTGTTCCTATCGTTCTTGTTCAGCTCTGAGTTAGCATTCTCTATGTCCGCTGTGGTTATTGTGATACAATCACCGGGTTCAACTTTGACCCCATTTATGTGCTGCGAGGTGGCCTTGAGGATGACCGATGTGCGTTTGCTGGGAACCGGGGAGGACTTGGCGGAGTTGCTTCGGAGGAGATCTCCCGCGTGGTCTGCACGTGCTCGTTGGCAGTTGGCACAAAGGTCACGGCGCCAAGCATTCTGGGTAAACTCGGAACACGCAGACATTACTCTGCTCAAATCCTTGATGCATCATCTCACCATCTGAAACAAAATAAGGAACCATAACTAAGGAACAGTCTGTGCTATAACATAGATATATCACACGTCTGGGCATCGGTGATCCATATATTATATAGCAATTTTATGACATCTACCGAGGTGTTATATCAACGGTAGAGCAAGACATGGTGGGACAGGGTGGTATGATGCAAGATATATGGAAATATTGAGGGAAATATTGGGACGGAGAAAGATATGTTAGATATAGCAGATACATCAGGTAAAGTGAGACACAGTGGGATAAGGGTGATATATACATATATATATAGAGAGAGAGAGAAATGGTACGGGATATATCACACATCATACAGGAGGACGTATAAGTTCTCACTGCTTGCTGCCTAGGGGACCGCATAACTAGACAAAATGAGACACAGCAGGAAATAGCAAGGTCCAGGACTCAACAACATCTGTTTGACAGAAGCTGATGCTAAGATCAGAAATAACTCAAATGCACCAAATCAAATGCCAGGCAACATCACACGCAGTTTAATCCCAATCTTGAAATGTCAACCACTGCAATCCCATTACAAGCCAGGAAGTCATGTGGGGACAATTGTTCTGCCTAACTCCCTCACATCCGAGTAAATCTGTATCACACGGAGTGAGAGAGTGATCGCTGTTATACCCTCACATCCATGTGCAGTAAACCTGTATCACACTGATCGAGAGAGTGGTAACTGGGTTATATCCTGACCTCCTTGTGCAATAAACTTGTATCACACCGAGCGAAAAGAAAGAGAACGCGGTGTTATAACTTATATCCTCACATCTGTGTGGATTAAACCCGTATCACACAGAGTGAGAGAGCGAATGCGGTGTTATAACCCAACATCTGTGTAAAGGGTGAACCGATACACCAGAACTCTGATGCACCACAATAAGTGGACTTCACCATGATTCATGTTCCATATGGACCTGTTTAGCAATACGCGGCAAAACAATCTACTTATTTTTAAATTTCCTAGCGAAAAAACAACCCAATCTAAACAGTGATGAATGGAGTTGAAAGGTTTGAAGGGTTCCTGAAAGTCTGTTAGGGATCATTTTGGCTTCTCTGTTTCCTTTTGTTATGGACTCAAAACAGGTAACAAGGATGGACTCAAAACAGGTAACAAGGATGGACTCAAAACAGGTAACAATGGTGGACTCAAAACAGGTAACAAGGACGACTCAAAACAGGTAACAATGGTGGACTCAAAAGAGGTAACAAAGGTGGACTCAAAACAGGTAACAAGGATGGACTCAAAACAGGTAACAAGGATGGACTCAAAACAGGTAACAAGGATGGACTCAAAACAGGTAACAAGGATGGACTCAAAACAGGTAACAAGGGTGGACTCAAAACAGGTAACAAGGATTGACTCAAAACAGGTAACAAAGGTGGACTCAAAACAGGTAACAATGGTGGACTCAAAACAGGTAACAATGGTGGACTCAAAACAGGTAACAATGGTGGACTCAAAACAGGTAACAAGGATGAAACAGTCTGTTGCCATTTTCTCCCTCATCTGAAATACTAATTCAGTTGATGGTGTTTGGGTTGTTAATCTTGCTGATTGAGATATGTATAATACCAGCATACAAACTTCTTCTTTTGACCTTGACTTCATACGCATCTTGGTCTTCCGCATTTTTGCACCTATTATATACAGTGTTACGCCCTGTCATCCATCTGGTAGAATAGGTCTTCAGCAACATGCTTGCCGTAAAAGGCAATTATGCTTACACCTCATAAGAGGCGACTAATGGGATTGGGAGGTCAGGCTCGCTGACTTGGTTAATGCATGTCATCGATCCCAATTGCGTGGATCAATGCTCATGATATTAACACTGGATTGTCTGGTCCAGACTCAATTATTTACAGACCGCCGTCACATAGCTGGAATATTGCTGAGTGCGGCGTAAAACAACCAACCAACCAACCATGTGCAGTAAGCACATCACACAGAGTGAAAAGGTGAAGACAATGTGAATAAGTTTCATCACCCTTTTGTAAAAACTGATAAACATGATAAACCCTACAAGAATGGTATACATGATATATCAACTGGCATCACTTTCCAATAATCAATTACACATTCATGTCAACACCTCCATACGCCCAGTTTCTGTCATGGCCAACAGGCGACAAGAGTATCTAACAGAGAGAATTAGTTCAATTATTTGCAGAAACCCATTCCTCACCCATATGATGATAAATGTCAGATACAATTTTGTTTCACAATGATTATGTATAACAATACAGTTGCGATCAGTTGAACCTTGACACAACTTCCTGCATAACTAGTGCATGATGGGTCGAATACACAATCTTACAAATGTTCCGGAGGATTATAGTGAGAGGAGATATATAAACATATAACATTCCTGTATACATCATAACATAACACAGATATAACACTTTGTGTATATATATAATGAAACACAAATATGTTCATAAACATAAACACATGATAAACTTGATACAAAAAGTGTCAAAACGTGTGGTGTCACACTCAGCATGTGACTCAGTTCACACAGCTGGGAATCATTATCAATATGTGAGGTGGATGTGGATGTGGATGTGGATGTGGATGTGGATGTGGAAGTGGAGGTGGATGTGGATGTGGCGGTGGATGTTGAGGTGGAGGTGGATGTGGATGTGGATGTGGATGTGGATGTGGAGGTGGGGGTGGATGTGGAGGTGGAGGTGGGGGTGGATGTGGATGTGGAGGTGGGGGTGGATGTTGAGGTGGAGGTGGATGTGGATGTGGATGTGGAAGTGGATGTGGATGTGGATGTGGAGGTGGATGTTGAGGTGGAGGTGGATGTGGATGTGGAGGTGGATGTGGATGTGGATGTGGATGTGGATGTGGAGGTGGATGTGGATGTGGATGTGGATGTGGATGTGGAGGTGGATGTGGAGGTGGATGTGGATGTGGATGTGGATGTGGATGTGGAGGTGGATGTGGATGTGGATGTGGATGTGGAGGTGGAGGTGGATGTGGAGGTGGATGTGGATGTGGAGGTGGATGTGGATGTGGATGTGGATGTGGATGTGGATGTGGAGGTGGATGTGGAGGTGGATGTGGAGGTGGATGTGGATGTGGATGTGGATGTGGAGGTGGATGTGGATGTGGAGGTGGATGTGGAGGTGGATGTGGAGGTGGATGTGGAGGTGGATGTGGATGTGGAGGTGGATGTGGATGTGGAGGTGGATGTGGATGTGGATGTGGAGGTGGATGTGGATGTGGATGTGGATGTGGATGTGGATGTGGATGTGGATGTGGAGGTGGGGGTGGATGTGGAGGTGGATGTGGATGTGGAGGTGGGGGTGGATGTGGAGGTGGATGTGGAGGTGGGGGTGGATGTGGAGATAGATGTGGAGGTTGAGGTGGATGTGGAGGTGGGGGTGGATGTGGAGATAGATGTGGAGGTTGAGGTGGAGGTGGATGTGGATGTTGAGGTTGATATGGATGTGGAGGTGGAGGTTGATGTGGAGGAGGAGGTGGAGGTTGATGTGGAGGTGGAGGTTGATATGGATGTGGAGGTGGAGGTTGATGTGGAGGAGGAGGTTGATGTGGAGGTTGAGGCTGATGTGGATGTGGAGGTTGATGTGGATGTGGATGTGGATGTGGATGTGGCGGTGGATGTTGAGGTGGAGGTGGATGTGGAGGTGGGGGTGGATGTGGAGATAGATGTGGAGGTTGAGGTGGAGGTGGATGTGGATGTTGAGGTTGATATGGATGTGGAGGTGGAGGTTGATGTGGAGGAGGAGGTGGAGGTTGATGTGGAGGTGGAGGTTGATATGGATGTGGAGGTGGAGGTTGATGTGGAGGAGGAGGTTGATGTGGAGGTTGAGGCTGATGTGGATGTGGAGGTTGATGTGGATGTGGCGGTGGAGGTGGATGTGGCGGTGGATGTTGAGGTGGAGGTGGATGTGGAGGTGGGGGTGGATGTGGAGATAGATGTGGAGGTTGAGGTGGAGGTGGATGTGGATGTGGATGTGGCGGTGGATGTGGATGTGGCGGTGGATGTGGATGTGGATGTGGAGGTGGAGGTGGATGTGGCGGTGGATGTGGATGTGGATGTGGCGGTGGATGTGGATGTGGCGGTGGATGTGGATGTGGATGTGGATGTGGCGGTGGATGTTGAGGTGGAGGTGGATGTGGATGTGGATGTGGATGTGGCGGTGGATGTGGAGGTTGATGTGGATGTTGATGTGGATGTGGATGTTGAGGTGGAGGTGGATGTGGAGGTGGGGGTGGATGTGGAGATAGATGTGGAGGTTGAGGTGGAGGTTGATGTGGATGTGGATGTGGCGGTGGATGTGGATGTGGATGTGGATGTGGAGGTGGATGTTGAGGTGGAGGTGGATGTGGAGGTGGATGTGGATGTGGCGGTGGATGTGGATGTGGATGTGGAGGTGGAGGTTGATGTGGATGTTGAGGTGGAGGTGGATGTGGAGGTGGATGTGGATGTGGATGTGGATGTGGATGTGGATGTGGAGGTGGAGGTTGATGTGGATGTTGAGGTGGAGGTGGATGTGGAGGTGGATGTGGATGTGGAGGTGGGGGTGGATGTGGATGTGGCGGTGGATGTGGATGTGGAGGTGGAGGTTGAGGCTGATGTGGATGTGGAGGTTGATGTGGATGTGGCGGTGGAGGTGGATGTGGAGGTGGAGGTTGATGTGGATGTGGAGGTTGATGTGGATGTGGAGGTTGATGTGGATGTGGAGGTTGATGTGGAGGTTGATGTGGATGTGGATGTGGCGGTGTAGATGGAGGTTGATGTGGATGTAGATGTGGAGGTTGATGTGGATGTGGTGGATGTTGATGTGGATGTGGAGATGGAGGTGGAGGTTGATGTGGAGGTGGAGGTTGTGGCCGATGTGAAACCCTCTCACACCCGTAGGCAGCTTGGCTTGTATACTCCCCGGGGAGACAAGAATAATATTTGGAATGCATACAGATCTACTGGTTGGGGAACAAATAAGCTGCATGTGAGCAGATACTGGTATTACAACATAGATATAACACCCTGAACATGTCATAACATAGATAGAACTGTGAAGATCCGGGGTAGAATAGGTCTTCAGCTACCCATGCTTGCTGTCAAAGGTGACTATGCTTGTCGTAAGAGGCGACTAACGGGATTGGGTGGTCAGACTCGCTGACTTGGTTGATGCATGTCATCGTATCCCAATTGCATGGATCGATGCTCATGATGTCAATCACTGGATTGTCTGGTCCAGACTCGATTATTTATAGACCGCCATCATATAGCTGGAATATTGCTGAGTGCGGTATTAAACAACAAACAAACAAACAAAACATAACAGAGATATAACACCCTATACATGTAATAACATAGATATAACACCCTGTACATGTCGTAGCATAGATATAACACCCTGTACATGTCGTAGCATAGATATAACACCCTGTACATCATTGTGCATGTCATAACATAGATATAACATCCTGTACATGTCATAACATAGATATAACATCCTGTACATGTCATAAACAAAATGCTTACATATATGTCATTGCTTTAGAGATGGACTATTACCTTATCTCTTTCCTTCAAATCCCTCAGCTTATCCTACCCTCCCAATGCATCAAATAGACTGGTTCCATAGTTCCTCTTCATAATATAGCACTTGTGTGTAGCTCAGTCCATTGTCATCTGTGGGTAGAGAAAATACAGTAATAGATATAACTACCAAGGTTCAGTGTGTCATGATGGCCCCACATTAACAAATTAAAGATCTGCCTGTGCAACCAGAGATAAACACTTGTATTCTCCTACAAACACAATGTTTGCTGAGTCAGGATGGTAATCCCTTCAGCTACTCCTGATAATTCCATGACAACCTCACCTAGTAACAAGAGCACGGTGAGTTCAATAGCAGCTGTGAGGAGAGCATGACCTGGAGGAGGAACAAGAATAGTTGTGATGATAGCATGATTTGGGTGAGGAAAACAATAGTTTTACACTGCTTTTAGCAATATTCAAGCAATATCACGGAGGGAGGGCTGGGGGGGGGTGAGACGCCAGAAATGGGCTTCGTACATTGTATCCATCAAACCCGGGTCTTCGGGGTGAAGAGTGAACGCCTTAATCAATGCCTCAGGGAGGAACAAGAATAGTTGTGAGGATAACATGATCTGGATGTGGACAACAATAGTTGTGAGGATAGTGTGACTGGTAGGAGTAACAAGAATAGCTGTGATGAGAGCATGATCTAGAGGAGAAACAAGAATAGTTTTGAGGAGAGCTTGACCTGGAGGAGAAACAATAGTAGTTGTAGGGAGAGCATGACCTGGGGGAGGAACAAGAATAGTTGTAAGGATAGCATGATCTGGAGGAAGATCAAGAGTAGTTATCAGTAGAGTATAACCTTGAGGAGGGACAAAATAGTTGTGATGGAACAATCCAGTGATTGATGTCATGAGCATCGATCCACGCAATTGGGATACGATGACATGCATCAACAAAGTCAGTGAGCCTGACCACCCAATCCCATTATTTCTGTCTTACGACAAGCACAGTCGCCTTTTACAGCAAGCATTGGTTGCTGAAGACCTATTCTAGTATTTCTACCCCGGATCTTCACAGGTCTCACAGTGAAAATCAGCGATGACCCTAGGTACGCACGAAAAGGGTAAGCATGTCCTTCCCTACCAGTGCAGAAAAAAGATAAGTGTCTGCTTTTAGCCTGACGCCACACACCAGTAACTCCTTCCATGTGACAGCAGCTTGTAAACAAGTCAGACAATCAAGTGATGAACAAGAAGATCTAGCAACACGACAGCACATTTACAGATTTTGTTGAAACAAAAAAATGAATAATATCTGCTGTGTTCAAGGTCATGAATACCTAGGTCACTGGCAGATCCAAGACACTTGCAGTTGCACCCCCTCTTTTTCTGACACATTACTTGTTAAACTTCAGACCTGTAGCTTTGTGCAAACACATTTTCAAAATGTTGTATTTGCCTCTGTAGTGTTTTCCATCTGGCATACATAATTTTAGGCTGTATAATGTGACACATAATGAATACCAAGGTAATACCATCAGTTATACCACATCTAGGCTGTATCATGTGACACACAATGAACGCCTAGGTTATACCATCAGATATACCACATCTAGGCTGTATCATGTGACACACAATGAATACCTAGGTTATACCATCAGATATTCAATATCTAGGTTGTATCATGTGACACACAATGAATACATAGGTCATACCATCAGATATACCATATATAGGTTGCATCATTTGAAACAAAATGAACACCTAGGTCATACCGATTAGATATACCACATCTAGGTTGCATCATTTGAAACAAAATGAGCACCTGGGTTTTACCATCAGATATACCATATCCAGTTTGTTCATTTGATACATAATGAACTCTTAGGTTATATCATTAGATATACCACATCAAGGTTGCAGCATGTGATATGTAATGAATACCTCCGTTACACCATCAGATATATGATATCTAGGTTGCAGGGTGTAATAAATAATGAATACCTCGGTCATACCATCTGACATACCATATCTAGGTTTAAACATACATGATTTAGACACATTTAGATACATAAAAAATACCTAGGTCATACCAATGGATCCACATCTAGGCTGTATCATATGTAATGAATACCTGTAGGTTATACCATCAGCTTTATATACATCTAGGTTTAGCATGTGATTTGTCTTTTGTTTTGTTTGTTTCTTGTTTAACACCACACTCAGGAATATTCTAGCTATATGACTGTGGTCTGTAAATAATCGAGTCTGAACCAGACAATGCAGTGATTTATATCATGAGCATCGTTCCACGCAGTTGGAATACAATGACATGCATCAACCAAGCCTGACCACCTGATCCCGTTAGTCGCCTCTTCCGAGGCATAAACATAATCGCCTTTTACGTCAGAATAGGTTGCTGAAGACTTATTCTCCCCCGGATCTTCACAAGTCCGATATGTAATGAACACTTAGGTCATACCTTCAGATATACCATATCTAGGTTGTAGCATGTGATATGTACTGCATACCATCAGATATACAATATCCTGCTCTTGCTATGTGATATGTAATGAATGCCTAAGTTACACCACCAGATATGTGATAGAATGTTTTGGTAACACAACACACTGTCAAACAGACGAGAATGTGAAGAACTGGATGGAACTGCGAGATAATATATCTCAGCCAATAACACACATACCATTCTCATAAAACATAGATAAGATATAGATATGTACACAACAAAAAGTATTTTCAGAGTTCCTGGGTACGGCTGATACACGAGTTATCTATAACTTGAGGCTGGTGTAATGAGTCTGTCATACAAACCCTCTCTGTGTAGCGATAACAAAGACCCCCGCTAGATCGCTGACTAGCACCATACTTACAACATAGATGTCGAATGATTTCATACCAAATGGCCCCCTAGAGAGTGTAAAGAGCTGTCATACCCAAGTGAATATAAAACATGCTATAAGAAATATATCGCATCTCCATATCCGTCATCTAACAATGTAAACAATGATGTATGTTGCAACAATGTCGCACCGCGCGTGCTGCACCCATTCAGTCATTGTTACTGTGATCATTCGGCCGTGTCCTATGTAAATACACAGACCTTACATCCCCCGTTCTCCCACAATAACGGTAAAATACTCAGTAAAAATCATCAAAACACCGCCATTTCTCTCAAATTGTGTAAATATATGTGAATGCCGCGCGTACAGAATGTTCGATTTCGCCTGTGCTCACAGATATTGTCTGCGATGCCATGGGATATCTGCCATATCAAGCCGTAGTCGTCTGCTATGCGCATTACTATGGGAAATGGCTGTGTATTCAACCAGGATCATTTGAACACTTTAGGAAATAGATAAATCTCTACCTTTCTAATTTAAGAAGGTATATATATACTCACAGAATTGTAAATTAATCCATAAGCTCCATGCTTGATTATGCAGCCAGCTTCTCTCAGCTATGTTTAGCATAGGCAAATAGCCATTGACCCGGGCCGCAGCACTCCCGCACCGACAGATCCCTCCGCCGTGAAGAAAGAGTGCGCTGACAGAGCAATGTATTGGGTTTCTGGGAACTCGGTAGACGCTGTAGGGGAAATAACGGTCACAGTTGTCTGTCTTGCGTTTTGAATATATCTTTGTTTCAAAATGGACGAAAAAATTGAGTTATTTCGCAAGAATGTTCTATCTCAAATCAGCTTATGAGGTGTGATCGGCCGTATTCACTGTATGTCCATGGTGATCTGAGTTATGATATATATGTAACACACATCGAAACGACGTGATTGTTTAGCCGGAGGATCTGGCACAAATACCATGTCGTGTGAGATTTCTGCCTACGTAAGACAGACACCTCGCCTGACCGTGGGGCGGGCTGCGGTTTACCACGTGTGTGAAGGGGATTTGTAGCTAGGCAAATAAGACAACACTCTCGCGTGGAGCTCGAGCGCCGGCCAACAGATGTCATCTTTGTTGAAATCAGTTAGACAGGACTTAAAAGCAAATTCATATGTCAATAGAATGAGCATGAGAGGATCGGCTTGCTTCATCAGTCCATGCAGGGGCTGCCACATATAGCCGAAGCACGTCAGGGTTTGCGAACTGAAGACCTCACGGCACAGGGTTGCCTATTCCAGGTCTGATCTGTAAACATCACGACAGGTTTTTCCTACTCCAAATCCGATAAGATAATGAAATATGAGAGTACATTCGTCATAAGTGGATCCAGGGTGTGGGATGGGGTGCGCATACCGTCGTATATCAATTGTGTAGATCGGTGTTCATGCCATCGTGTTTCAATTGTGTACATCGGTGCTCATGCCATCGTGTTTCAATTGTGTAGATGGGTGCTCATGATGTCAGTCACTGGATTGTCTGGTCCAGACTCGATTATTTACTGACAGCCGTCATATAGCTGGAATATTGCTGAGTGCCGCGTAAACAACAAACACAAACAAGCAAATGTTACACGCACTCGCTGTCATATAAAGTCTGTAGTGCGGTGTAGCGGGTAAGCGATTGGTCAGTTTTCTCTGGGTAATATTTCAGCTCTACACTTGGTAAGTTGTGTGTATTAACTTATGTTTCATTGCGCGTGGTTTTGCTGGGAACGTTATTTAACATGAGGATCAGTGATCAAGAAGTTTAATTTTTGATAACATCCTTTTGTCGTGTGCATACATTTGATGTTAGAAACTCGATTATTGCCTATATACTCGTAGATACCAAGAACTCAGTCTTTTGATATTACTATTTCTGTCTTACAAAAGTCACAAAATGAAGGACTCACGTAAAAGGAATTCGAAATAGGTAGTAAAACGAATGTACATTTAAGCAGAGAGTTTAGATAAAACTTCCACCTAAGACTCCCCGGCCTGAGCAGTGTCAGGAGACTATTGAGGGTCTGGCTTACAGAGTTTGTGGGTGAAATTAAATGGGTTTGCGTCGCCGCGTTTAAGAGTATATTGCACGTATTGTTTGTTTGTTTGTTGTTTAACGCCGCACTCAACAATATTCCAGCTATATGACCGCGGTCTGTAAATACTAGAGTCTGGACCAGACAATGCAGTGATTGACGTCATGAGCATCGATCCAGGCAATTGAGATCGATGACATGCATCAACCAAGTCAACTAGCCTGACCACCCGATCCCGTTAGTCGCCTCTTACGACAAGCAAGGGTTTCTTAAGACCTTTTTCTACCCCGGACCTTCACCGGTCTAAAGCTTAAGCGGAACCATTGACATTACCAGCAAGGCAGATCAAGAAGTGAAATCAGCGAGCTTGTGCTCTGCGTGACAACAATGAGCTGACGTGGGTAAAACATCTGACAATATGACAGCGGTCTGTAAATAATCGAGTGGCCCAGACATTTCAGTGATTGACACCATGAGCATCTATCTAGGCAATTGGGATACGATGACATGCTCAATCGAGTCAGCTAGCCTGACTACCCGATCCCGTTATTCGCCTCTTACGACAAGCATGGGTTGCTGAAGACCAGTTCTACCCGGATCTTCACGGGTCAGTATTTGACGTGCATGCACGGGTATTTGTGGCTGCTTGTACTAATCCCGGGCGAATGCCGATGTTATAGTGCTCGCCCAACTAACCCACTGAGATACAAGTGCTGCAGTTTTACATGGATACCCAACTCACACTCATACTACCACCTCCGGGCCGAACTTGTTTTATCCCCTGTAGGTCGAGCATCAGGCAAGGTAACAACAAGTACCACATTTTAACCTCTTTTGGTATGACGCGGCCACGCAGGGAATCGAACAATAGACCTTCCGGTCTCAGGGCAGAGGCTCTATCCACAACACCACGACGACGGTAGAGGTTTGTATATCAGCGAGAGTGAGTGAGTATGGTTTTAATCCGCTGTTAGCAATATTCCAGCAATATCACGGCGGGGGACACCAGAAATGGGCTTCACACATTGTACCCATGTCGGGAATCGGACCCGGGTCTTCGGCGTGACGAGCGAACACTTTAACCACGCGGCTATCAGCGCGAGAGAAACAAAGCCGTGAAAATAAGGTTCAACTTTAATTAGGTGATAGGCATACGTACTGTCTTTTCAGTGTAGAGCCAGGCTTCCTGCAGATTTAAGGAAGCTGAATTGAATTTACAACCGAATGCGCTTGGCTGAATACAACGGGAACATTTAATTTGGTGATAGCAACATGTTTTAGTAAAGTGTCGTGGGCTAAGTTCAATGTTTTGAGGAGGGCACGGGTGGCCCAGTCGACTAAGGCGCCGCGATGCGCTGTGCAGAGTTGTGTCCCTTGGGCACGCCAGAAACCTATGATTGTGGGTTCGAATCCCGGCTCTCACCGATTTTGTTTCTAGGTTTGTCAGCACCATACCCGTGCTCGTGGGTTTCACCGAAGTGGTAAACGTCTGAGACCTGCATCACTTCGGGCTTTCCTCCCACATTAAGCTGACACGCCGTGATATATCTGGAATACTGTTAAAAGCGGCGTTAAACCCAACTCACTCACTTCAATGTTTGGAGTGGGTTGTCCATCTGTATTACGGAATCACCGACTACAGAAACAAAATATGGCGCTCTATATGTTCAAGCAGGTTTTTCTACGCCACAATACTTCGCACGAACTAATATGACAGGCATTGGAGGCATATTTTGACGCAACAGGTTTGACGTCACATTCCTTTATGGGATTAAGCGCGTAGTTTCAAGCTCTCTGTTGTCCATAAATTTGAAATACATTTTCTTTGTAGATTTCTATCATGTTTTCTGAACAAAATGTATTACTACACATCCTTTGAACATTTGAATATTATACACCGCAACTTTGCATTTGTAACCTATAATTGTACATATAATTATTTCAAAATACCCACCGAAAGATACTGATTAAAAAAAGGACTATAATATTCTATAAATATAAGCTTCGGTGGTGATTGGGTTTATTACGATTTGATAACCCTGACTGACCAATCAGAATCGAGTCATTTTCCAGATTCTTGCCGGAATAACCAATAATTTCCATCCTAAACAATATGCTCATTCTTCTGGTCATATCCTATACACTACATCGATCAGTCCAAAAGCCCAAAACATATCTGATGCATACATGAATATATACATATACCCCGACTAACGGGATCGGGTGGTCAGGCTTGCTAACTTGGTTGATACATGTCATCGTATCCCAATTACGTGGATCGATGCTCATGATGTCAATCACTGATTGGTCCAGACTCAATTTGCAGACCATATAGCTGGAATATTGCTGAATTCGATGTTAAACAACAAACAAACAAAAGATCGTAGAAGGCTTAATTCGTCCCTATTTATTGTTTGTTTCTTTGAAGGCGTATGTTTTCTTGAAGGGTATTTTCCACACTTTATTTCCAATTGATGTCATTAACAATGCAATCTAAACGTAACAAAGGCTATAGGTTTGTCTAAAATCGCTGCCCCGAGCATCTTACTTCCCTGAAAACACATGCATGCAGAGCTGTTAATGTGGATTGCGCCACGTATCAGTAGAGCGCCGCTGCAGAAACGCTAACTGTAACTAGTTGCGCAGATAGTAGTATCAATTTCAATATCCTTTCGCCGATTAACAATCGCCATTTTGCGGAAATTTTCCTATCCCCCTCTACCGATTATTGAAATGAAAACAAATGCACATGGTCAGCACGTTGCTAGGTAAGAAACTGAATGACAACATATTCAGAAACATATTCCGTTACAATTCATAGACCACCATTGATTGAACATGCCTTGCACACACACACTCGATCGCATCGGCGTTCCGCACATGCTGCGACTGAGTCACTTGCGCAGGCGGCCTGGTGAACGAGGCCGATCATATTGGCGGGGATTCCCTGAGAGCATGCGAATCACGACAGTGTGGAATACGATAACTTTAATGGCCGCCACCTTTACTTGTAGGTATAAATGGTGATGTCATCTATTCCACGACACAACTGCCATTATGAAATCTGTCCCGCACAGATTGTCCCAGTGATGATCCGCAACTTGTCAGTTGCGAGTAGCCACCCACCCCATGTATTGACTCGTTAGACTGAATGGAATCGATAGGTTTCTTCACAGAATTGGGATTGTCCCAAGGCATCGATCATTAGAAGCGTGAGTTTTACAACAATACACGTGCACACGTAGACCGGTGTCTGTGTGTGAAGGCGTCTGATGTTGATAATACGCGACAGCCGGGATGTCAAATGTCAGGTACAGCGTTAGAAATTGGCACTAGTCCTGTAGTCCTTACCAAACTGCTCAATAGTAAAGGTATCCTAAGGACTAGTAGATATTGGCCCATTTTAAGGGTTTTGCTATTTGTTATCATTTTAAGTACTAGTGGACAAAAACTGTTAGTTTCTAACCCTGCAGGTAGCCTACATTGTACAAAAGAACCAGGGTTACGGACTTGGGACTTTATGGCCCCGTCTCTTGAAAAATTAACTACCCTTAAATTAGTACCCATAATAAATTCTTATCATCCATATGCCAAATACAGGTTGTGTCAAAAACTGGAATCAACTACCCTCGCCCACACCTGGCTCCTAGCGTAATTTGTGGACCATTTCAGTGTTATATGGACTTTTATTTTCTAGTCTTACTAGACCGAACAATTTTACTATACACAGCCTTTGGAATTGAAGTCACAAACTGCAAAATAATTTATCACCAGTAGCCCTTCCGCTAAAAAATATAGCCTTGTTTTAGTCTATGTAGAAAATATAGTCTAGTCTCAGACAAGTGCTTGTGCTTGTTGTAAGAGGCGACTAGCATGGTCGGGTGGTCAGACTTGCTGACTTGGTTGATGCATGTCATCGTATCCGTATTGCGTAGATCGATGCTCATGATGTCAATCACTGGATTGTCTGGTCCAGACACGATTATTTACAAATCGCCGTCATGTAGCTTGAATATTGCTGAGTGCAGTGTTAAACAACAAGCAAAACAAAACTATTCTTATTTTCTTAATTTCAGAGGTATATAAACATTGTATTTTGACATTGCATCCAGATATTTAATATAAAATAAATAATTAATTCCTCATATGTGGGCATGGATGGCCCAGTCGTCTATGGCACCGCAATTCACTGTTCTGAGTTTTCGCCCCCTGGCGAGCCAAAAACTTATGATTGTGCTTTTGAATAACGGTTCGCCCTGATTATGTTTCTAGGTTTGTCAGCACCTTACCTGTCTTCGTGGGTTTATCCAAAGTGGTAAATGTCCGAGACCTGCATCACTTGTGGCTTTCCTCCCACATACACTTGACACACAATGATATAACTGGAATGCTGTTAAAAGCAGTGTTAAACCAACCTCACTCTTCCTCTCTATAGGGTTCTGTAATCAGTATAGTACAAGTTGCCACATTAGTGATAACTGGACCTGTGAAGATCCAGGGAAGAATAGGTCTTCAGCAACCCATTCTTGCTGCAAAAGGTGACAATGCTTGTCGTAAGAGGCGACTAACAGAATCGGATGGTCAGGCTCTCTGACTTGGTTGATGCATGTCATCTTCATCCAATTGCGTGGATTGATAATCATGATGTCAATCACTGGATTGTCTGGTTCAAACTCAACTATTTATCGACTGTCGTTATAAAGCTGGAATATTGCTGAGTGTGGCGTTAAACAACAAACAAACAAACAAAGTTATAACTGTATTAACATGAATATTTAATTCCTATTTATGAATCTGTATTGACATTTGCTGAAGAATTGGGGCTGAATATCGGCCTCTGAGCAGGTCTTGAGAAATCCCTGCATAATATCCCGTTCACATTCATATGGACATTGGGGCATCATTACTGTGATGTGCGTTAGTGCGAAAACTGCAAGATTTACTTACCTATCTCTTGGTAGACTGTGGGGCGGTCGGGTAGCCTAGTGGTTAAAGCGTTAGCTCGTCACGCCATAGACCCGGGTTCGATTCCCGACATGGGTACAATGTGTGAAGCCCATTTCTGGTGTCCCCCGCCGTGATATTGCTGGAATATTGCTAAAAGCGGCGTAAAACCGTACTCACTCACTCACTCACTTGGTAGACTGTGCTCTCTGCCTCCAGAGTAACTCCAAGGTTTATCTACACCCACACAGATGCTGATATTTGGTCCCAAGTCTTCAGGAAATGTCAGTAAAAATTCCCAAATTGGAATTAAGAATTTCCCAATTCATTTACACATACCGTATTCGACGTAATAAGCGCCCGGGGCGCTCTCAAAATTAGAAAAAGGGGGCTCTTATTTGAATATAATTTTGGTGAGAAAAAAATAGTTGAAAGACCGTAAATGTCGTGGTTTTTGCTGACAGCCTGAAATGATACAAAAGAAAGTATCATACATGACAGATATATTTTCCAGAATTTAATTGCCCTTATAATTAAGAATGCATATAACACACGAGTGCGTATTATACATGAATAAATAAGTTTTGTATACACTGATCAATCGGAAGGGGTGCTAATTGGGATTGTTCACTATCCAATATATTAGCAAATATCGCTTATTAGAGGGGGGCGCTTATTATGTCGAATATGGTAGTAGAAACTGATGATATTATTTTGTAGAGGTAACTTATATATCACTGATAACAGGACCAGTAAAATGGAAGATACTTTATTATATACTTCAGTGTGAAAGCCTGAGATTTCTGAAGTTGAGAAAAGTGATATTTCCACTGCAGTGAATTTACACTTTGATGGAACTATTGTCATGCAAAAGCTACCTTCCTGCAAATTATCATCAACAGAGTTTGCTAAGAATATGCTCTGCATGGGAAAGTGTTTCTGGGCTTGCGATGGGACTTCATCGCCAAAATCCCACTTCCTGGACAACCTGATCGGTTATTTACTATCCCTTATTTGACATCCATCTTGAATCCTGAGGATCTTGAAGACGCTTTATTGTGTCCCGTACATGCACTTTGTATCTATCATGATGTGTTGAAGCCTCTTGGCGTTCTGCAGGAGGCTCTTTATCCTGCTTTGCAGACTTTGGCCTTCACCTGGAGGTTGACGCCAGACGCAGTCGGCAACTTTTTGAGCAATTGAGTTTTTACTCTAGGACTATAAAATTGGCATTAGTCTAGCCCGTAATTGAACAAATTTGAATGCAATATTCAACCCCATGTCTCCTCTTGTCCCCAGGTTAGTGTAGCACCAGGATGGACCTGGGCCCAAATGCATCCTCCAGTATGCTGTCTAACATGTCCGGACTGAAGCTGAACTTTGAGAGTTTTGATGATGAGGTTTCAAAGGAGAGCAACGACCTCACTGTAGATGCAAGGTAAGGTGACGCAGGACAGACAGCTTGGAAAAGGCTTTTCAAAAGTTCAGTTGAATAAAATGGTGTTTTTTTATCAGGTTCTTTTCTCCTTAGTTTAATTGCCCTCATTGGCCTTCAATGAAAACTAGGTCCTTGGTACCCATGCTTGTTTTCCAGTGGTGATTCTAGGGAGAATAGGTCCCCTGTACCCATGCTTTTTCAGTGGTGATTTTAGAGAGAATAGGCCCCCTGTACCCATGCTTGTTTTCCAGTGGTGTTTCTAGGGAGAATAGGTCCCCTGTACCCATGCTTTTTCAGTGGTGATTTTAGAGAGAATAGGCCCCCTGTACCCATGCTTGTTTTCCAGTGGTGATTCTAGGGAGAATAGGTCCCCTGTACCCATGCTTTTTCAGTGGTGATTTTAGAGAGAATAGGTCCCCTGTACCCATGCTTGTTTTCCAGTGGTGTTTCTAGGGAGAATAGGTCCCCTGTACCCATGCTTTTTCAGTGGTGATTTTAGAGAGAATAGGCCCCCTGTACCCATGCTTGTTTTCCAGTGGTGATTCTAGGGAGAATAGGTCCCCTGTACCCATGCTTTTTCAGTGGTGATTTTAGAGAGAATAGGTCCCCTGTACTCATGGTTGTTTTCCAGTGGTGATTCTAGGGAGAACAGGCCCCCTGTACCCTTGCATGTTTTCCAGTGGTAATTTTGGGGTGATATAGCCTTTATAGGTCCCCAGTACGAATGCTTGCTGATATTGTTGGCTGAAATGAGGTAATTGTGTTATTGCAGCTTTCCATCCTCTGATGGCAACTTCATGGCTGGCGGCAGCGACATTGGAGGTGGTGAGTGTTCATTTGTGTTGCCTTTATGTACATATTGTGTATGTGTGTGTTGTCTTTATGTCAAGTGAAACTAATCAATACTTTTACTGTCCACCTAACACATTAAAAGGCAGAATCCATGCATTGCATTGACAGTATTAACGAAAGTCGTCCATGACATCAGTCATGTTAATCAATGCTCATGTTCCTGGATCTGCTTGAAATATGTGAGTCTGTGTTTAGCTGTTTCTTTGCAGAATATGTGATGAAAATATCTTTATCATTGCCTGGAACCAACACTCTCTTTTTTGGGGTCAATGTTCACCTTTTGAGGTTTTCATGACAAAATCAGTCTGTGTGCCAAATGGGTCTGGGTATATCCAGGAATTAGCAACCCAAACTTGACTTCTGAGTTTTGTGTTGAGCTGTGACCTGGTACGACTAAGCATGCAAGGCAGGAAGTCATTTTCGGTAACTCATTCTTAGCACTTGTAACTGTTTCTCATCCGAAGATTTTCAAATTCTGATGGAATTCTGCGTGCCAATGTTTCACATGGTTCACCTCCAACAACAATTTAGTAATTTACCTACCAATATCAGGGTCCACTCCAGGAATTTTCTTACATGGGCCCTTCATCTGAAAATATTAAATATTCCAGAAGTACACCCACACTTGCCCATACAGCACACGGTTAAAATGCCCCATTGTCTTTGAAAGTGTGGGCCTTTATTTTTTAAATTTAGATTCTCAAAGCACAAGGACCCACCCTAGAATTATCCCTGCAATATGTCAGTTGTTTTTTCCTTTAAAAAAAAGACTCAACAAACACATAAAGCATTTTTTTCTGAGGCATGCCTCACCTGTATATTTGTTAATTCCAATGTGTAAAATTAGTCTAAACATTTTCACAGAGTCAATGTACAAAACACCTAAAATTTCTGTTATTTTACAAAGTGACTAAAACATCTGTCCATATATTTATTATGATGACAAATTCCATATTGATGTTTAATTTTACCCAAACTGAAAATGATAGAATCAAAAGAAAATGAAGTCAGTGTATATTTTTATACTTTTGACTTCTAATCCTCGCATGATTTAGTGGTCCTGCTGGCTTTTAAAACTGCCAGTCCTTGTGGACTGGCAACTCTAAAAATTACCAGTCCTTCCTAATTTTTGTCAGTCCCAACTTTAAACAAATAAGAAACATTTGAACATTACCTTTTTTTAATTCTTTCAACATTATGTTCAATTCATCTCTAACTTAGTTAGATCTACACATCATTCACAAGTTCAGTCACAATTGTCTCTTATTATTTTAATATTTCGAGACAAAGTAGCTTCAAATATATATTTAACCTCGAAACAAAGCGAAATAATATTCCCTTGCACTAAAAATAGACAAGGCGAAACCCTGATGGTAACCATGGTAACAGACAAGCTGACTTAGTTCGAAAAATATACTCATTTGAATATTGCCAATGTTTTGTTCAATAACAAAGATTTATGATGTTCTTTATTTGCAAGTCACAGGAATAACTGTTAAAAAACTGGTAATTACTGTTAAACAGGAGCACTGATAATTAGTTTTTGGGATGTTTTCAAACCCTTTTGAACTTCTTCATTGTCAAATGGACAGATTTTTAAGTCAATTAGTAAAATGACTGAAATATTTTTACTCACGCATTTTATATATTGCCTAAGTGAATCACATTTTACACATTCACTGTTACTTCAACATACCTGTATGTACCATGAACCAATACAGATTGGTATATAAATAAGCATGTGTAGATCTTGTTTTTTAATTCTATTTTGGGGGGCTTCTAGTAAAGATTCTCAACGATTGTGATCCTTGATCTCTCAGTAATACCCACTGTGGTAGTTTAACTTCACAATAGGGGGTATTTGGTGAAATTTTGAGATTTAACATTTGTTTGAAAATGTTGTCATTAACACTGAGTTGTTGGCCCATGTTTGTACTGTGCGGAGCTTGTGATGTGATGTGCAGTGCAGTGCTTGGATTATTGCATCGATATGGTTGTTGCAGGTCTGTCAGCAGGGGCAGGTAACTCCGTAGGAGAGGCTGGAGATGGCGAGGTGAGGCTGACTGTGATTACACACTATTAAAAATGACCTTAAATAGGGGTATCTCATACTGATTAAGGGGCGGTCGGGTAGTCTAGTGGTTAAGCCGTTTGCTCGTCACGCCGAAGACCCGGGTTCGATTCCCGACATGGGTACAATGTGTGAAGCCCATTTCTGGTGCCCCCACCGTGTTATTGCTGGAATATTGCTAAAAGAGGCGTAAAACCATACTCACTCACTCATACTGTTTAAAATTAGTTTGGCCTTAAAATAGCTTTTCTATTTATCTTTGTTTCAATACACAACAAGAAATATTTCAAGACCTGTAAAAACACATTGAGGTGTTGTTGTTAGACCGGTGAAGATCCAGGTTGGAATAGGTCTTCAGCAACCCATGCTTGTCGTAAGAGGCGACTTACAGGATCGGGTGGTCAGGCTCGCTGGTTTGGTTGATACATGTCATCGTATCCCAATTGCATGGATCGATGCCATGGGCGGATACAGAGGGGGGGTGCTGGGGTGCGCACCCCCCCTTTTTATTTCGAAAAAAATCTTTATTTCTGTATAAATTACCACCAAAGACAATAAATAGATCTTAATTGTGCACCCCCCCTTTTAAAAAAAGCTGTATCTGCCCATGGATGCTCAAAATGTCAATCACTAGATTGTCTGGTCCAGACTTGATTATTTACAGACCGCTGTCATATAGCTGGAATATTGCTGAGAGCGGCGTAAACAACAAACATTGTTTGTCACGCAAACATCATTGAGGTGTTGGCAAAATATTTCAAAAGTGTTACCTAATTGCCATACTCATTAAAAATCTAGCTATCTGATCAGCTGGACATCATGTGTATAAAAAAACCCATACAAGTCGGTTGACTTGTGTGTACGGACATAGTGAGTTGATTGATAAGTTCTTAGACTCTGCTGCCCAACTGTTTATGGCGGTCTGTAACCAGACAATCCAGTGATAGACATTATGAGCATCGATCCACTCAGTTGGGATACGATGACATGTATCAACCAAGTCAGCAAGTCTGACCAATCGATAACGTTCGTCGCCTCTATTCTACCCGGATCGTCACGGATCGACTTGTCAGTGTCACAGTGAAACCATTTGCTCAGTTGACTCAAGTTTTTGCGGATATTGCTTTATGACATCTAATGACCACAACAAAAGATTTTACCATTGAGGCCCAGAACTTTTCTGTCAATTCTCATAGCATAGTGAGAGTCCAGTGGCAGGCATCAGATGGATTTAATATTGTTAGACAAACATTTTGTTCCGAAAATAGGTTTCTGTAACTTTTGTACTTCATCTGTCAATTTTGAAGGATGTACAAGCGTAGAGGTCTGTTTGCGTCTGTTTGATTGTGGAATGCTGTTTTCACAGGCCAAGAGAAAAGGTGGCTGGCCAAAAGGACGCAAAAGAAAAAAGAGTTTAAAAGATGTCAATGCTCCCAAACCAGCCCTTACAGGATACATCCGGTTCCTGAATGAACGTCGTGAGCAACTGCGACAGGAAAACCCAAACCTGACTTTCTCAGAGATCACCAAGATGCTGGGAGCAGAGTGGTCCAAACTAGGGACTACAGACAAACAGGTGGGTGGCTGGTCGGTCCAAACTGGCATCTGCAAGCAATTTGGTGGGGTGGTGTGAACTAGAGGTGAGTCATCTGAACTGGGTGTGGGTGGTCTGAACTGGGGGCTACCAGCAAATGGTGGATAGGGTGGTCCAAACTCAGGGCTGCAGACAAACAGGTGGGTGGGTGGTCCAAACTGGGATCTGCAAGCAATTTGGTGGGGTGGGTAATTCAAACTGAGACTACAGACTAATAGGTGGATAGGGTGGTCCAAACTCAGGGCTGCAGACAAACAGGTGGTGTGAAATCGGAAATGTCATCTATTATACCGTATTGCTAAAGCTACCTAGATGATGTTGGTATACCTCAGAGTGATTGTTGTTCCAGCGTTATCTTGACGACGCAGAGAAGGACAAGGAGCGGTATCTGAAGGAGATGGAGGCATACCAGAAGACGGAGGCATACAAAACCTTCAGAATGCAGCAAAAGAAGCTACGAGGTGAGGGGTGCTGTAGACAAGGGACCCTTGCAGTTGCTAGGTTACCCTGCAGACGAGGGGGCCTTGTAGTTGCTAAGTAACACGGTAAATGGGGGCTGTTTGTAGTTGCTAGGTTACACTGTAGGGTGAAGACCATCTTGTAGTTGCTAGGTTACACTGTAGGGTGAGGGCCAACTTGTAGTTGCTAGGTTACACTGTAGGGTGAGGGCCAACTTGTAGTTGCTAGGTTACACTGTAGGGTGAGGGCCAACTTGTAGTTTCTAGGGGACACTATGATCAAGGGCCAACTTGTTGCTAGGTTACACTGTAGGGTGAGGGCCAACTTGTAGTTGCTAGGTTACACTGTAGGGTGAGGGCCAACTTCTGGTTTCTAGGTTACACTATGATCAAGGGCCAACTTGTAGTTTCTGGGTTACACTGTAGGGTGAGGGCCAACATGTAGTTGCTAGGTTACACTGTAGGATGAGGGCCAACATGTTGCTAGGTTACACTGGGGTGAGGGCCAACTTGTAGTTGCTAGGTTACACTATGATCGAGGGCCAACTTGTTGCTGGGTTACACTGTAGGGTGAGGGCCAACTTGTAGTTGCTAGGTTACACTGTAGGGTGAGGGCCAACTTGTTGCTAGGTTACACTGTAAGGTGAGGGCCAACTTGTTGCTAGGTTACACTGTGGGGTGAGGGCCAACTTGTAGTTGCTAGGTTACACTGTAAGGTGAGGGCCAATTTGTTGCTAGGTTACACTGTGGGGTGAGGGCCAACTTGTAGTTGCTAGAATACTCGATGATTGAGGGCCAACTTGTTTCTTGTTTACACTGTATGGTGAGAGCCAACTTGTAGTTGCTAGGGCACATTATGATTGAGGGCCAACTTGTTAGGTTACACTGCGGGTCAAGGGCCAACTTGTTGCTTGGTTACACTGTAGGGTGAGGGCCAACTTGTAGTTGCTAGGTTACACTGTAGGGTGAGTGCCAACTTGTTGCTAGGTTACACTGTATGGTGAGAGCCAACTTGTGGTTGCTAGGGCACATTATGATTGAGGGCCAACTTGTTAGGTTACACTGTGGGTTGAGGGCCAACTTGTAGTTGCTAGGTTACACTATAATTGAGGGCTAACTTGTTGCTAGGTTAGTCTGTAGGGTGAAGGCCAAGTTGTAGTTGCTTGGTCACACAACAGGTTGGAGTCAATGTGTAGTTTGCTAGATAATTCTTCTGTGCAGGTAAAATTTGTAGTTATAAATTGTCTATATTACTCTACAGTTCAGGGACAGTTTGTAGTTGCTACGTTACAGTGCAGTTAGGGTCAGTTAGTTGTTGCCAGGTTACACTGCATGTGATTGATGATTTGCCAAGGCATATTTACTTTTCTGCAGGGACTGTAATGAGTCCTTGATAGTTTAAGTTGCTGACTTGTGTAGTACTGATTTTCTGATGCCGGACAGGTAGAGAAATGGAGGATGGTAAACGCAGGAGGTAGACCGAATGTTGATAGTCATGAACCGGTGTATCATTCCTGAATCAGGGTACAATATGATTGGTAACCATGGTAACCCATGTGTTTGTAGGTGATCTTGGAGAAGAGACTGAGAGTACAGGGTTGAATGGATCTTCTCTAGAGGTGAGTACAGGCTGTGTGTGGCATGTGAGTGAGTCAGTTAGTTAGGGTTAACTCTGCTTTGGACAGTATTCCAGTTATATCACAGAGCATCAGCTGGTTGTGAAAGTATTCCAGGTATATCACAGTGTGTCAGCTGGTTGTGGAAGTATTCCAGTTATATCACAGAGCGTCAGCTGGTTGTGGAAGTATTCCAGTTATATCACGGTGTGTCAGCTGGTTGTGGAAGTATTCCAGTTATATCACAGTGTGTCAGTTTGATGTGGAAGTATTCCAGTTATATCACAGTGTGTCAGCTGGTTGTGGAAGTATTCCAGTTATATCACGGTGTGTCAGTTTGATGTGGAAGTATTCCAGTTATATCACAGTGTGTCAGCTGGTTGTGGAAGTATTCCAGTTATATCACAGTGTGTCAGTTTGATGTGGAAGTATTCCAGTTATATCACAGTGTGTCAGCTGGTTGTGGAAGTATTCCAGTTATATCACAGAGCGTCAGCTGGTTGTGGAAGTATTCCAGTTATATCACAGTGTGTCAGCTGGTTGTGGAAGTATTCCAGTTATATCACGGTGTGTCAGTTTGATGTGGAAGTATTCCAGTTATATCACAGTGTGTCAGCTGGTTGTGGAAGTATTCCAGTTATATCACGGTGTGTCAGTTTGATGTGGAAGTATTCCAGTTATATCACAGTGTGTCAGCTGGTTGTGGAAGTATTCCAGTTATATCACAGAGCGTCAGCTGGTTGTGGAAGTATTCCAGTTATATCACAGTGTGTCAGCTGGTTGTGGAAGTGTTCCAGTTATATCACGGTGTGTCAGTTTGATGTGGAAGTGTTCCAGTTATATCACAGTGTGTCAGCTGGTTGTGGAAGTATTCCAGTTATATCACGGTGTGTCAGGTGGTTGTGGAAGTATTCCAGTTATATCACAAGGTGTCAGCTGGTTGTGGAAGTATTCCAGTTATATCACCGGGTGTCAGCTGGTTGTGGAAGTATTCCAGTTATAGCACCGTGTGTCAGCTTGATGTGGAAGTATTCCAGTTATATCACCGGGTGTCAGCTGGTTGTGGAAGTATTCCAGTTATATCACAGTGTGTCAGCTGGTTGTGGAAGTATTCCAGTTATATCACCGGGTGTCAGCTGGTTGTGGAAGTATTCCAGTTATATCACAGTGTGTCAGCTGGTTGTGGAAGTATTCCAGTTATATCACCGGGTGTCAGCTGGTTGTGGACGTATTCCAGTTATAGCACCGTGTGTCAGCTTGATGTGGAAGTATTCCAGTTATATCACAAGGTGTCAGCTGGTTGTGGGAGGAAAGTGATCCAGGTCTCAGACGTTCACCACTTTGGTGAAACACACAAGCATGTGTATGGTGCTGAAACCCTAGAAACATAATCAGGGCGAACCAGGATTCAAACCCACAATCACAGGTTGCTGGCCAACCCATGGACACACCTCTGCATAGCGAATTGCATTGCCTTAGAAATATGGGCCTCCCATGCCCCTGTGTGTCATGTGAGCTAAGAGAAGAGACTTGCCTTCCGATGTGTAACAATAGATTGATATCAAGTTCATGCATACTTAAAGCCAGAAGTTTCATTGATCAATAGGGATAGGGCAGTCAACCATCACTTTGTTGATGCATGCCATTGTATCCCAATTGCATAGATTGATGCTCTTAATGTCAATCACTGGATTGTCTGGTCCAGACTTGATTATATTACAGACTGCAATTATGTAGCTTAAATATTGCTGAGTGCAGCATTAAACAAACAAACATACAAAGCTGTATAAAAAAAATAAAAATGTATAAAACATACAAAACAAGATACAGATCACATCAAACCACATCAAACCACATTCAAAGACAAATCAGTGTATCTTGATGCCAGTTTGAGAGGTGTTGGGTCTTAGAGGTGTTGCACATTAATTTGCATACCTTTGTGGATGTGTGGGAATGAAAATAACCAGACATATCCCATGTGTGAAGAAGTGCTGGACTTGAATTTTTCATTACTTTAAGCTCAGTAAAAATAAGCTAAGCATTTTCAGTCTATGTGAACACTATTAAACTGTTAGTCTTCAAAGTCAAAGAAAGGAATTTGGAGTTTGTGCTTCTGAATTATCACAACATTATCAATGGTTGTTATGTATTAGCACAGATTTGCACAGTTACATATAGGTCTCAAGCCACCTCGGCTTGTTGGTTGATAGCTTGTCATCGTACCCTAGTTGAATGGGTGCTGCTCATACTGTCTGTCACTGAGGGATGAGAATTTCCGCAGATCCGTGACATTCTGCTGATTTGGTGTGCCTGTGCCATGGGTTACTTTTTTTTATATATCATGTATATGCCATTACAAAATATGCATAAATCACAAAGGGTACCCGGTAGGCCCTAGGCTTGTGTTTCCTATCGTACAGACCATCCCACTGTCTCTGTTTTGTTCCTTCTGTGGGAGCCTTGTCACGTCCACTGATGTACTGTTTGCTTTTGTTTGTTGTTCAATGCCACACTCAGCAATATTCCATCATAGACGGCGGTTTGTAAATAATCGAGTCTGGACCAGGCAATCCAGTGATTGACATCATGAGCATCGATCCAGGCAATTGGGATACAATGGCATGCATCAACCAAGTCAGCGAGCCTGACCACCCGATCCTGTTAGTCGCCTCTTGTAACAAGCATGGGATGGTGAAGACCTTTTGGATCCACATGGCAGCATTCTACCAACCAATGCCATGTTTATTGGCTTTCACTAATAGTTGAACGTCTAAAATGTTACCATTGGTTACAGGAACTTCTTTTGTCAAAGGACAAACTGGGCATAACAATGGCTTAAGAGGAAAGCCGCTATCTGTTTTAGGGGTTAGACTCAAATCTCATAATTTAAATTGTAGTTCTAACTAGGGCTGTTACGATTCAGTCGCATATTTGGTGAATCGAACTGTATCCATTCATGAATTGAATTCGTTATTCGTGGCAACTAGAATCGAATATTTTTGAATAGGCAAGCATCTGGATATTTACATACCCTGTACCAAAAAATATCATAAGAACATATATGCATAGATTTCTTCTAAGACAACACTCTCATAATATTTAGTTTGATGTTTGAGCAGATACTAGTCCCTGGATAAGTGCAGTATATAAATGTATAATATATTAATCATTAACAAAACATGTCAAATAATTTATGTTGTCAATGTTTCACTGAATATAACAAATAATACAAATGATATTTCAGCTGCTACATCAGACTTGTTATTGTATTGGTGAAGTAATATTCATATTCGTTACCCTATATTTGTGATACGAATCGTTTTCGCCTATAGTGTATTCGTTGCAGCCCTAGTTCTAACTTCCAATTTTGTCCAAATTTTCAAAGTGTGCACATTGGTTTTTATATTTTTAAGGTGTTATAATTCCATAAGCGCTGAAACAAATGTATTGAAGTCAACTCTTCTAAATAAGTACATCAACAATAACAACCTAACATGCTGCTTATTTGACCTTATCCTGACTCATACTAACTGCTCGTAACTGTGGTCAAAATATTGTACACCTTTGATCGAACCTCACTGTTCATTTCAACATGAATTAACGCTTTTCTGTCAATATAAATGTATTTTCAGGGTAAATTGATTTACAGGCTGTGGTACAAATAACAAACAAATCATTGCCCAATAATTTTAATCTTCAAAACAAAAAACTAGAAATCAGCTTTGATTCAAACAGAAATGGGTATTTTTAGCAACTCACATGGAACTCCAACTTGCCGATGTTGTTTTGTTCATGGCAGACGTTCATAACTTTACAAGTTGATCTGAAGATGAGTCACATTAAGAGTTGATCATTAAGGACTGACCATTTGATATTCTTTAGCGGGGCTTTGGATTTTTTATAGAGATTTACCGGTAAAACCACATATGTTTTTTTTATTTAGAAGCTATAAGCCTAAATATATTGTTTTTAAGAACAACTTGTATTTTTTGTGGCAGACAATTTTTTAAAGCACTTACTCGTCACGCCGAAGACCCCGGTTCGATTCCCGACATGGGACAATGTGTGAAGCCCGTTTCTGGTGTCCCCCGCCGTGATATTGCTGGAATATTGCTAAAAGTGGCGTAAAACCATACCCACGCACTCACTCACTCAATGATCTCTAAGTAAAGTAAGAACTCAATGCAAGATGGCAAGAAACACCATTAATAATGTTTTTAGTGCTTGCAATTAGGCTTTTTACAAAAAGGTTCAGTGAACATAGTTCACAGGGGCTAATGCCTTGCACACAACTGGACGTGTCATATTGGCGAATATTTCATGCTTGTTAATGTTTGTGTTAGAATAACATAAACATAAACATAAACAGTACAAGATTTTCTGATTCTGTTTATATCGATACAAACAGCATCAATTCATCCTAAACAACTTTCATTTACATTAGTTGTAAACAGATTAGTTTTTCATGTTTTACTTTTAGTTTTAACCAAAATTTACCACTACCATATCAAATTGTCCAGGTAATTTACTTGATCAGTACACTGTGAAGATGTGGGGTAGAATAGGTCTTCAGTAACCCATGCTTGCCGAAAAGGCAACTATGCTTGTTGTAAGAGATGACTAACGGGATCAGGTGGTCAGGTTCGTTGACTTGGTTGATGCATGTCATCATATCCCAATTGCTTGGATCGATGCGCATGATGTTGATCACTTGATTGTCTGATCCAGACTTGATTATTATCAGACAGCCTTCATATAGCTGGAATATTGCTGAGTGAGGCGTTAAAAAAAACAAAACAAAAAAACAAAACAAACTTGATCAGTACAGATGTTGGTCAGAGTGCTGTCAGCCTCTCTGTCACCAGGGTTGTCAACATTTCGACATTACTCACATTGGGAATGATGAAAAGCACCATTTTTGGTCAATAATCTGGACAAATGGACTTTGTCTCAAGACAAGTGAAATATCCTGTGGACTTTGTCCAGGGAGTCCCTGCATGTTTGATGCCTGCATTTGATCAGTGAATACAGATCTGTACAGAAATATAGGTACATTGGGTTATTACAGAGTGTTGTTTTACTGATGGGATTTTGTATAGTGCTGAATTAGTGCTGAATTATAAGATCTGTGTGCATACTGTGTTATGAACTGTTATATAATGTATTGATGCAATTAATGTGACACAATACTTGAGTTTGTTTTTGTTATTTTCTGTGTGGCCGTTATGACTTTTTTGGTGGCCGTTTTATCTTTTTTTTTTCCCTGCCGTTCTGACATGAGGCCGTTTTGACCCTCTCCCTGTTTGTACCCAGGCACCGTAAAATTAATTAATGGACATTTTGTGTGTGCATATTTTACACAATTGTGCAGCAGATATAGAGTTTACACTCAGCTATATGACAGCAACCAGTAAACAACTGAGTGATTGATATTGTGGGCAGTGATCCATGTCGTTGGGCACACTGACAACCAATCAAACAAGACACAACGTCTGAGCATCCCATCCATTTAGTCGTCTAGTACGACAAGCATGGGTTGCTGGGGACCCATTGACACCTGTAATCCCCAGAGGGTATGTTGTGGTCGTATGTTGTATCAATCACTGCCCGATGATATTGATGGGAACATATTTGGTTGTACCTGTTTCACCGGTAACGTCCTTGTTCCAGATGTTGAACAATGAGGATGATGAAAGTGGCACATTTGACATCCCCATCTTCACTGAAGACTTCCTGGACCACAATAAAGGTTAGCTCACCTGTCAACTTACATTTACACTTCAGGGGTAGACCCACAAAGTTCCAGATAACTTTTTGAGCAATTGAGATTTTACTCGAAGGTTTCTATTTTAATTGGGTTATTACATTTTTCATTGGGTAACCTATATTTTTTCACTCATCTATTCATCACTCTATTGGGTTTTTCCCAAAATGAGTAAACATATTGAAGATTAAAAAAAAATGAAATAATGTTTTAGATGTATATAATGGTTCTAAATATAGGCTTGACTCTGAAAGTAAATTAGTTCGTAATTGTGTTTTCGAAATTAGCTCCTTTGTACGCGTGCTGAAAAAGCTTCATTTGGTATTTACGCGTGCAGTTTTTATAATTTGAGTTTTTCATTTAATGCATGCCTTTCTGTACGCAAGTTAAGTGAAAGTAATTGGGTTTTGAATATTTTTTTATGGGGGGGGGTATTTTACGCAAATACGCTGCTTATCTGTAGCTCTGTTACATATCGATACTTCAGGGTTAGATTCAACAGCAAATTCATATGTAGCCAGCAGGGCTTGCTCCTTTTAAAAGTTACTGGCCCTTTTCTAAACGTACTAGCCTACAACTAAATGATGGAGGCTGTGACGTGGCAGAACCTCTGGTCGTGTAGCCATGTAGCAGGGCTTTATTAAAAAATGTTCTCCTCATCCCTGAAACGCCCTTTCTTGCACTCCAAGATTAAATCTTGGCTTCCTTTTGCCTCATTTCGTGGTGATTTATGAGCAAATAAAGATGTTGTTGTACACAACATTACAAAGTGGCGGCCTGTTGTCATGCCACCAAGATGACCAACTTATCAATTTACGCCACTTTTAGCAATATTCCAGCAATATCATGGTGGGGGACACCAGAAATGGGCTTCACACATTGTAACCATGTCGGGAATCAAACCCGGGTCTTTGGTCTTACGAGTGAACGCTTTAACCACTTGGTTACCCGACCGCCCCTACAGGGACTAGCACAGAGATATGGTTACTGGAGCTACGGGAGTTCATTATCGTATTTTATGTATATGATTCAATTTCTGATCATATGATGTCAGCGTTCTGTGTGTCTCATTTCAAATGGAGCACCTTTATGGGTCAGTTTGGGAATTTAAAGTATGAATTGTGTTTTTGGCCAGTGCGTGAAGCGGAATTGCGTCAGCTGAGGAAGCAGACAACGGAGTTGGAGGAACAGAATGCCATCCTCAGTAAACACATAGAGAACATGAAGCACGCCATTGAGAAGCTGGAGATCGAGGCGGTGCAGCAGCGGAGCACCAACATGGCTCTGCAGACCCACCTCGACAACCTGCGCACAACACTTACCACGCACTTTGCCTCCGTGTCTCTCCCAGGTATGTAGCACACCTTGACAACCTGCGCACAACACTCACCACGCACTTTGCCTCCGTGTCTCTCCCAGGTATGTAGCACACCTCGACAACCTGCGCACAACACTCACCACGCACTTTGCCTCCGTGTCTCTCCCAGGTATGTAGCACACCTCGAAAACCTGCGCACAACACTCACCACGCACTTTGCCTCCGTGTCTCTCCCAGGTATGTAGCACCCCTCGACAACCTGCGCACAACACTCACCACGCACTTCGCCTCGGTGTCTCTCCCCGGTATGTAGCACACCTCGACAACCTGCGCACAACACTCACCACGCACTTTGCCTCCGTGTCTCTCCCAGGTATGTAGCACCCCTCGACAACCTGCGCACAACACTCACCACGCACTTCGCCTCCGTGTCTCTCCCCGGTATGTAGCACACCTCGACAACCTGCGCACAACACTCACCACGCACTTTGCCTCCGTGTCTCTCCCCGGTATGTAGCACACCTTGACAACCTGCGCACAACACTCACCACGCACTTTGCCTCCGTGTCTCTCCCAGGTATGTAGCACCCCTCGACAACCTACGCACAACACTTACCACGCACAACACTCACCACGCACTTTGCCTCCGTGTCTCTCCCAGGTATGTAGCACCCCTCGACAACCTGCGCACAACACTTACCACGCACAACACTTACCACGCACTTTGCCTCCGTGTCTCTCCCAGGTATGTAGCACACCTCGACAACCTGCGCACAACACTCACCACGTACTTCGCCTCTGTGTCATTCCCAGGTATGTAGCACACCTCGATAACTTGCGCAAAACACTCACCACGCACTTCGCCTCTGTGTCATTCCCAGGTATGTAGCACACCTCGATAACTTGCGCAAAACACTCACCACGCACTTCGCTTCTGTGTCTCTCCCAGGTATGTAGCACACCTCGTCAACCTGCGCACAACTTTCACCACGCACTTCACCTCAGTGTCTCTCGCAGGTATGTAGCACACCTCGACAACCAGAACACAACACTTACCACGCACTTCACCTCATTGTCTCTCCCAGGTTTGTAGCACACCTCGACAACCTGCGCACAACACCAACCACTCACTTCACCTCCTTGTCTCTCCCAGGTTTGTAGCACAACGCTCATCTGCACAGATCACTTATCTCAGGAACCTGCACATATGACTTTGTGACTTTTTGATGGCGTATATATTTGTGTTGGGCGATGCTCATTATATCAACCATTATTCTGTCTGCCCCTGACTCAATTATTTACATGTTTCCATGTAATCGGAAAGCAGAACAACAAAATAAAAAAATATTTTGGACAATATTTCAACATTTGTACCATTTCTTGTCTCCTGTTGCAGGGTCAGGAGAGACGCCATCACTGGAGACGATTGACACATACATGGCCAAACTACACACGGTGATCCTCGACTCCCCTCAGGAGAATGAATCTCTCATTGCCACCGTTAGAGAAATAGTCGGAAGACTCAACATTGAAGGGTGAGTAGGTAATATGGAGTATGATAGGTAATATGGCTTATTTGGAGGTAATATGGAGTCTATGTAGGTAATATGGCGTGTAAGCAGGTAATATGGAGTCTATGTAGGTAATATGGAGTATGATTAGGTAATATGGCTTATAAGCATATTATATGGAGTCTGTAGGTAATATGGAGTATGATAAGGTAATATGGAGTCTATGTAGGTAATATGGAGTATGATTAGGTGATATGGAGTCTATTAAGGTAATATTGAGTATGATTAGGTAATATGGCTTATATGCAGGTAATATGGAGTATGATTAGGTAATATGGCTTATATGCAGGTAATATGGAGTATGATTAGGTGATATGTAGTATGATTAGGTAATATGGCTCATAAGTTGGTAATATGGAGTCTATGTAGGTAATATGGAGTATGATTAGGTAAAATGAAGTCTATATAGGTAATATGGAGTATGATAAGATAATATGTCTTATAAGTATATGGAGTCTTATGTAGGTAATATGGAGTATGATTAGGTAATATGTCTTAGAAGTAGGTAATATGTTGTCTAGTTCTCTAGTACTCTTGGAATAATAGTTCAGTGAATAATAGTCCATATTACAATGCTTAAATGTACTGAAAAGGATGCCAAGAGCTAAGTTCAGGATTATAGACTCAAAAGCTTTGGGCACAGACTGGTCTAATAATCACTGCCACCCACCCTTTTGACGAGGGTAGATTCCTGTATGTAACCTCTGGGTGTTGTGTTTCAGTGACAAGTTATGACGAGAACAAGAAAGTGTCATTGATGTAGAGCTCATCTTGGACTAGTGGTTGTTCTAATGATGATGTGGACCTGCCTGGCAGGATCTGGATCCCAGCATCTTCAGTTGCTACACAGAATGGAGATAGTGACGGACCCTTATGAGAAGTGCAGATGCTGATTTAGAGTTCTGTCTTTGTGGGTGTTCACCCTGATGTGATCTGGCAGACATTTTGTGTACAGGACTTGAAGTCTTGAATTGTGCACCTCTAGACACGGTGCGGTGTTGATGCACACTCTTCATCTTCATGTGATGTCCTCCACCACAGCAGCAGAACAAGGTGCACCTGACTCAAGGTCCTGATGGGGGCTTGAGGGGGTGGGGGGTATTGAGTTCAGGTGAGGGAGGGAGAGTTTCAGTTGTTTGATTTGATGAATAGAGGGGGTCTTGCATTGTATGACCCATCTTCCCGAGGCAAGAGAGTTAACTGACTTTAGAAGTCCAGTTTCCACCCTTGCAGACCTAGGCTGGAATTCCTGGGCTCGATTGTAGCGCCACCAGCGGTTATTATGAGTTATGTCCCTTCTGAGCCTCTCCTATGGACCAATCCGATTCCATCACTTGCATTTGTTTCAAATAAAATGACGGCGCCCAGTCAAGACAATCTGATCGATAATCAAGATCTATATTGTGATAAAACAGGTCTTACATCGCAAGGTGCATCAAATCACGCGAGCAGTTTGAATAAAAACATGCAAAGGTTTGGAAAATATCTGTTGACAATGAGTTGGTGATGCACATGATTTGAAAATCCTGCAATCGACAGAACTCTGCATAGTGGTTTACGAACCGGATTTCAATTTCGTTGCGAGATTTTGATTTGACTATGGATAGACTCGTTAATCCAGCCAAAATGTAACTCTAAATACCAGCCTAGTACGGCAAGGGTGGAAACTGGACTTTTATATCAAGTTAACTCCCTTGCCTTTGGAAGATGTGTATGGCCTGGTGGAGTGTTTGAGGGGGAAGCGAGGTTTGGAGTTGTATGACATGTAGGGGAAGGGTTTCTGGATTTGTATGACAAGTCCACACCTTATTTCAGACACTGTGTATGTATGAATGTACAGTAACTGTTTGGTTTGAAAGCAAGTTATCCTTTCACATTTTCACTAGTCTTGGGACATGCTGACTGCTGATAGTGGTCGAGGCTTGTGTGATGTACTCGCACCGAGACTGGATGTGAGCAGGAGAGTGTGTGTGTATGTGTATGAAGAGCTGTGAGTGGAGATGTGTGTGTTGTTGGGTTATGCTCCTGTTTGTGTTGCCACTCAGGTTTCTGTGACAGATGTGTTGTGATAGACCTATCACAGCTTCATTCAGGAACTACCTGCTGTGGGTTCCGAGAAGAATCCCTGCTCTGAAGTGTTTGTTTGTTTATTGTTTAACGCCACACTCAGCAATATTCTGGCTTTGTGATGACGGTCTGGAAATAATCAAGTCTGGACCAGACAATCCAGTGATTGACATGAGCATCATTTTATGGGATACAGTGACATTCATGAACCAATTCAGCAAGCCTGACCACCCTATCCCACCTCTTGGGACAAGGATGGGTTACTGCAGTCTACAGTTTAAATTTGACCCTGAATTTCGGGAGAGGGGGGGGGGGGGGGGGACGAGCATGGGTTGCTGAAGGCCAATGTTAACCCTGATCTTCAAGGGGGTTTCTCTGGAGTGTCACAACATAGTTGAACAGGACGCTGCACCTTGCTTGCACGTCCTGTACCAGACTTATTATTTACAGGACGCCATAACATAACTAAGATATTGCTGGCTGGGGTAAGGCGACATCAGTTCACTTTGTTCAGCCTGGTGATACGAGTCATGCTTTAAACTGAAGGGAAATGTCTGGTTATGAAGAACATTGTTCTGGTACCATTATCTCTCTCAGGAAGGAAAACTAGCATTGAGACATGAATGGTTATGCACAGATCATTTCAATGTATTGTTGGGGAGCCAAGCATATTTGACAGAAATATATTTCATCACTACTTCAAGGTAGAGTTACATGTATTATTTTTTTTAAACCAAACCCAGCACCTACTCGGGTGGTTCAGAATTAACAATGGTCGGTCTCTAGGTAAGATAGATATTCAGACTGGTTACAATGTTACTTACTGACCGACATATGACTGTCAAGCCACATGATATTGTGTTCTAGATATTTATATTTGCATTTCTTTCATTCATTCATACAGTATGACTAAACATCAAACTTCAATCCTGTAAGAGCATTGGGTTAGTCCAGTGGTTAACGATTCGCTCATCATGCTGAGACCAGGGTTCTATTTCCCACATGGGTACAATGTGTCAAGCCCATTTCTGGTGTCCCCTGCCGTGATATTGCTAGAATATGGTAAAATCGGTGTAAAAACCATACTCACTCACTCATTCGATTCTGGAGGGCATGGGTGGCCCAGTCGTCTAAGGCGTCGCGATTCGCTGTGCAGAGTTGCGTCCCTTGGGCACGCCAGAAACCTATGATTGCTGGTTCAATTCCCGGTTCGCCCCGATTATGTTTCTAGGTTTGTCAGCACCATACCCGTGCTCGTGGGTTTCACCGAAGTGGTAAACGTCTGAGGCCTGCATCACTTCAGGCTTTCCTCCCACATTAAGCTGACTCAACCCGATATGACTGGAATACTGTTAAAAGAGGCGTTAAACCCATCTCACTCACTCACTCACTCATTCGATTCTGCATTCGATCTGAACACCAATTTTCATGCTTAAGTTTCAGCCAGGGTTACAGCTTTTTGTTATGATTATAATTTGGATCCTCCCAAGGATGAATATAAGGGTCCAATATTAATTGAAGTTACCTGAGCCCTTCCATAAAGTGATCTTAGCCCTATGTCTGTTGTCAACCCTTTATTTTAATATAGACTTACATTAGATGTAGGATTAAGGTTGCTTTGTGGAACATTCCTTGTTTAGTTTTGTACGCATGATAGGAGATGACACTGTTAAAACTGTTTACATGTTGGGTATTCATGTACTATAAGCATGTTTGTATGCCTGTGTTCTGATGCTGTATAAATGCCTGTGTGTATGCCTGTGCTTTGATGCTGTACAATTGCCTGTTGCAATTTGATGTCAATAAAATAGCTGACTGCACTTAATATACTGGTTGTGTGCTGTGTTGTATTGGAACATCAGACTTCCCAGATATCGGTCACAAGTACCCTCACAGTGGGAAACTTACAAAGCACCTCTGAACAGCCGTCTCTGTTTTCACGTGGAGAATTTATATCTTACAGAGCCATGTTCCTTGCGACCCGTGAAGATTCCGGGGTAGAATAGGTCAACAGCAACCCATGCTTGCCGTAAAAGGCGACTATGCTTGTAAAAGGCGACTAATGGGATCGGGTAGTCAGGCTCGCTGACTTGGTTGATGCATGTCATCGATCCCAATGGCGTCGGTCGATGCACATGATATTAATCACTGGATTGTCTGGTCCAGACTCGATTATTTACAGACCGCCGTCATATAGCTGGATTATTGCTGAGTGCGGCGTTAAACAACCAACCATTTTCTTTGCCTTGTTTTTGGACACGGTCCACTCTATCCCCAAAATGGCAGGGGATGTTGCTTCAGGTGCATACTAAAACGGCATCTCAGCAAATCGTCACCGATTTCTCGGCCGAAACGGGACCTCACTTGTTGAAATCATCTAATTGTCGGGCGAAAACGGCACCTCTATTTTTGAATAACGATAAGAACGATTTATGGAGTAGTGGATATGCTTTATTTACATGCCTGAACTGGTCACAGTTGTCACATGATACAGCATGTTGATTTTCTTCTGACATTTTTCACACGTGCAACACATCGAAAGGACATTGTGAATAATTGTCACCTGACGGCACCCTGTTAGGCCTCTTAAATACAGTTTCAGCTTGACATTGATTTAATTTGAGTAAAGGTACTTAAAACCAGTAGAGGCTAATTTGTAATGTGAACCTGTGAGGCGATTAGTGAGTAGGGGCGGGTTTTGGTTTGACATGTTAAGCTGTCAATTTGGATGTTAAAAGTTACAAGTGGCCCAAGTGGAACCGCACGAACTCGTTATTGGTCAGTAAATGAAAATATATATCCGAGTTCCATGGCTTATGTGCTTAGTATCCAAGTTAAAGTGCGGCATGGTATTCCAGTGGGCTGGCATCAAAACCGGTGTTTAAGCAACCGGACACACAAAAACGTCGCCATGGTAGTGCATTAATCTGCAACGCGACGTTAAACCCAGTTTCACCCCACGTTGTAAATCTCAACTAGCCGAGCCTGCATAAAATATATAGGTCAATCCCTCTTGAAGTAAAGAAAGACTCACTGGGCAAACAAAAATGGCTGACAACACCTTCCACTTCATATGACTCGCGTTCCACGCTGCACAACTACACACACAGACTGAACACAGGGCAGACCTACTGACTCAAACAACAACCCTACAACTTACTGTCACCCAGACTTGCTGTCACCACACTCTCCATGGATCTGTTCGGTGGCAATGCTCCCTTGACGCTAGGTCTGATTGGAGTGTTCGTGACCTTGCTTTATCTGTAAGTGTACTGTTGTTACATTCAGCATATGTTTTCAGAGTCTGTTTCGAAAGATATACAACAATATTTTTAACATGATCTCACTGTGAGATACGAAGGTTTGTGGATACGGACAATATCATTGGAATGTGAGTTTAATTTTTACATGACGAGTAAAGTGCATAGGCGAACGAGGGGGGAACGTGGCTTTCTCGCATTCATTTACGGCCGTGACAAAACGATAACACGAGGCAAGAAAGCGATAACGCGAGACGAAAAAGCGATAACACGAGGAAAGAAAGCGATAACACGAGTTAAGAAAGCGGTAACACGAGTCGGGAAAGCGATAACACGAGTTAAGAAAGCGATAACACGAGGAAAGAAAGCGATAACACGAGTTAAGAAAGCGGTAACACGAGTCGGGAAAGCGATAACACGAGTTAAGAAAGCGATAACACGAGTCGGGAAAGCGGTAACACGAGACAAGAAAGCGATAACACGAGACGAGAAAGCGATAACACGAGTCGGGAAAGCGATAACACGAGTTAAGAAAGCGATAACACGAGTCGGGAAAGCGGTAACACGAGACAAGAAAGCGATAACACGAGACGAGAAAGCGATAACACGAGTCGGGAAAGCGATAACACGAGTTAAGAAAGCGATAACACGAGTCGGGAAAGCGGTAACACGAGTCGAGAAATCGATAACACGAGACAAGAAAGCGATAACACGAGACGACAAAGCGATAGAGCGAGACGAAAAGGCCATACGAATATCGCTTATTAAATATAATTTGTCAACCATTATAACATTGAACACTTAATGAATTGATTAACCTTCTCACTATCCACTTTAACACAATTTAACTGTAAAGACGTGTGCGATTTTAAAATGTAATTAATTCTTTACCTTATATTAGGAAATTTATGGGACAATCACGTCGTCAACACGTGGCGGGTCCTGGCAATAATCTAAATAGAAATGGAATGCGTTGTAAATACTAGTATTATTTATAGACAACTTATTTCTTATGATTCCTTTCAATTAAACTGTCTTCGGGAATGAAATCCAATTCTAATGTACTTTTAAAATAGAGTTTGACTTTCCCACCAGATGAGACTAGATATCCGATTATAGTATAGACGCTTTGTTCAAGCAGGAATATTCATAGTAACATTTCTCTGTCTATTAAACTGTATCGTTGTTAACAGTTGTGCGTTCTGATGTGAGTCATGTAATTATCTACCACATATAAACAGACATATATATAGACAGACGTACACAGACAGACACATACGTACATATGTGAGTGAGTGAGTGAGTTGGGTTTAACGCCGCTTTTAACATTATTCCAGTTATATCGCGGCGTGTCAGCTTAATGTGGGAGGAAAGCCCGAAGTGATGCAGGTCTCAGACGTTTACCACTTCGGTGAAACCCACGAGCACGGGTATGGTGCTGACAAACCTAGAAACATAATCAGGGCGAACCGGGATTCGAACCCACAATCATAGGTTTCTGGCGTGCCCAAGGGATGCAACTCTGCACAGCGAATCGCGGCGCCTTAGACGACTGGGCCAACGTACATATGTACGTACATACATACACACGTACATACATACGCAAGCACGCACATACATACACACGTACACATACATACATACATACATACATACATACATGTAGATAACACCATTGTCACAGCGATGGGAGGAGCGGCGAGTGGTTAAAGCGTTCGCCGATGACCATGGTTCGATTCCACACATGGGTACAATGTGTGAAGCGGCTTTTATCAGATTACTATATGCATGTACGTAAACTTGTAGATTTGCACAAGACAAGAGACACAATACAAGTTGATCATAAATCAAATGTAAAAAAATAAATATAAAAAATACCGACAACAGTATTTTGGTATTCACAATGTAACATCAGAACCTACTCAAAACAAGTTATAGACCACCCACAATTATAAGAATGTGTTTTGAAATACAATCAGCCATGACTGACTAACCATAGCCATATGAAAGGATCGGGTGTTCTTAAACGTCTTCTTAAAAGAATATAGTTAGATTTGAACCTGATTTATTTAGAGTTTATTGCCATGACCCGCCACGCGTCTTTCGGCGTGATGGTCACATTAAACTCCTAAACGTGGCCATATATCAGAAGCCACCACCACCTCCCCCGCGCCCTAAAATCTGTATAATAAATTGTAGGCCCCTTGCTGATACTAAGGCCGGTTTGGTTTAACAGTCAGTGGTCAAGAGGGGATATTCCTTTACCGAGAGAAAGCGAGAAACTGATAACACGAGACAAGAAAACGGTATTCTCGGCCCACGTTATCGCTTTCTCGCTTCGTGCTTTTGCTTTCTCGTGGCCATAATTGAAGGCGATAAAGCGATGTCCCCTCTCGGCTACCATAGTGCAAGGGAGATAACCTATCGCCTTGGCCGCATATTGAACACGCGAAGCCTTGCTGAAGTTTGCAATCTATTTGAGATATGAGATATTTTTCTTCTGCATATCAGAGACCATATGCCGATACAGTAAACTACGGTTATAACGAACACGCTTATAACGAACTAACGGATATAACGAACTAACTTTTTAGTCCCGACTATATGCTGTAGTTATGCTGTATATATGCTTACAACGAATTACGGTTATAACGAACTAAAATGTGTAGTCCCTTTGAGTTCGTTATAACCGTAGTTTACTGTATATATCGGTATATGGTCTCTGTGCATATCAAGAGATTTCTTCTGTCATCTACGTTTCGACAGGGAAGTTTATGTTAATTATAAGTAACGTGTGAGCCGGGTTTTAAATTTTCTTCTTTTTTTTTATTTGTGTGAAATACTTGCTGTGGACTTTGACAAGTAACCCTGCTCTTGAGTGATTATTTTGTTGTTGTTTAACGCTGCACTCAGCAATATTCAACGAGTTCTAGTGGCGAGTTCAATAGCACATAATAGTACGTGCTGATGTGAGGTACCTGATGACTGTGAATACATACGAACTATGTACGATTTGTATACTACCCGTGAAGATCCGGGGTTGAATAGGTCAACAGCAACCCATGCTTGCCGTAAGGGGCGACTGTGATTGTCGTAAGAGGCGACTAACGGGATCGGGTGGTCAGGCTCGCTGACTTGGTTGATGTATGTCATCGTATCCAAATTGCCTAGGACCGCCTCCGTGGTCTAATGGTAGAGCGTCCGCCCGGAGAGCGGAAGGTCCGGGGTTCGATCCCCAGCCGCGTCATACCAAAAGATGACTAGTCCTAACAGCCACACACACTCGTGTATGCACGTCGCTATATAAGTGCAATAATCTTGTACACGATATTAAACCCCATTTCATCTCACCTCACCTCATTTAAGAGGGTCTTAGTGCTCCAGTGTTACAAATCAGTAATCAGTAAAATCTGGGTCCTTTGTAGAACTGGATACGTCGAACTATTTATCTGGCCCCCAAGAGTTCGAGACAAAGGAATTCGACTGTGTTTGTACAGTTATCATAATCCATATATTTACTCATAGGTAACAGTTATTGTAACATAAATGTGTCGTATTTAATTATTTGGCAACTGTTTAGTTTAAACCCACGATAACATGTTCATAACACAGTTTGCCTTTGAGTGTGTATGGTAATGTGGACACATATTTGAGGAAACGCGGTAGTTATACTGAAAGTAAGTTAGCCATCTGTCAGCTGTCTGTGTCAGTGTTGTGTCTGTGTCGCCAGGTTTGCTAAGCGGAGAAAGCGTCTGTTGAAGGATGCTGGCTTTCCCGGACCAGAACAAAATATCATCTTCGGGGCCCTTCTCGACTTTATGTGGAAGGTAAGTGTCGTATACTCCTCTCTCAGCTCAAGTCCGTTTTTTTTAAATATCATCTCCGGTTAACTCAATGTTAACCTAGGGCCCGTCTCCACTCAAGTCCGTTTCTTTGAAATATAATCTCCGGTTAACTCAATGTTAACCTAGGGCCCGTCTCCGCTCAAGTCCGTTTCTTTGAAATATCATCTCCGGTTAACTCAATGTTAACCTAGGGCCCGTCTCCGCTCAAGTCCGTTTCTTTGAAATATCATCTCCGGTTAACTCAATGTTAACCCTGGGGCCGGTCTCCACTCAAGTCCGTTTCTTTGAAATATCATCTCCGGTTAACTCAATGTTAACCTAGGGTCCGCCTCCACTCAAGTCCGTTTCTTTGAAATATCATCTCCGGTTAACTCAATGTTAACCTAGGGCCCGTCTCCGCTCAAGTCCGTTTCTTTGAAATATCATCTCCGGTTAACTCAATGTTAACCTAGGGCCCGTCTCCACTCAAGTCCGTTTCTTTGAAATATCATCTCCGGTTAACTCAATGTTAACCTAGGGCCCGTCTCCACTCAAGTCCGTTTCTTTGAAATATCATCTCCGGTTAACTCAATGTTAACCTAGGGTCCGCCTCCGCTCAAGTCCGTTTCTTTGAAATATCATCTCCGGTTAACTCAATGTTAACCTAGGGTCCGCCTCCACTCAAGTCCGTTTCTTTGAAATAACATCTCCAGTAACCTAGCTGTTAGCCTGGACCCTCTCTCGTTTCAAGGCCGTCTTTTTAAATTCAGTCTTGTCTGAATTATTTAATATTTATGTTTGGCGGATCCGTAAGCCATGCAAAAGAAATGCAAGGAACAAGATTTCACACACAGTGTGCATTTATGTTGCAGGGGATTGACTTTGAAACCAAGCTGAGGAAACAGTATGGAGACGTATATGGGTAATCAGCTAAAATTATTCTTTGATAGTGTCCAGACCGATAACGACCGATAACGTGACTGTACGTTTTTACCGTTCATTAATACTGTATAATTCCTCATGTCCCGGTGTGCTTTAAATTGCATCTGAAATATATATAATATATGGGGAAATGTATGTGAACCAATACACAACGAGTTGACAATTGTTTTAGGTGTGCCCGTTTGCGCTAAGACGGAACCCAGTCGCAAAAAATGGCCATGAGGGGGACACGAGTCGCTATTCGGCTTGTCCCGGAATAACACGAGTTGCTCCCGAATGATATTATATATATTTCATCTTGGTTACAGAAAGGGGCGAGAGGTGACGAATGAGCCCTGGGCTTACATTTGGATAAAATGTTATTCAATTAAAATAGGCAAAACCGTAATTAAGCCCAGGGCTTAACAACGTTCTGTCCCGGTAGTTATAACACCCTCGTCATCATGACGCATCTCCCCGAGGCAAGGGAGTTAATCGACTGTAAAAGTCCAGGGCCCACTTGCACAAAGCGATCTTAGTGCTACGACTATTGTAAGCCTATGTTAAAGTATTGGAGTTACGATCATCTTATCGCTAAGATCGCTTTGTGCAAGCGGGCCCTAAAGATGTCATAACGAAGATATAACCCCATGCACGCTGAAAATGTAACTATCGCTGGACCAATTGAATCATTGCAGTTGCCCATGGCTCTTTGTAATACATTCATCAAAATAAAAGTTAGAATGGATGTCGCGCAGCTCTATCGATACGCTCGATGACCGTCCTCAGTTCATATCTGTGTTCATATTTTTCAGAGAATGGTACGGCGGACTCCCGATGATAACCGTCTACGACCCTGACATTTTGAAGGAGGTTTTTATAAAAGATTTTGAAACTTTCAAGGACCGTTTGGTAAGAATTTTAGAATTAGATTTAACACGTCCGATATTGAAAATGTTTTTTGCATGACAGTAGCTGGTTAAGATCCACTAAGGGCGGTCGGGTAGCCTAGTGGTAAAGCGTTCGCTCGTCACACCACAGACCCGGTTCGATTCCCTACATGGGTACAATGCGTTAAGCCTATTTCTAGTGTCCTCCGCCGTGACAGTGCTTGAATATTGCTAAAAGCGGCGTAAAACCATTCTCACTCACTAAGATAGACTGGCTAGAGGAATACCTACTCCCATCTCTGTCATGTCAAGCGAGGATGTGTGAGCTTGTGATTTTGAATTGAGACTGGCTAAAGTTTCAGCTACAGCTGCTGAACCTGATTAATTAAAACTAGGCAAAATAATTTTAAAACAACTTGTAACAATGTATTTTGTGGCAGTTTCATTTTTTTGTCCGAATAGTCATTATTTTACCAAGATTCCCCAAATTCCCAAGATTCTCAATCCCAAGACCCCTCAGTCAATTAGACTGACGGAATCAATACCATTATTCCATTGCTGCCTAGGGTGTTATGATAAGTATCATAATCACCGAGAGTACCACAATCAGCATCGATATCCTGATTTCCAATAATTCGATCTGGATTGTTCCAGTTGAAAAGGAAACAAACAAATTCATCTTTTATGAATATATGTGAAGATGCTTGCGGAATGGAATGCATACATTGACACCATTTACCAAGGCTTCGTGTGAGTGAGTTCGGTTCAAGACAGACGGATAATTTAAGTCTCACTCATCGTGCCCAAACAACGCAAATCGTTGCTCACAATATCAATCACTGGGTTGTCAGCCAAGTTTGGGGTATTTTAGCTCGACGTCATTAAGCTAGAGACCGCCTCCGTAGTCTAATGGTAGAGCGTCCGCCCGGAGAGCGGAAGGTCCTGGGTTCGATCCCCGGCCGCGTCATACCAAAAGACGTTAAAAAATGGTACTTGTTGTTACCCTGTCTGGCGCTCGGCATTAAGGGTCTAAAACAAGGACTGGTCGGCTCGGAGTCAGTACTGCGGCATGGTATCTCAGTGAGCTAGCACTATAAATCGGCATCAGTCCGGACTAGTAAAAGCAGCCACACACATACACACACGTGCATGCACGTCGCTATATAAGTGTAATAATCTTGGACGCAACGTTAAACCCCATTTCACCTCACCTCATTAAGCTAGAACAATACCAAGTATTGAGTATGGATGCGCGGTATTACCTGTATATCGGTGGATTGAGGTTCGTCCTTTCCATGATACGTATCACAATATCATGTTTTAATGCTTGGTATCTCGGGTGATTTCAAATAGCTATTTTTATCACGTGTTTAATGCTTTACACTTGCCAAATACCTTTCGAAATGGTTCCGTAATTCCAAAATTAAAGATCGCATTCTGGAGTTCTTCTGTGGCATTGGTGTCCTGGAGATCGTATCTTTGGCTATTTATTGAATGAGTAAAAATTATACTGTTCTAGCCTCTTATTTTGTTCCATTTATGAACTTCAAATCCTACGTTGATTTTTCAAATTTCTTCAGAATTAAAAAAAAAGAAAAGAATTATACATATGATTACATTGTGATACGTATCGCAATACGGCATGGTGCATTGCGAAATATTGTGATAAACATTAAACATCCAATCAATCAATCAACCAATCAATCAACCAGTCAATCAATTAATCAATCAATCAATCAATCAATCATGTCGGTAATAAGGCCTCAGGCCCATGTACAGATATATACAATTTAGTTTCACATCAAGTGCTGCATTAAATAATGTTTACAGGTAAGAGGAACGAAGACAGATAGCATTTTTAACGCAATTGGCTAAGTTCTCAAGGCGGTTTACACCAGAAGAGTTTAACATTCTAACCAGTGTGACTTTACGATTATTACCAGTAATGAAGTCTAAATATCCAATACCAATCCCTATAAAGGGGTAATTTAAAAAACAACTTCCCATTTTTAGGGCTTTTTCGATCTCGACGACTACCCTCTCAGCACCAATCTGTTCAGCGCGAAGTCAGACGCCTGGAGGCGGATCCGGAAGATCGTTAGTCCCACATTCAGCGCTGGCAAACTCAGGAAGGTATATCTTGCATCGTTGTTGTTTGTTGGTTTGTTGTTTAACGCCGCTCTCAGCAATATTCCAGCTATATGACGGCGGTCTGTAAATAATCGAGTCTGGACCAGACAATCCAGTGAATGACATCATGACCATCGATCCAGGCAATTGGGATACGATGACATGCATCAACCAAGTCAGCGATCCTGACTACCCGGTCCCGTTAGTTGCCTCTTACGACAAGCATAGTCGCCTTTTACGGCAAGCATGGGTTGCTGAAGACCTGTTCTACCCCGGACCTTCACGGGTCATATCTTGCATTGCCTTCGCTTTAGCTGAAATAGATGAATACACTGAAATAAATTATTGTTTCTGTCATTGATTAAGTTTTTGAAAGGCAAAGTGATGGACAAATTGAAATAAAGATGTTCCTATCCATTAATACATTTTTTCAGTTGATGAGCAAGCGTGAGTGATCTATTGTATGCTTATATACGTATCAGTCTATCTGCAGTCGGGAGGCGATGGTAGTTGGAGTCTAGTGCCCATGACAAGCTGAACATGGAAACAAGCAATATTGAGACCTTTACTCAATATATGTGTGTTGTATTTTACAGATGTGCAGAGGAATAAATCTTTGTGCCCAAAAACTAACAAAGAACTTTGTCCATGCGGCTGAAAGCGGAGAAGAAGTTGATGTGAAAGAGTAAGTTGCATTTGTTTGTTTGTCTGTTGTTTAACGCCGAACTCAGCTATGTGATAGCGATCTTTAAATAATCGAGTCTCTTACGGAAAGCGTGGGTTGCTGAAGATCAGTTCTATCCCGGATCTTCACGGAGGACAAGCATGGGCTGCTGAAGATCAGTTCTATCCCGGATCTTCACGGAGGACAAGCATGGGTTGCTGAAGATCAGTTTTAACTCTGATCTATACGGTGGACAAGCATTGGCTGCTGAAGATCATTTCTAACCCTGATCTTCACGGTGGACAAGCATGGGTTGCTGAAGATCTGTTCTAACCCTGATCTTCACAGGGGGACAAGCATGGGTTGCTGAAGATCAGTTCTAACTCTGATCTTCACGGTGGACAAGCATTGGCTGCTGAAGATCATTTCTAACCCTGATCTTCACGGTGGACAAGCATGGGTTGCTGAAGATCTGTTCTAACCCTGATCTTCACAGGGGAACAAGCATGGGTTGCTGAAGATCTGTTCTAACCCATATCTTCACGGTGGACAAGCATGGGTTGCTGAAGATCAGTTCTAACCCTGATCTTCACGGAGGACAAGCATGGGTTGCTGAAGATCAATTCTAAGCCAGATCTTCCCGGAGGACAGGCATGGGTTGCTGAAGATCTGTTCTAACCCTGATCTTCACGGTGGACAAGCATGGGTTGCTGAAGATCAATTCTAACCCTGATCTTCACGGAGGACAAGCATGGGTTGCTGAAGATCTGTTCTAACCCTGATCTTCACGGTGGACAAGCATGGGTTGCTGAAGATCAATTCTAACCCAGATCTTCACGGAGGACAAGCATGGGTTGCTGAAGATCAATTCTAACCCAGATCTTCACGGTGGACAAGCATGGGTTGCTGAAGATCAGTTCTAACCCATATCTTCACGGTGGACAAGCATGGGTTGCTGAAGATCAGTTCTAACCCATATCTTCACGGTGGACAAGCATGGGTTGCTGAAGATCAGTTCTAACCCTGATCTTCACGGAGGACAAGCATGGGTTGCTGAAGATCTGTTCTAACCCTGATCTTCACGGTGGACAAGCATGGGTTGCTGAAGATCAATTCTAACCCAGATCTTCACGGAGGACAAGCATGGATTGCTGAAGATCAATTCTAACCCAGATCTTCACGGAGGACAAGCATGGGTTGCTGAAGATCAATTCTAACCCAGATCTTCACAGGGGTAAAAGCATGGGTTGCTGAAGATCAGTTCTAACCCAGATCTGAGACTAGCATCACTTCGGGCTTTCCTCCCACATAAAGCTGTCACGCCGTGATATAACTGGAATAATGTTCAAAGCTCCGTTAAACCAAACTCACTTACTCACATCCAAAGGAGATGCCATCTTACAAGTACGCCTCTTGCATTCAGTTACCTCGCGCGACATTCACACGTAAACTGGGTGCTCTTCTAAGTCTGAATACCGCCTCCGTGGTCTAGGGGTAGAGTGTCCGCCCGGAGAGTGGAAGGTCCGGGGTTCGATCCCCGGCCGCGTCATACCAAAATACGTTAAAAGATGGTACTTGTTGTTACCCTGTCTGGCGCTCGGCATTAAGGGGCTAAAACAAGGACTGGTCGGCTCGGAGTCAGTATACTGTGTCTGAGTGGGGTATTCATGTTAAACTGCTGCATGGTATCTCATTTAGCTAGCACTATAAATCGGCATTAGTTTGGACTAGTACAAGCAGCCATACACACACACACACACACACACACGCACACACGTGCATGCACGTCGCTATATAAGTGTAATGATCTTAGACGCGACGTTAAACCCCATTTCACCTAACCTCTAAGTCTGAATGTGGAATGTGGGATATTTTTGAGAAAGTAATAAAAGAATGAACATTGAAGATCCAACAAAAAAATAGTCTGATTTCAAATAAATAAGAAAAGCCACAGGAGTTAAGAAATATGCAGTGAAACCGCAGAGCAACCTTAAGATGCCTGATTCCACAGTAGGATGTTCAAACATGAGATGAATAGTGTTTGTTTGTTTGTTGTTTAACACCGCACTCAGCAATATTTCAGCTATATGACGGCGGCCTGTAAATAATCTGTAAATGTTTGTTTGTACGCCGCACTCAGGTACATGAATGTTGTCTGTAAATAATCGAATCTGGGCCAGACACTCCTGTGATTGACATCATGAGAATCTATCCACGCTATTTGGATGCGGTGACATGGAACAACCAAGTCAGCGAGCCTGACAACCCGATCCCGTTAATCGCCTCTTACGACAAGCATAGTCGCCTTTTACGGCAAGCATGGGTTGCCGAAGACCTATTCTACCCCGGAATCTTCACGGGTCGAGCGGAAAATGAAGAAGATAGCACTGTACTGAACGCTGCGGGCGCTTCCCTCCCTTCTGTGATTCACCATGACATAACAGAGTGTGGATAAATTGCTTAATTAGATATTCAGATAACACTGTACGTTTTATAATTTTTCAAGTTTCATGTTATATGTGAGGCTTTGCCATGTTATGTAATAAAGTGAACCATTATTTCAGATATTGCGGAGCATTCACCATGGACGCCATTGGCAACACTGCATTCGGGGTTGACATCGATTCACAAAACGACTTTGAGAACAACTTTATACGAGAAATCAAGAAAGTGCTTGATAATATGTTTACGGGCAACCCATTTGTCATCCTGATAAGTAGGTTTCGTAAACTCATCTTACATATACAAGTACAGTAAACTACGGTTATAACGAACACGCTTATAACGAACTGATGGATATAACGAACTTACTTTTTTTGTCCCGACTATTTGCTGTAGTTATGCTGTATATATGGATATAACGAACCACGGCTACAACGAACTAAAATTAGTGGTCCCTTTGAGTTCGTTATAACCGTAGTTTACTGTAAAGCTTATGTTCGATCATTTGGATATACTGTGAACGTCCGGGTTAGAATAGGTCTTTAGCAACCCATGCTTGCCGTAAAAGGCGACTATGGTTGTCGTAAGAGGCGACTAACGGGATTGGGTGGTCAGGCTTGCTGACTTGGTTGATGCATGTCATCGTATCCCAATTGCGTAGATCGATGCTCATGATGTCAATCAATGGATTGTCTAGTCCAGCTTAACATAACCTTCCCTGTCGAAACTAATCAACACTTTTGATATGCAGAAGTAAACAAACTAACATAGGGGACTACGTAGGTAGTTTGTATGCACATAATACTCTCGTTAATTATCTTTGCGACTAAACGCCAGGAATTAAGTTTCTTAAAGAAATATAAGCCCAGGGTCCTGTTCCATAAAGCGATCTTAGTGCTACGTTGATCGTAAGCCTATGATAAAGTATGGGAGTTACGACCGACTTAGCGCTAAGATCGCTTTGTGGAACAGGGCCCAGGCGTATAATCGAGGAAAAACGGTAATTGATATAATTTAAAGTACTTCAAAGATCACTTTGACTTTGTTCGACAACATTGTGAACAACCAACAAACATATGACCTACTTTCAGTGTTGTTTCCTGAACTCAGGGGCCTGGCGAAGTGGCTGGGAATGGGAGCTTTCCTAAAGTCCACCAAGAAGTTCTTTACACAAGCCGTGACGGAGATGATAGAACAGAGGAAGAACCAACCGAAGGAGGAGAGAGAGGTGAGTGAGCCTTTAACATCTGATGACTTTTTGGACGCAGTGAGTGAGTGAGTGAGTTTGGCTTTACGTCCCTTTTCAAGCAACGTCACGGCGGGGGACATCTGAAATGGGCTTCAGAAATTGTAACAATGTTGAGAATCGAACCCGGAGTGGATTGTGTTATCATTTTGGTACAGCGGCCTTTAAATGATCGAGTGTTTTCCAGACTTACCAGAGTTTCGCCACTGTCCACTTCAAGCAAGGCAGTGGCTCCTCGGAAAAGGTCCCCGGTACACCTAACAGGTCTGGTGCTGACCAAACAAGAACCGTAATTTGAGCAAGTGCCACATTTGTAAAGGACGCAATTCCCCATTTCGAATTGCGGCGCCCGAGACAAACTGTGCCACCCGAATAGCCAATACATCTTAGCCATGACCTAATTAATGTCCTAACCATGGCCTAATTAATATGTCATAGCCATGACCTAAATAACCTGTTCCAGACATGACCTAATTAATATGTTCCAGACATGATCTTATTAAGATGTCCTTGTTATGGCCTAATTAATGTTCCTAGCCGTGACCTAATTTAGATGACCTTGCCATGACCTGATTAATATGTCCTTGTTATGACCTAATTAATATTCCTAGCCATGACGTTATTTATATGTCCTGGCCATGACCTAATTAATATGTCCTAGCCTTGACTTTATTTATATGTCCTAGCAATGACCTGATTAATATTTCATAGCCATGACCTAAATAACATGTTCCAGACATGACCTAATTAATATGTTCCAGACATGATCTTATTAAGATGTCCTTGTTATGACCTAATTAATGTTATGACCTAATTAATATGTCCTAGCCTTGACTTTATGTATATGTCCTAGCCATGACCTGATTAATATGTCCTGGCCATGACCTAATTAATATGTCCCAGCCTTGACTTTATTTATATGTCCTAGCAATGACCTGATTAATATTTCATAGCCATGACCTAAATAACATGTTCCAGACATGACCTAATTAATATGTTCCAGACATGATCTTATTAAGATGTCCTTGTTATGACCTAATTAATGTTATGACCTAATTAATATGTCCTAGCCTTGACTTTATGTATATGTCCTAGCCATGACCTGATTAATATGTCCTGGCCATGACCTAATTAATATGTCCCAGCCTTGACTTTATTTATATGTCCTGGCCATTACGTAATTAATATGTCCTCGCCTTGACTTTATGTATATGTCCTAGCCATGACCTGATTAATTTGTCCTGGCCATGACCTAATTAATATGTCCCAGCCTTGACTTTATTTATATGTCCTGGCCATTACGTAATCAATATGTCCTAGCCATGACATGATTAATATGTCCTGGCCATAATCTGATTAATATGTCCTAGCCATGACCTGATTAATATGTCCTAGCCATGAACTGATTAATATGTCCTAGCCACGACCTCATTAATGTCCTAGCCACGACCTAATTAATATGTCCTAGCCATTACGTAATTAATATGTCCTAGCCATGGCCTAATTGGAACCTAATGGCTCTTGTTGTCGGGTATGTAATGTCCTAACCTACAACCTTTGTTTTAAGAGGAGGATTGACTTCCTGCAGCTCATGTTAGACGCGGAGGATGATGATGGTCACCAAGATGGAGCCAAGATGCCAGATGAAGCAGCGCAGAAATCCCCCAGCAGTACGAATAAGACAGCATGGAGTGAATGTTGTTTGCTGGCAACCTAGCCCCTGCACGACTATTGTTTTAAATGTCTGTATGGAAGGTTACAAATAGAAATGTTCTTGCATCCACGCGTCACATTAAATCCTGCGCGTCAGTCATTTGTATTGCCAATCAACAAAATATGTTTCGAATTCAAGCGTCATATGACGCAAGACTCTGAGTTTATATTAAGGAGCAAATTCTAATGACTGCCCAATTGTGTCTTATGGTTCTTGGTGGGAGAAAAATAAGAAACATTCCTGCTTCATCAGTTTTTGTTTTCAATAAAAAACGATAGTCCTTCGTTTGGAGGCCCTTGACACATTTGGTTGTTTACACAGCCTAAGACAATAAGATTCTAGCTCTCATATAACATGCATTTGCTTCAAACAAAATGGCGGCGCCCAGTCAAGACAATCTGATTGATAAATAAATCAAAATCCGTTTTTTTTTAAAACGGTTCTTACTGCGCGAAATACATCAAATCACTTGAGCACCTTGATTAAACGCATGAAAAGATTTGGAAAATATCTGTCAACGCCAAGTTGACGGATCACATGCTTTGCAAATCCTGCAGTCGATCGAAATATGCACGTTAAAATCTATGTTGTTTACGAACCGGATGTCTAGTTCCTTACGCGATTTTGATTGGACAATGCATAGACTCGATAGTCCAGCCAAAATGTAACTCCGGAATTCCAGCCTAGTTCGGCAGGGGTTGAAACTGGACTTTTATAGTAAGTTAACTCACTTGCCCCGGGAATATGTCTAATTTTCGAATGAATATAAGCAACAAAACTCTTTTTCTGATCATAAGAAATCTCTACTAAGAGCGGAGTCCATTAAATGATTCCAACTGTACCATGGCATAAACACATTTTTATGAATCACTATCAAATAAAGATGACGAAAGACGTATCCTTATTAACCGCCTGTCTGTCTGAAGACATGTAAATCACTCACTGTTACAATACGTTTGCATGAATATGTCACAATATTTTTGGGGGGCACGGGTGGCCCAGTCGTCTAAGGCGCCGCGATTCGCTGTGCAGAGTTGCGTCCCTTGGGCACGCCAGAAACCTATGATTGTGGGTTCGAATCCCGGTTCGCCCCGATTATGTTTCTAGGTTTGTCAGCACCATACCCGTGCTCGTGGGTTTCACCGAAGTGGTAAACGTCTGAGACCTGCATCACTTCGGGCTTTCCTCCCACATTAAGCTGACACGCCACGATATAACTGGAATACTGTTAAAAGCGGCGTTAAACCCAACTCACTCACTCACAATATTTTTATCTCCAGCTTTGACGACGGATGAAATTATAGGCCAGGCTTTTGTATTCTTCCTCGATGGATACGAAACAACCTCCGGTACTCTGCAGTATATTGGCTACGTTCTGGCGACTCAGACTGGTGTGCAGGACAAACTTGCAGAGGAAATATCTTCTGTACTCGGAGACGTACGCTTTCAGTATATCCTTTTATTATATACAGTAAACTACGGTTATAACGAACACGCTTATAACGAACTAACGGATATAACGAACTAAGTTTTTAGTCCCGACTATATGCTGTAGTTATGATGTATATATGCTTACAACGAATTACGGTTATAACGAACTAAAATTAGTAGTCCCTTTGAGTTCGTTATAACCGTAGTTTACTGTACTTCAGTGTGAACGAGTTTTCTGAAGTGATAAAAAGAGAAAAGTGATTTTTTCATTGCAGAGAACATAAGACTTGATATTTCACTGTAGTGAACATAACACTTTTACAAAACTATTGTCACAAGAGTTACCTCCCCACAAATTGTCTCCCTTTATCGTAAGTGTCTGGGCTGTAAACAAACTGTTGACGTCCTTTTTCAGAAGGTCATTTATGGAGGTAATATCGCTTCTTGCCGTTTGTTATCCTTTTCAAAATGTTTCGTTTTTAGCTTAAATTCCTCATTCAACTCGTCAATCGAGTTCACTGTTTTGATATAATAACACTGACTTTAGCTATTTCCAATTGAATTTCAAAGAAATGATAAAATCAGCTGAAAGGTATGCAAACATGCTCCTCGGTTTATTGATCATGTCCATAGCATAGACAATGGCGTAAATGTGATTCTTCCTGGCGTTCATGTCCTCTTTCTTTGTTCTTAGGATGAGCCTGATTATGACAATATCAGTGGGCTGGTCTACATGGACCGCGTGGTCACTGAAACTCTGAGACTCTACCCAGGGGTTCCAGGGTAAGAAAATGGAAGAATGTTTTTTTATTATCTTCTAAAAAGACATCGAGGGTATTAACCTGGGTCAACTTCACCAACGTTAACTATTGATGCCTTTCACTATTCGATGCCTTTCACTATTCGACGACTTTCACTATTCGATACATTTCACTGTTCAACGCCTTTGCCCACCTTTCACTATTCAACACCTTTCACTATTCAACGCCTTTCATTATTCAACACCTTTCACTATTCAATGCCTTTCACTATTCGACACGTTTCATTATTCAAAACCTTTCACTATTCAACACCTTTCTCTATTCAATGCCTTTCACTATTCGACACCTTTCACAATTCGACATCTTTCACTATTCAACACCTTTCACTATTCAATGCCTTTCACTATTCGATGCCTTTCACTTTCAACGCTTTTCACTATTCAACGCCTTTCTCTCAGTGTCTTTCGCTATTCAACGCCTTTTACTTTCACTATTTGATGCCTTTCACTATTCAACACCTTTCACTTTTCAACGCCTTTCTCTATTCGACATCTTTCACTATTCAACACCTTTCACTATTCAATGCCTTTCACTATTCAATGCCTTTCACTATTCGATGCCTTTCACTATTCAACACCTTCCACTTTTCAACACCTTTCACTTTCAACGTTTTTCACTATTCAACGCCTTTCGCTATTCAACGCCTTTCACTATTCAACACCTTTCACTATTCGACACCTTGATCTTTATTGTGTGTAGCACCAGAAAACAAGCTGCTGTCCACTGCGTGAAGACCAGGGTTAGAATTGGTCTTCAGCAGCCCATGCTTCTCCCCCCCGTGAATATCCTGGTTAAAACTGGTCTTAAGCAACTAATGCGTGTCCCCCTGAAGAATCGGGTTTGAATTTGCCTTCAGCAGCCAATGCTTGTTCCCCGTGAAGATCCGGGTTAGAACTGATCTTCAGCAGCCGACTTGGGAGTGGGCAAAATGGGACTAAATGGATCAGGTGGTCAAAGACAGAGACTTGCTTGATTTTTTGTCATCGTATCCCTACGATGCATTGATGTCAATCACTGGCTTGTGTGGACCGACGTACCACGTATGAGTCTCATCAGGCCTGTGTTTAAAGCTTTTTGATTTCTTGACTACAGAACGAACCGTTACGTTTCCAAGACAACAAAAATCAAAGGATGGACATTTCCTGAAGGGGCATATGTCAGCATCCCCATTATGTACCTGCACAGAGACCCCGAGGTGTTCCCGGAACCGAACAGATTCAAACCTGAGAGGTGGGTGCCTTGTTGAAGCAGCAATCTCTATGTTCAAACCCACATGGGGATTCCGGATAAGATGGGTCTCCAGCAACTTGTATCCACAGTAACAGGGAGTAAGTGGAACAAGTGGTTAGGCTAATGGTCTTGGTTGATTGCATGTCACCGTGTCCCAATGCGCGGGGACCTGTGAAGATCCGGTTAAGAATTGGTCCTCAGAAACCCATGGTTATCGTAAGAGGCGACTATGCTTGTCGTAAGAGGCGACTTACGGGATCGGGTGGCCAGGCTCGCTGACGGAGTTGACGCATGTTATCGTTTCCCAATTGTGTAAATCGATGCCAATGATGTCAATCACTGGATTGTCTGGGCCAGACTCCATTATCTAAGGCCACCGCCATATAGCTGAAATATTGCTGAGTGTGGCGTTAAACAAAAATCAAACACCACATTCATAAAAAATATAGATCACGTTTTTGTTCAAATACAAACTGTTGTCCTTTACAGTAAACTACATTTATAACGAACACGCTTATAACGAACTGACGGATATAACGGACTATTTATTGGGACCTGTCCATTTGCTGTATATATTCAGTACATATGCTTATAACGAACTACGGTTATAACGAATTAAAATTAGTGGTCCCTTTGAGTTCGTTATAACCGTAGTTTACTGTAATTTACTGTAAAATATGTTGAGTGAAATCTAGTTTCCGTGAACCCAGTGTGATAAGGTCATATCCGTGTCTGAGGTAACTTTACATCTGGATGGGGCAAATGTTTATTCTCAAAGATGCTGATTCTTTCAATCTGTCCCTGCACATGGCAGGGAGAACATGTTTTATCAGAAAATTCGTGATTGACGTGTGGACATCTCCCTAACCGTAGTTTCACTGAAGCCATGTTGACGTGGGTCTCTTCGTAACTGTAGAATCACTAAAGCTATGATTGACGCCTGGGGCGCGTTGCAAGCCATGAATCGCTCAGAGAAAGCAAATTAATCGCTCATCCTGGTGTCTGCAACAGTTCGAAGCGCTTGCCCACTCTTCCAAAATGGCGGCGCAACTAGCGCTTGGTTGCCTTGACGTAATGAAGAAAGTAATAGAAGAGGCTCGATGACGAGCTGATGGAATTTATGACTACTTTGAAGATGTAAAACAGGCTGAGGATGATGGGGTCTTCGCTGCCTTTGCTGATTTCCTCGTTGATCCAGTCAAGAATTTCTTGTTCCGCTGTCAAAGTAAGCCGCCATTTTGGTTTGAGAACGAAGCGACCTCAGCCAGCGATTGTTTCGCTAGCAAGCGGCTGAAAGTTAGCGCACTGTTGTAAGGCGAATCGCTGTACATCGCTTGCAAGCGATTGGCGCTTTGCAACGCACCCCTGGATCACTCATCAACACCACAGTGACAGAACAAAGTATTTGAAACCCACAAGTCAACCCCGTCATTACCCTTTCGTGTTAACATGTTCCTCAAGGTACACTATTACACGTATGCTTCAGATGGGAGAAAAGGTCAGAGATCAACCCTATGTTCTACCTTCCATTCGGCCATGGACCACGTCAGTGTGTGGGAATGAGGCTTGCCCTGGTGGAGGTGAAGGTCGCTCTGGTCCATCTAATAAGGAACATCCGGTTTGTCAGGCTGGAGGACACACCGGTAAGAACAAACTAACCAATCAGCGTGAAGCAAAAATAATAGAAACTGCGGGGATTCCGGGTACGATTATTGGTTTTAAGCAACCCATGCTTGTCGAAAGTGGCGACTAAGTGGATTGGGTGGTCAATTATTTATAGACCGCCTCATATAGCTGGAATATTGCTGCGTTCGGTGTAAAACAACAAACTCAAGAGACGACTAAATGTTTGTTTGTTTGTTTGTTTGTGGGTGGTTTAACGCCACACTCAACAGTATTCCAGCTATATGACGGAGGTCTATAAATAATCGAGTCTGGGCTAGACAATCCACTGATTGACATCATGAGCATCGATCCACGCAATTGGGATACGATGACATACATGAAACAAATCAGCGAGCCTGACCACCTGATCCCGTTAGTCGCCTCTTATGACAAGCATAGTCGCCTTTTACGGCAAGCACGTGTACGTATGGGTGTGTGTATATATATACCCACAATTGTGTGAAATTGCGCAATTTCACACAATTATCTTTGAAAAGTAAGTGCCCGTGAGTAAGGAGGTGTGAAAACTCCGTATAAAGGCATGTGATAACAGCAAGCATCATGTTGACAAGCCACAAATGGATGTCTGTATGCCTTTGAGTGAGTGAGTGAGTTGGGTTTAACGCCGCTTTTAACAGTATTCCAGTTATATCACGGCGTGTCAGCTTAATGTGGGAGGAAAGCCCGAAGTGATGCAGGTCTCAGACGTTTACCACTTCGGTGAAACTGTATGCCTTTGATGGTGGAACCTTTATTGAAACGATAAGTTGTAAGTAAGTGTGTCTTTAGGTGACATCTGAATTAAATGTAATGCTCTACCTCGGCAACTGAGAAATGAGGACGCCATAATCCGGAGCTGAAAGTCAATGTCAAATAAAGGTCAAAAGAAACATTGGGGATCATGAATATTAATGGGGATAATTTTTTGTAGTGAAGTGAGTGAGTGGATGAGTGAGTATGGCTTTACGCCGCTTTTAGAAATATTCCAGCAATATCACGGCGGGGGACACCAGAAATGGTTTCACACATTGTACCCATGTCAGGAATCGAACCCGGGTCTTCGGCGTGACGAGCGAACGCTTTTACCACTAGGCTACCCGGCCGCCCCTTTTGTAGTGAAGACTGAGCACACAGTTTCATAAAATGTTTTTAGTATATTATTATGTATATACATGTTTGTACACCCTTGACGCGTCAATACGGGTATTTGTCAAAACGTGCAATATCACTGGAGACAGTACTGTCCAGTTAAACAAGGTTTCACTGTTTCCGTGAACATACTCTGTGAGGTTTATCACTGTATTGTACTTTTATGTTATGTTTTCCGCATTTCATTTTTGCGAAATTTTAACGTTATTTTAAACGTTATTTGTTATGGCGCGGACAGGGATCGAACCACCGGTTTTCCGCTCTCCTGGCGGACGCTCTATCCACTGCACCACTGATGTGGTCGACAAACAGATGTTATTAATTTCAACTGTAACGCTTTTGCATGACCTTATATTTTCGGCGAATATAAGAATCTGAAATATTTTATTTTGCAGGACGAACTGACAGAATTTAAGACCACGGGCATTTTACAACCAAAGACACCGATCAAGCTGAAAATTGAGCTCCGTTGATTGAGATTCATCGACAAATAATAAGATTGATTTACTTGACAAACTGAAGAACATAATTATACATAGTTTCATAAAGGTAGAAAAATTAAGAAATACAAGACGACTGTGAGTTGTTTATCGTACCATAAAACGCTGCAGGGAGAATAAACCTAGAGGTGAGGTGAAATTGGGTTTAGCGTCGCGTCCAAGTTATTGCACTTATATAGCGACGTGCATGTACGTGTGTGTGTTTGTGTGGCTGCTTGTACTAGTCCGGACTGATGCCGATTTATAGTGCTAGCCCACTGAGATACCATGCCGCAGTTTAACATGAATACCCCACTCAGACACAGTATACTGACTCCGAGCCGACCAGTCCCTGTGTTAGCCCCTTAAAGCCGAGCGCCAGACAGGGTAACAACATGAACCATCGTTTGACGTCTTTTGGTATGACGCGGCCGGGGATCGAGCCTCGGACCTTCCGCTCTTCGAGCGGACTCTCTACCACTAGACCACGGAGGCGGTCAATAATAAATCTAGAACATGAACCGATCTGAATCTCTGTTGTATGTTTGACTTTAGTGGCTTTTGTTAATTTTAAGGAATAGTTATTTTCACACCAGGATTTAGAAAACATACTTGGAATGTATTCTTAAATATATAATGAAATCCAGGTGTTCGGCCACCTAAGAATTGCATCTAATGTATCTATTTCTTGTACAGTAAACTACGTTTATAACGAACACGCTTATAACGAACTCACCGATAAAACGAACATATTTTTTAGTCCCGGCAAGGTGTTGTATATATGTTGTATATATGCTTATAACGAACTACGGTTATTACGAACTAAAATTAGTGGTCCCTTTATGTTCGTCATAACCGTAGATTACTGTATAAGTAAGATATGTCACTCCGCATGTGATATGCGTGTCTCTGATTTGTAATATATGTCTCTGATGAATTGTAATTTGTGTTGTATTATATTTCAATAAAAGGTAATTAATTGGGCGTACTTCAGACCCCCTATTCAGATATGTTTGCCATCACAGGTTTGCTTTTTCTGGAAGAAGGATACGATTGTTCAGCCATAACCATGGCAACAACAGATGCTGACTTTGTCTTGGATCGTCGCAAGTTTTGACACTTTTTGGCTTCCAACCTAAGTGCCCTGTGCAGACAAATTAAAAGAAAATGATTGATCACAATTGGGATTTTGTCACTTAAAATTTCTTTAAATTCTGAGTAATTTTAGCATTTTATACAAATGTTAAAACTTTTGATGAGGGGAATTTTACTGACATTTCTGCAGATCTGGGGCTGTATATCAGCCCATGAGAAAGTCTAAAATTATTCCTGAGGGATTCTTTGACCGAAGTACTTGAAGTCATACGCGCATTCTGATTGGTTTGTCGTATTTTCGCACATAACATTCATCGATAGGGGGACGAGTCTTCTTGTAGCTTACGGAAAGGGGCGAGTGTTGACGAATGGTTCCAGATGCCCAAATAAAATATCATTGCGTAATAAAATACGTAATGACTCATTTATTATAAAAAACACACACGAACAAAGTAGCAAAAAATACCCAACAAACTCAAAGCCTGTCAGATAATGGGTTTAACTTAGTGCACCTGATATAAAATGTAGGCAATGTTGTAACTTGACAATCAGACAGACAGACAGACAAACAGTTTATTCAGTAAGAAGGCCATAGGCCCATAATACAGACAATGGTTGATGGCATGAACTACGCATGCCAAGGATGGGTCGATTTAAGTTTCTCTTAGCCGTTGGACTTTATATAGATATAAACATGTGTTATATACAACATCAAAGTTTTCTGATGAAATAATTTCAGTAAAAGATGTTACAGTTTGAAACTTGATATACTGTTTAAGATACATATTTCTTAGGGCTGAATAACGCTCACATACAAGTAAAACATGAAATTCGTCTTCAATAAAAGATATACCATTTTCTATACAATATCTACATAATCGTTCAGTGTATGGGACATTTGTGTATCTCCCCAAGTCAATTGCAAGTTTAAACTTGCTACATCTGAAACGAGTCATACATATTCTCAGATGTACTGGTATGGGGAGTGTAAGATATTTTTCTACATTTAACAGGGATTTAAAATGTTTATAATAATTGACAATCTATTCATAGATATCCACATGTTTTGTTAAGTGCGGCGTTATATAACGCACGCGCGCACACACCAAGGAACGATAGACGCTTCTGTTCCCCACAATGACCAGATGTCGATGTTCACTCATTTCTCGTTTAGGTTCGTTTGTTTCGGTTTTAGATCCATTCTGAAAACGTGTTGTATATTGTATAACCGTGTTGTACAAACAGTTTATTTACATGACTGGCCTATTGTGCCAGTTATTACATACTTCAGAGACCCGTGAAGATCCTGGGTAGAATAGGTCTTCAGCAGCTCATGCTTGCCTACAGAGGCAACTAACGGAATCGGGTGGTCAGGCTCACTGACTTGGTTGATACATGTCATCGTATCCCAATCGCGTAGATAGAGGCTCATGATGTCAATCACTTGCTTGTCTGGTCAAGACCCGATTATTTAAAGACCCCTGTCATATAGATGAAATATTGCTGAGTGCGGCGTTAAACAAACAGGAGTTTGCCACTAACGTGGCTATATCCCCCGCCCCTGTTGCAAGATTTATGACATTAGTAAATCTAAACAAACCCTAACCTTTTTTAATCGAGGTGGAACTTGTCATGGAAATTGTAAAAAAAAGAAGAGTCTTGAATCTAAGTTCATCTTGCTGCCATGGAAACGTAAAAAATACAAATTTCTAAAATGTCTAAATAGCAAAAGGCACCAGTTCAGCATGTACCTGACAAAGTTTCATGAAAAAATATTGAACGGTTTATGGGTTATGCTCCGGAAACGAACCCTACCCTACCCTCACAGAACCTAAGTCCATCTTGTTGCCATGGAAACGTAAGAAATAAAGATTTCTAAAATTTCTAAAATTTCTAAATAGCAAAAGGCACCAGTTCAGCATGTACTTGACAGACCTGCAAAGTTTGATGAAAAAATATTGAACGGTTTCTGAGTTATGCTCCGGAAACGAAACGTGACGGACGGACGGACGGAGCCCGTTTCTATATCCCCCGCCAACTTTGTTGGGCGGGGGATAACAACATTCTTCAGAATGCTTTTCGATCTTTACGGGTACTCGTCCACCAGGCATTGATGGTACCCACTCACTCTGCAGTGATAACAGAAAACTGCTCCGACTTTGAACGTTTATTCAGTTTGACAGATGTATGACAGAAGAGGGAACCGGGGAACGTGGTCCTGTATACTACTCAACGTTTGTTAGGAAAAGCAGGACAAAAGCATATATAGATAAACTGTGAGGGATTCATTGCATTTGATTGGCTATCCAAGCAGTTTGTGTTGCGTATATGTGCCCAAACGAAGAAATTAGGCCACGCCCACCAACGGACTATTTGTACCCTGATTAGCTCATAATAAAGTAGGCGGGGCTTGAGTGGCATTATTATACTATACTGTTCCATTATAACGCTTAATGACGTCACTGGTTCCTTATTGTTGTCGACATTGTTTGAGTCACTGATTAAATAAACAGTCGGGGAAGTTATTATTACTGACGTATAATAAAAAGAATTCATGCAAACATTCATTTAATTCATAAATGACACGAATCTGGACGTGTGTCAGTCGAATGTCAAATATTACTCATGATTGTGACATCAGGCCCTGCCTAATCTCATAATATCCCTATCAAAAGTTGAGCAGTATAATATTAAATTGAAGTACAACATTGTTTTAACCAACATTCGGAGAAATTGAGAAATAATTATTACTGGAATTTATGTTCGATGAAAACAAATACATGGGTCACTTGTGAAAAAGGAGTGAGTGAGTGAGTGAGTGAGTGAGTGAGTGAGTTGGGTTTAACGCCGCTTTTAACAGTATTCCAGTTATATCTCGGCGTGTCAGCATAATGTGGGAGGAAAGCCCGAAGTGATGCAGGTCTCAGACGTTTACCGCTTCGGTGAAACCCACGAGCACGGGTATGGTGCTGACAAAACCCAGAAACATAATCGGGGCGAACCGGGATTCGAACCCTCAATCATAGGTTTCTGGCGTGCCCAAGGGACGCAACGCTGCACAGCGAATCGTGGCGCCTTAGACGACTGGGCCACCCGTGCCCCCTGTGGAAAAGGATTGCAGTGCCACGAGCACATGGGTCAGATGGTGGGCGGAGCCAACGCGAACCTGGAGTCCGTTGCACAAAGCGACCGTAGCCCCATAACTGTCGTAAGTCTATGTTAAAGCATGGGAGTTACGATTGTCTTAGCCCCAAGATCGCTTTGCGGAACGGCGCCCTGCAACGGTACGATCGCTTTGTGAAACGGGGCCCATGAAGTACACAAATTGTAGACTCTTATGTGATGGATGTTAATATACAACAAAACCTCGCTAATACGGACAATGCAGTGGGTAAAATCGTCTACATTAACAGAACATTATCACAGCATGGATCGTAGTGACGTCCATCAGCTACAAATGCCCAACAGTCAGGGATCGGCAAAGCGGGTTACTGGGGGTCTGGATTAACGAGGGTCCACTGTATCGCAACACTACGGTCATCTAATACACATGGACAAGACCAGCTTATGGAGATCACGCATTGTTCTTGTGTTCTTGTGCCTTGTTCTTGGAGAAAACGAAACATGAACAAGGCTAATTCGTCACCGCTCGTTCCTTTCCGTAACCTGCCGGAATAACACGAGTTGGTCACGAATGGAACAAGGCTGCCACACTGTGGGGTCACGAGACACCGACTGCATGGTTGTCAAGGAAACAGCCATGTAGGTGTGGAATGAACGACAGCAACTGGGTGGCATATACTAACGTACCACCTGTATACGTGCATACTATTGCAATTGATCAATTATTTGTTTTATTAGTTTCAACAAAAGTAATGGTACTCTGAGGTCACTGGATTTTCTGGTTCATCGATCACTTGATTGTCTGGTTTGTTTACAGGCTGACGTCATATGGCAGGAGTACTGCTGTGCTGCGTCAGACAATAAATACTTACTTTTTATGCAAATTGTATGAATGGCGGGCGCTACCGGTAGGGCAGATCACGCTTCCCATTTTCTGCGAACACCTGGTGTCATCGCTTTTTTTCAGCGGTCCATTCACATAATTTCCAGAGTTATTGCCCTTTACGCCAGGTGGAATCGGTTTCCGCAAAAATCTAGATTGGTTATTTTCTTGCATTGACAATTTATATTTATGACAGTGATGTATGTGAGCTATGGTGGGTTCTTAAGGGTTTTCCCCCCATATCATATTATATTGCATACTAAGATCAGTGTGAAAGGCTGAGGCTTGCGGTGTACGCCCTGTGTTGCTGGGACGTTTTAAACAAGGACTGTAACGCTGATAAGAATTGAACAGCACAAGGTGGACAGCGCAACACTGTCATGTAACCAGAAGCCTGAGCAGAAGCAGGTAATACTGGAAGGAGAACACTCAATCAATACAAGTACCAAACTGGTAAACTGTCTATATATAGATTGTACATAATAACAGGGGAAATATCACAGTTTGTCTATCACACAAACACAAATAGGTTATAAGACGTCACATTTACACCACGGGTCATGATGTTGCTATATAAGATAGCTACGCGACTGATCGCAAAGGACAATGAAATACGAAGCGTGGTTTATTTTTATCCGCAGATTCGAACATGCGCTCGCAACTTGACGTCGTATGTTTGACGACGTTATTTTTAAGAGGGGAGTGTCTAGTGAGTTGTTCCCCATTGCTGTATCAGGGAGAGACATGATAATCGGTATTGGGAGAAAAGGTACAGGTAATCGACGTGAGGATTGTGAAATACCCCCCTGTGCATAAAATGGACTTATCCGACATTGCCGAGGTCGGATTCTATTGAGGGAGTCATCATTATTTAAATAGGGGTTAATGCTTTTGAAGCTGTTGATATTTCATATAAGTAATAAACGACTCGTGGTCGTTGTTTATTGGCTGCACCCCTCATGGTTTATTCTCCTTGCAGTGTTTTATGGTACGATAAACAACTCCCACTCATCGTTTATTTCTTAAATACATGCCGTCCCGTCACAATATGACGTCACGTTACACGCCATAATGTTAATAAATAGCATGACGTCACAATGCAAGAAATTGTGAAACAGACTGACGTCACAATACAAGACGACACAATACATCAATACATCACAGTACAGGTCACGAAGCGACTGGACACAGTTATCACTTTGCCATTACTGGCCTCATCAATGAACATTGACTTACGACACAGTAACTGACAGCATAGAGCAGAGACCATATAATTATCTGGTCTCTGCAAAGAGTGACTATTCACATATTGATATCACAATGCACTTTGAAAACAGCATGTATGGCATGCACAATATACAAAGCCAATGTAAGGAGGTACATGTTTGACCGAGATCGGCGTTAATACTTGGCGGAGACTGGAGTCCGATTGGGAAGGAGAATATTACAGGCCTCATCCCGTGGAGACCACGTCCCTGGGATAACAGACAACAAGAGTAGGTCCCCAGACATCAAGGAGAGGCCACAGACCCTGGTACCCCATACAGGAACGATAGAGCACACTGATCGATACCCCCCCTCCCCCCCAATCCTATCCCGATATCACAGACAGCAAATTGAGGCCACATCATTGGTACCCCAGACAGCAACACGAGGAGGGTCAGTTTCATGTGATGATGACAGAGTTAATTTATGTTTACTCGAAAACCAATACGGGAATGTCCCTTTAAAGCTTCAGCCGCAACACTGTGACGGCGCCATTCAACTTTATGTACAGGCGCTTCCCTTCATGAATCAACACAAAGAGTTCTGTCAAAGTTAGCACAGGAACGCATCCTGACGGGGATTCCTACTTGACGACATCTCAAACAATTACCAGCTCACAGTCAGGCTGCTGGACGGAGTTTCATTGAATACAGCTAACGCAGTTGTCTCCCCTCTTGTCACGTGATGTCACGTGGGGTTACAACTCGGTCAGGTCGTAAGAGGACTTGATATTGACGCGGATTTTTCCCGGGACACGCTCGTTCTCCTTCTTCACCACGATGAAGAGGTCGTACTCCTTGTCCTCGCCGCTCACGGTGCCGATGTCGGGGATGGTCGCCGTCCCTAGCAGGTCGTTCTTCAGCATGTTGTGATTCAGCACCTGGCAGAGTATACATGGTATAATAGCTTCACAGAGTATACGTAGAATAATGTCCTAGCAGAGTATACATGGTATAATATCCTGGCAGAGTACACATGGTATAATAGCTTCACAGAGTATACGTAGTATAATGTCCTGGCAGAGTATACATGATATAATAGCTTCACAGAGTATACATGATATAATAGCTTCACAGAGTATACATGGTATAATAGCTTCACAGAGCATACGTAGTATAATGTCCTAGCAGAGTATACATGGTATAATATCCTGGCAGAGTATACATGGTATAATAGCTTCACAGAGTATACATGATATAATAGCTTCACAGAGTATACATGGTATAATAGCTTCACAGAGTATACGTGGTATAATGTCCTAGCAGAGTATACATGGTATAATAGCTTCACAGAGTATACGTAGTATAATGTCCTGGCAGAGTATACATGGTATAATAGCTTCACAGAGTATACGTAGTATAATGTCCTAGCAGAGTATACATGGTATAATATCCTGGCAGAATATACATGGTATAATAGCTTCACAGAGTATACATGATATAATAGCTTCACAGAGTATACATGGTATAATAGCTTCACAGAGTATACATGGTATAATAGCTTCACAGAGTATACGTGGTATAATGTCCTAGCAGAGTATACATGGTATAATAGCTTCACAGAGTATACGTAGTATAATGTCCTGGCAGAGTATACATGGTATAATAGCTTCACAGAGTATACGTAGTATAATGTCCTAGCAGAGTATACATGGTATAATATCCTAGCAGAGTATACGTGGTATTATAGCTTCACAGAGTATACATGGTATATTAGCTTCACAGAGTATACGTAGTGTAATATCCTGGCAGAGTATACATTATTAGTTATGGTGTCTTTAGTTGCCGTATACGGTGTCATATTAGGTTAAGAGAAGAATATTGGGTTCGGCTGACGAATTTATTATGTCGAAAAGTTTACACTATCTGGTATCCATATTGCACATGTCATGTCAAAATGAAAACTTGACACTTACAACCCTTGACGTTAAGGGTAAAAGGGAGACAACCTCAAACCTTAGAGGCCAAACCTTGTTTACAATTTTAATTAAAATATTATTGTCCTTGCACATCACAATTAATGATAGTAAAACACAAAACAGTGTCGAATAACGAATGTCTGTACCAGGATGTGCATGTGAAATATGTAAAGGTGGGTGTTGGAAAATCCAAAATGGCTGTTACTGACGGTATACGGTCTCATAACGATCAGTAGCAACCATCTTGGATCTTTACTGACGGTATACGGGCTCATATGGGGGATAGTAGTTCTGCTCTCAGATTGGTCAATCTCACTTTGGGGTATAATAAAGTATAATATCCTGGATGTGTATACATGGTATATTTACCCGGCAGTGTATATGTGGTATAATATCCTGGCAGTGTATACGTAATATAATATCCTGGCAGCGTATACGTAATACAATATCCTGGCAGAGTATACGTAGTATAATATCCTGGCAGAGTATACGTAATACAATATCCTGGCAGTGTTTACGGAACCAGCCCGGGCGTAGGTGCTGAGGTTACAATGCTAGACCTGAACGCGTCCTACTCACGTCGACTGTGATGGGCAGGTGCGGCTTCTTCCTGTAGAACGTGGCCTTGATGCTCCACGTGGGGGCGTTGGTCCCCACACACGACACAGACTTGACCTTCTCCCCCTCACACTTGATGCTCACCATGGGGTCCAGAGCTGGAGGATGAGGCAGAGATTGAATACACGCAGCAAGTCAAAACATCAGAAGTACGGAGAATACTGAGGGTGTCAAACCCCTTTCGGTACGTCGGATGCCGAGCCATGTTAAGCAGTTTCCGAATGTCGCAGTGCAGTACGCTGGATGCTATTAAATGTTTATCTGGTAAGCGGATGTCAATATTGCAGTGTTAACTCTTTTTTTTCGTCTTTGTTTTCTTGCACTGACAAGTTGCAACCTCATTAATATATGCTGGTTTTCAGAGAGGGCTGTTGTTGTTGTTGTTGCTGTTGTTGTTGTTGTTTAACGCCGCACTCAGCAATATAACAACTATATGGCGGCGGTCTGTAAATAATCGAGTCTGGACCAGACATTGCAGTGATTGATATCATGAGCATCGATCCACGCATTTGGGATACGATGACATGCATCAACCAAGTCAGCGAGCCTGACCATCCGATCCCGTTAGTCGCCTTTTACGGCAATCATAGTCGCCTTTTACGACAAGCATAGTCGCCTTTTACGGCAAGCATGAAGGGGTGTAGTGGGGCGTCAGTAGTGTTCTACTTACATCCTTTGCCTTTAGCCTTCACAGGAAGCACCAGGTCTTCAGCGGACTCCACGGTGATAGTGGTGACCATGCTGTAACCGGCCACACAGGGACAACCACTGGACGGACACTCCTTCTCCAGGGCCCTGCAACATGGATATAGACACTCACATTAACCCGCCACACGCAAATATCCAGGGCCCTGCAACATGGATACAGACACACATTAGCCCGTCACACGCAAACAGGCAGGGCCCTGCAGCATGGATACAGACACTCACATTAGCCCGCCACATGCAAACATCCAGGGCCCTGCAACATGGATACAGACACTCACATTAGCCCGTCACACACAAACATCCAGGGCCCCGCAGCATGGATACAGACACTCACATTAGCCCGTCACAAGCTGGCTGACTGACGTCGGCGCGGTGTCGTCGCGGATGTTACGATTGGTGGTTCAACACCAAGGGACGTCAGTTGGAAAGATTGGTTGTGTGATGGAAGCGTTTAGGTTAAGGTGGTGAGGTAAAATGGGGTTTTACGTCGGGTCCAAGATTATTGCACGTATATTGCGACGTGCATGCACGTGTGTGTGTGTGTGCGTGCGTGCGTGCGTGCGTGCGTGCGTGTGTGTGTGTGCGCGCGTGTGCGTGTGCGTGTGCGTGTGTTTGTTCGCGCGCGTGTGTTTGTGAAAGAGAGAATCGTGTTACGCCGCTTTTAGTAATATCCCAGCCATTATAAGGCGGGCAATCGACGTCGATGTTACCTAAATGTAAAGGTTCTACACCATATGAGTGAGCGCCGAGACTGGACGACACAAGTTGCCATGGAAACCACAACAAGTGCTACCTAATATAGACACCACACATGTACTGTCACACATTTACCGTCGCCAAACAAAATAAAATAAGATTCGTAGAATAATACCCATAAACAGAAACATCGAAAAAAATGTGGTGCAAACAACGACATATAATACCAGTATATACCTTCACCAACCGAAATAAAATAACATTCAAAGAAAGTGAAAAAAAAGAAAAAATAAGAAACACGATCCATCACCACATGTAGGGGGAGGTAGACGTAGTCCATAATATGAGGCTGCCACCCCCCTCTTGGCACGGAGGAGTCGAGGGTCTCTTTAGAGGGTATCTGGGACAAGGTGGTGTGGAACGCGGGACTCAAATGAAACCATATTTGGTACGGAGATTCAATATTTTAGAAACATAATAAAGGTCTACGTATAAATTTCATTTATATTTTTTTTTCAAAATTTCTCAGTAATTTAAGTTCAAACGGGTCTCTGCACGGACTTGTTATACAAGTCCGTGGTCTCTGTAAGTCGAATAGCGCATCTGTGTAAGTCGAATGTAAGTAGCACACAACAAGGGTCTGTTCTTTTCAATCTCCTTTTTTTGTGTGAGGACTTGCTGTTTTAACCTTGCTATTGCAACCGGCAATTGTCACTAAGCGCCACATCCGATCTCTCATTCCGAACAACAGGAACTGGTACTGAACCAGGATATGTCAAGGTGACATAGAAGGTCAAGGTCACGTCGTGGACACGACAGGAAGCGGGTGCATGCTCAGTACAAAAACAAGGAAAATGAGTACAGAAAATAAACATCCTTGTATCATGAGACCCCGGCTTCACAAAACCACCTTAGCGTGACCAATATCTCTTCTCCATTACCCCATCCCTGGGAGTGATACAGGTCGCAGCTAAGTCCGCTTTGTGAAGCCGGGCCCACGGCTGGGGGTACGGGTGTACTACCTGCTAGAACCGCTGACTCCGCTGTGGGTAGACAAGGGTTAGACATCACGCACTCGTCCACGAACACATTTAGCATATTAACTGGTAACAATGAATTTCAGTTCAGAAAAATACTGGACCCCGTGCACGCTCATATACAATACAACCTTTCCACCATGTTCAATATATTAAACACCTTTGCCCTCAATTGTATATAAACCATTCCTTCCCCCTTGACGTATATAAATATAACATACCTTCCCTTGTTGCATGTATAACATACCCTGTTGTATATATATAGACTACTAAACGAGCTCCCGTGTAATACCAATTTTATGAAACGAGTGAATAGTTCTGGTATCTGACGAGCGAAAGCGAGTCAGATACCACAACTATTCACGAGTTTCATAAAATTTGTTTTACACGGGAGCGAGTTTAGTATTTTATTTATTACTGGCCATTTATAACGTTTTTAGAATTATACTGTTGAGTGTGAATAGGCTGACACCTACACGATCCACGGCATAATCCAATTGAGTTTAACACAGTAATATTTCAAACACGTCAAAAGTTGAAACGTAAGAATTTAATACCATACAACGGTCCACCTTAAGAATTCAGGCGTGCGTTCCACAAAATTATCGTAGCGTTAAGGTTATCGCAACTCACATACTTTAACTTAGACCAACGACTGTCGTTGCGCTACCGTACGATTGCCTTGTTAAACGGGGCCTTGCACCTCAAAGTTTACAATAACGTCACAATACCCGATGACGTAATTTGTGGAATTTTGTTGCAAGATCCTTCGGCGAAACAATGCCATGTGACGTCAGCCTAGCAACAAGGTTGCTGGGGTCATCGTGTGTGCATAAGCTCCTCTCAGTGAACTATCATCACCACACGCAATGTCGTTGAATAAGCCAAGGTATGTTGAGAGCTTTCAATATTTGTTCGTGAAACGTGTTCCGAGAGTACATAAGCACGCGTTTTGGTATTACACAATGTGTAATACAGCTATATGTTTATTAAACGGGTGATCTCTTCACGGGCAAGTAATAAATGACAAACCTTTCCCCTTGACGTATATGTAACATACCTTCCCCTTGTATATATAACATACCTTCCCTTGTTGTAAATATAACATACCCTGTTGTTTATATAACAAACCTTTCCCCTTGACGCATATGTAACATACCTTCCCCTTGTATATATAACATACCTTCCCTTGTTGTAGATATAACATACCCCTGTTGTATATATAACAAACCTTTCCCTTGTTGTGTATATAACATCCCTTCCCCTTGACGTATATATATCATACCCTCCCCTTGTATATATAACATACCTTCCCTTGTTGTATATATAACATACCCCTGTTGTATATATAACAAACCTTCCCCCTTGCTGTGTATATAACATAGCTTCCCCCTTGACGTATATATAACATAGCTTCCCCTTGTATATATAACATACCTTCCCCCTTGACGTATACATGTATATAACAAACCTTCCTCCTTGCTGTATATATAACGTACCTCCCCCTTGACGTATATATAACATACCTCCCCCCTTGATGTACTTATACCCGCCGTGATGTTGTTGAAATATTGCTAAAAGCGGCGTAAAACCATACACACCCACTCACTGATGTATATACAACACACACACACCCCTTGTTGTATATATAACATACCTTCCCCCTTGTTGTATATATATATAACATACCTTTCCCCTTTCTGTGTATATACCATACCATCCCCTTGTTGTATATATAACACACACCTCCCTTGTTGTATATATAACACACACACACTCTTTTTGTTTATATAACACACCTCCCCCCCCCCCTTGTTGTATATATATAACATACCATCCCCTTGTTGTATATATAACGTACCTTCCCCCTTGTTGTATATATAACGTACCTTCCCCCTTGTTGTATATATAACATACCATCCCCTTGTTGTATATATAACATACCATCCCCTTGTTGTATATATAACGTACCATCCCCTTGTTGTATATATAACATACCATCCCCTTGTTGTATATATAACATACCGTCCCCTTGTTGTATATATAACGTACCTTCCCCCTTGTTGTATATATAACATACCATCCCCTTGTTGTATATATAACGTACCATCCCCTTGTTGTATATATAACATACCATCCCCTTGTTGTATATATAACACACCTCCCCCTTGTCGTAAGTATAACGTACCTTCCCCCGGCGGCCGACCCTGTGTACAGTCTCAGCAGAAAGTCCCCTGTAGCGCCCTGTTCTTTGGTTGTTGGTACTATGACGTATCGCCCTCGCTTCAGCACTGTTGTCCCGTATACACTGCGAGATTTCACGTAATCCGACGTGAACATCTTGTCTCCCGGCACGTGCACACGGTACTTTCGGTTTTCCTCCACCTGGTAGAATGATTGACGGCTGAGGTTATACTTGTATCAAGGTTCGATTAAATTCAAGCATTATGTTGTACCGTCTACATGCTGTACATTCTGACAACATGTTCACGCCCACCTCAAGCAATATGTTAACTAGCATCAATGCGACGCCCATATTTGATACTAACCCCGTTAAGATAATAGCCCCGCCCACATTACTGAATGACTTACAGTTACCCCATGATATGGAAACCAATCACGTTAAGACTCTAGCCCTGCCCACATTAAGAGTGACTGGCAGTTACCTTCATGACGTGGAAGCCAATCATGTTGAGGTCTTGCCCCAGGAACTGCCTGCCCCCGCCGACGTCGTGCTGTTCTAGGGATATCATGATCCGATCAGAAGCTCCCGTGATGTCGAACAAATACTGAAACAGAATATCATCAGATCAGGCGAGACATGCTTCAAACAATCGTCATTACAATGCGCTTACATTTCAGACACAGGTCGGAAGGGTTCATTGCTGTCACAGCGAAGAGTTACCTCCCTTCTACTGTCTGTAAGTCTGAGGCCCCCATCTCTCGACTTTCGCAAGCCAAAGTATTGGAGGACAGCCCTAGCGCTAATATCACATCGTGAAACGGGGCCGAGGGGGATACCATCGTCAGGCCTTGGTGGGTTGAGATTCAGGCGCTAGTTGGGGCAATCATGTGTTGGGGAGATACCAGGGTTGAGATTCAGGTGCTAGTTGGGGCAATCGTGTGTTGGGGAGATACCAGGGTTAATATTCAGGCGCTAGTTGGGGCAATCGTGTGTTGGGGAGATACCAGGGTTGAGATTCCGGTGCTAGTTGGGGCAATCGTGTGTTGGGGAGATACCAGGGTTAATATTCAGGCGGTAGTTGGGGCAATCGTGTGTTGGGGAGATACCAGGGTTGAGATGCAGGTGCCAGTTGGGGCAATCATGTGTTGCGGAGATACCAGGGTTGAGATGCAGGTGCCAGTTGGGGCAGTCATGTGTTGGGGAGATACCAGGGTTGAGATGCAGGTGCCAGTTGGGGCAATCATGTGTTGGGGAGATACCAGGGTTGAGAGTCAGGCGCTAGTTGGGGCAGTCATGTGTTGGGGAGATACCAGGGTTAATATTCAGGCGCTAGTTGGGGCAATCGTGTGTTGGGGAGATACCAGGGTTGAGATGCAGGCACTAGTTGGGGCAGTCATGTGTTGGGGAGATACCTGGGTTGAGATTCAGGCGCTAGTTGGGGCAGTCATGTGTTGGGGAGATACCAGGGTTGAGATTCAGGTGCTAGTTGGGGAAATCATGTGTTGGGGAGATACCAGGGTTGAGATTCAGGCGCTAGTTGGGGCAATCATGTGTTGGGGAGATACCAGGGTTGAGATTCAGGCGCTAGTTGGGACAATCATATGTTGGGGAGATACCAGGGTTGAGATTCAGGCGGTAGTTGGGGCAATCATGTGTTGGGGAGATACCAGGGTTGAGATTCAGGTGCTAGTTGGGGCAATCATATGTTGGGGAGATACCAGGGTTGAGATTCAGGCGGTAGTTGGGGCAATCATGTGTGCGGGAGATACCATGGTTGAGATTCAGGCGGTAGTTGGGGCAATCATGTGTTGGGGAGATACCAGGGTTGAGATTCAGGCGCTAGTTGGGGAAATCATGTGTTGGGGAGATACTATGGTTGAGATTCAGGCGCTAGTTGGGGAAATCATGTGTTGGGGAGATACTATGGTTGAGATTCAGGCGCTAGTTGGGGCAATCATGTGTTGGGGAGATACTATGGTTGAGATTCAGGCGCTAGTTGGGGAAATCATGTGTTGGGGAGATACCATGGTTGAGATTCAGGCGCTAGTTGAGGCAGTCATGTGTTGGGGAGATACTATGGTTGAGATTCAGGCGCTAGTTGGGGAAATCATGTGTTGGGGAGAAACCAGGGTTGAGATTAAGGCGGTAGTTGAGGCAGTCATGTGTTGGGGAGATACCAGGGTTGAGATTCAGGCGGTAGTTGAGGCAGTCATGTGTTGGGGAGATACCAGGGTTGAGATTCAGGTGCTAGTTGGGGAAATCATGTGTTGGGGAGATACCAGGGTTGAGATTCAGGCGCTAGTTGAGGCAGTCATGTGTTGGGGAGATACCAGGGTTGAGATTCAGGCGCTAGTTGGGGAAATCATGTGTTGGGGAGATACCAGGGTTGAGATTCAGGCGCTAGTTGGGGAAATCATATGTTGGGGAGATACCAGGATTGAGATTCAGGCGCTAGTTGGGGCAATCATGTGTTGGGGAGATACCAGGGTTGAGATTCAGGCACTAGTTGAGGCAGTCATGTGTTGGGGAGATACCAGGGTTGAGATTTAGGCGGTAGTTGGGGCAGGCATGTGTTGGGGAGATACCAGGGTTGAGATTAAGGCGGTAGTTGGGGCAATCATGTGTTGGGGAGATACCAGGGTTGAGATTCAGGCGGTAGGCCTCGGTTGGTTGGTATTCAACTGAAGCTGCAATGATCAACGCCTTCAAGGACGTCGTGGTACCTGGGGATTGCTTAGGAAAGTCGGCGAGAAGTAGTTGCTGCCGCCGTTCCTGCCGGAGTGCGACCACTTGCTGTGCATGGAGGACTCGTTCCACGTCTTCTTGAGGGAGAAGAACGAGGTGTTGACGAAGTGGCAAATCTGGATGCTGGAGAAGTTCTGGATGAAGTCACTGAAGGACATCCTGCAACAGAGAGATGGTCGTCTGTAGAGAGTGAGTGAGTGAGTTGTGTTTAACGCCGCTTTTAACAGTATTCCAGTCATATCGCGGCGTGTCAGCTTAATGAGGGAGGAAAGCCCGAAGTGATGCAGGTTTCAGACGTTTACCACTTCGGTGAAACCCACGAGCACGGGTATGGTGCTGACAAACCTAGAAACATAATTGGGGCGAACCGGGATTCTAACCCACAATCATAGGTTTCTGGCGTGCCCAAGGGACGCAACTCTGCACAGCGAATCGAGGCGCCTTAGACGACTGGGCCACCCCTGCCCCCTGGTCGTCTGTAGGTCAGGAAGTACGTCAGAACCACGTCACTCCCCTCCCCGCTCTTCCGTATGCACGTGACTCCGATTCCACCCTTCTAAATACCACCCTAATCCCACTCTAATACCTCATTCCATACATAACCTTTTTGTCTATCACGTGATTCCCCGTCAGTGTGTCACGTGACATCCGTCACCACTTTCCGGATCATGACGCTGTTAATCCCGTCACGTGACTACCATCTTGTCCTCTTTATCGCGTACATACACCCTAATCCTACGCGATTACACCATTCCATGCATAACCTTATTTGTCTATCACATGACACCCCTCCCAATGGTTCGGCATCACGTGACTCACCAGAACTCTCCCTCCTGGCGGAACTTGACGCCCATCTTCTCCCACTCAGACTTCGGGACCCGCCTCCACTCGGGAGAGCTGCAACACAGGGGAGGTAATTTCAACTGCATGGTACTGTGTTACATGCATCATTGCCTCAAAAGCTTTGTGAACTGAAAACATGGGAGGCAAACTCAACAGCCTGACAGTGTTCTGGCGTCAGCGACATCACTGAACTGATCATAGCGGAGATATGTGTCACATTTATTTTATTATAATTGGTATTCGATTGAACAAGCTTAATGTTTGAAAAACTATAATATCAAAATTACTGCCAAATGATATTCCTGTACCGTTAGTACATGTATAGTACCATGACATTAATATAAGTGAAGATCCGGGGTAGAATAGGTCTTCAGCAACCCATGCTTGCCGTAAAAGGCAACTGTGCTTGTCGTAAGAGGCGACTAACGGGATCGGGTGGTCAGGCTCGCTGAATTGGTTGTTGCATGTCATCGTATCCCAACTGCGTGGATCGATGCTCATGATGTCAATCACTGGAGTGTCTGGTCAAGACTCGATTATTTACAGACAACATTCATGTAGCTGGAATATTGCTGAGTGCGGGGTAGAAACAAACAAACAAACAAAAGTCTACCCTGAAGCATTCACAAGTTCACCAAGCGTGTACATGCAGTATATACACGACACTCCAAGCATTGCTGTCACAGCCTTTCATGGCGTTCATAGCATACCAAAGCTGAGATAACGCCCACAGATGTCATGATACGTGCTGAGAGACGTACACTTGTTTACGTATTCTACTAGACCCCCTTGTAGTGCTAATATCTTAAGGGGTTATGCTCAAACCCTGTATTGCTAGCTCTATGGGTTTCCCCCAAACATTATATTGATACATTCTAAAGATTCTCATGTGATTACGTCCATGTGTTACATTGCTATATTCTGAAGGGGTCAATCCCAACCCTGTATTGCTACAGTCTGCAAACGTTGTATCACTACATTCTGAAGGGGTCACGTCCAAGCATAGTATTGCTACAGTCTCAAAGGTTAATCTCCAAACGTTGTATTGCTACATTCGGAAGGGGTCACGTCCAAGCACAGTAGTGCTACAGTCTCAAAGGTTAATCTCCAAACGTTGTATTGCTACATTCGAAAGGGGTCACGTCCAAGCATTGTATTGCTACAGTCTCAAGGGTTAATCTCCAAACGTTGTGTTGCTTCATTCTGAAGGAGTCACGTCCAAGCATTGTATTGCTACAGTCTCAAAGATTCATCTCTAAACGTTGTATTGCTACATTCTGAAGGGGTCACGTCCAAGCATTGTATTGCTACAGTCTCAAAGATTCATCTCTAAACGTTGTATTGCTACATTCTGAAGGGGTCACGTCCAAGTATTGTATTGCTACAGTCTCAAAGGTTCATCTTCAAACGTTGTATTTCTACATACTGAAGGGGTCACGTCCAAGCATTGTATTGCTACAGTCTCAAAGATTCATCTCTAAACGTTGTATTGCTACATTCTGAAGGGGTCACGTCCAAGCATTGTATTGCTACAGTCTCAAAGATTCATCTCTAAACGTTGTATTGCTACATTCTGAAGGGGTCACGTCCAAGTATTGTATTGCTACAGTCTCAAAGATTCATCTCTAAACGTTGTATTACTACATTCTGAAGGGGTCACGTCCAAGTATTGTATTGCTACAGTCTCAAAGGTTCATCTCTAAACGTTGTATTGCTACATTCTGAAGGGGTCACGTCCAAGTATTATATTGCTACAGTCTCAAAGGTTCATCTTCAAACGTTGTATTTCTACATTCTGAAGGGGTCACGTCCAAGAATTGTATTGCTACAGTCTCAAAGATTCATCTCTAAACGTTGTATTGCTACATTCTGAAGGGGTCACGTCCAAGCAATGTATTGCTACAGTCTCAAAGATTCATCTCTAAACGTTGTATTGCTACATTCTGAAGGGGTCACGTCCAAGCATTGTATTGCTATGGGGTCACGTAGAAGTTTCTGTACTACTACACTCGAAGGTGTTATGTCTAAGCGTTATATTGCTACAATCAGAGGTACTACTTCCAAATGTTGTATTGCTACAAACTAAGATAGTACGTACAAGATTTGAACAGCTACAATCACTTGTTTACGTCTAATTGTTGGATTGCTGCAATCGAAAGTAGAGTCGAACCTCGTTGTGTCGAACTTGCGGGGAGGAGCGGTCGGATAGCCTTGTGGTTAGCCTCGTCACGCCGAAGACCCGGGTTCGATTCCCGACATGGTTACAGTGTGTGAAACCCATTTGTGGTTTTTCAGTCGTGATATTGCTGGAATATTGCCAAAAGCGTCGTAAAACCAAACTCACTCAGCAACAAACTCGCAGCGAACTGGGGTAAAGTTCGAGTTGTCAAGGATTCGAGACATCAGGGGAATTTTAGGCTTAATTTGGATACTTTGGTGTTCCAAATGAGTTCGAGACAACCGGGACACATCCAAGTTCGACACAACGAGGTTCGACTATAGTTCGGCAAAGCGTTGTATTGCTAGAGTCGATGTCATTGCGTCCAAGCGCGCTACAAATCATTGGCAAAGCGTTAGCGCTGAGGCTGTGTCAAAAATATCTACAATGCCTCGGTCTGCGTAATGAAAACAAACGTATAACGGAAAGTAGAACACAAACCGATATCTATAGAACTTCCTGAAACAGAAAGAAAACGAGGACATCTACAGAGTTCTGTTCTCTCTGACGTCACTGTTTACACGTAGACATATAGATTCACATGACAGGAACAAACAAATCAACAAAAACAAGTCAACATCTGATCATATTGCTTCACTGACAAGAGTGTGCGTGCATGTTTCTTGTGAGATAGTTATACATTGTGACATGGCAAGGTTATTGCTCTACAACACGCATAGAACACCTATAACCACCCAGTAACACGGACACTTTACAACAGAGACACAATAGGGATATCAATCTACACATCAAACACAAATTATACATGGTTGCTGATCACACTCAGTGTTCAACACCATGCAAACAGACAAGCGACACTTGCGATCAAACGGGTGAGGTGAGGTGAGGTGAAATTCGGTTTAACGTCGCGTCCAAGATTATTGCACTTATATAGCGACGTGCATGCACGTGTGTGTGTGGCTGCTTGTACTAGTCCGGACTGATGCTGATTTATAGTGCTAGCACACTGAGATACCGTGCCGCAGTTTAGTGAGTGAGTGAGTATGGTTTTACGCCGCTTTTAGCAATATTCCAGCAATATCACGGCGGGGGACACCAGAAATGGGCTTCACACATTGTACTCATGTCGGGAATCGAACCCGGGTCTTCGGCGTGACGAGCGAACGCTTTAACCACTAGGCTACCCGACCGCCCCCCGTGCCGCAGTTTAACATGAATACCCCGGTCAGACACAGTATACTGACTCCCAGCCGACCATTCCTTGTTTTAGCCCCTTGATGCCGAGCGCCTGACAGGGTAACAACAAGTACCATCTTTTAACGTCTTTTGGTATGACGCGGCCGGGGATCGAACCCCGGACCTTCCGCTCTCCGGGCGGACGCTCTACCACTAGACCACGGAGGCGGTCGCGATCAAACGGGAGGGCGTGTGGTATAAAGGTGCACTCACGAGTCGGACCACGCTCCTGTCCACTCCTTGTCCCCCCACGGGTTAAAGAGACGCAGCAGCAGCAGCTTGTCTGACCCAACGGCCCCTTGAAGGCTGCGGCTGACCTGCACCAGCTTGACGTCCGTCACGTTGTACCCCAGACCCAGGACAAGACCGTCCGCCGCCTCCTGTCCCACCGCGTCTTCCGTACACTGAAACACCGCCAGAGGCACACTGAAACATGGGATGTCACATACACAGAAACATCTGACTCCGTACACTGAAACACCGCCATAGGCACACTGAAACATGGGATGTCACATACACAGAAACATCTGACTCCGTACACTGAAACACCGCCATAGGCACACTGAAACATGGGATGTCACATACACAGAAACATCTGACTCCGTACACTGAAACACCGCCATAGGCACACTGAAACATGGGATGTCACATACACAGAAACATGTGACTCCGTACACTGAAACACCGCCATAGGCACACTGAAACGTGGGATGTCACATACACAGAAACATCTGACTCCGTACACTGAAACACTGCCATAGCAACAGTGAAACCTGGGATGTTACAAACACTGAAACATCTGACTCCGTACACTGAAAAACCGCCATAGGCACACTGAAACGTGGGATGTCACATACACAGAAACATCTGACTCCGTACACTGAAATACGTGACGTCCTACGCACACTGAAACATGGGATGTCACATACACAGAAACATCTGACTCCGTACACTGAAATACGTGACGTCCTACGCACACTGAAACATGGGATGTCACATACACAGAAACATCTGACTCCGTACACTGAAATACGTTACGTCCTACGCACACTGAAACATGGGATGTCACATGCACAGAAACATATGACTCCGTACACTGAAATACGTGACGTCCTACGCACACTGAAACATGGGATGTCACATACACAGAAACATTTGACTCCGTACACTGAAACAAGTGACGCCATACGCACACTGAAACATGGGATGTCACATACACAGAAACATTTGACTCCGTACACTGAAACATGTGACATCATGCACATACTGAAACACGTGATGTCATACAAACACACTGAATTATGTGACGCCATGCATACCATGAAACATGTTCTATTGAAACACATGACGTCTTACATTCATGGAAGTACGTGACGTCATACATAACTTGAAACACGTCACGTCCTACAGGCATTGAATCAAGGAGCATCATACAGACATTGAAAAGAGGGAATCACCCACAGAAATATGTGACGGCATGCGCATGCAGAAAAAGTGACGTCATACACCCACTGAGATGTGACGTCATTCATACACCAACACCTGACGACATACGCGCAAGGATACATATGACTTCTCACGTAAACTGAACACGTGACGTCATTTATCCACGTACTGAAACAAACAGCATACACACACTGAAACGAACTATGGTATGTATGCACTGAAATACCTGACGTCATGCATATGCTGTTACACATGACGTCTAACATGCACTGCAGCACATGACATCATACACGCACTGCAGCAATGACTTCACACACACGCACTGAAGCACATGGTGTCATACGCTCACTGCCGCACCTGACGTCATACACGTACTGCATCACATGACTTCACACACGCACTGAAACACATGACGTCATACGCGCACTGCAGCACTTTGCGTCATACACACACTGAAACACATGACGTCATGCACGCACTGAAACACATGACGTCATGCACGCACTGAAGTACATGACGTCATACACGCACTGCAGCACATCACGTCATACACGCAAAGCAGCACATGGCGTCATACACGCACTGAAACACGTCACGCATGCATACACTGAAGCAGCATACCTCTATCTTGGCGTTGATGAGTGCTTTGTTCTCCGAGGCGTCGGTCAGCTTGTTGAACAATTCCTGCATGTTCTCCGGCTTGTCCAGGAACAACGTGGACGTCTCAAGCTTCTCCGACACGCCACCGGTGAAGTCAACCAGAGCGTCCGCCACATATCCGAAATTCAGCGACTCGTAGTCCCCGTAAAGCCTGTGTTAGGAACACAACACACGTGTCTATACGAGTTTATCACTCACCCATCAACACATCATCCGTTTAATAACAACACACTTTTATCACACATTATATAATAACATCACGTGCGGTCGGGAATATTTTGGACATTAGCTGGTCATTCGAATGGGGACGTCGGTAGCCCCATACAACTGTACTCTGCTAAGACCATACCACTCCAGACAGAGAAAAAATATTTTTCACTAAACACCAGTTGTGCATGGACAAACAAAACAAGCATCTCAAAACGTTTATCGTTTACCTGACTATGTCAAGTCCGTGAGTTTTGAGTCCCGTGAAGATTCCGGGTTAGAATTGGTCTTCAGCAACCCATGCTTGTCATAAAAGGCAACTAACGGGATCGGGAGGTCAGGCTCGCTGACTTGCCTGATGCATGTCATCGATCCCAATTGCGTGGATCGATGCTCATGATGTCAATCACTGGATTGTCTGGTCCAGACTCGATTATTTACAGACCGCCATCATATAGCTGGAATATTGCTGAGTGCGGCGTTAAACAACAAACATCAAACACGCATCCGTGAGATTTACAGTTGGCCGTGCAAGGGTCGTGTAAAGTTTAAGAGCATCACGAATAGAGTACTTTAAGAAGGACAATTACAGCTATCATCGCCGCGTCTACTTACGACTTTGAAATATGATATATGTGTATAATGACACAGTGTACAGTAATTTATTTACCTCAGTATCTATTTTACGAATCTATATAATCACTTTTCAATGATCGGCAAATTGATCATATTGTTTGATAGGCATTACTTAGACAATTTATGGCAAACAACTTCTGTATTAACTGTAAAGGCAACGTTTCGGTATAGATCCTTATACGTCGCCTTTGCAGTAAATAAAGAAGTTGTTATCCATAAATTGTGTCTACTTTGAAATTGATCAAAGACGACTAACACTTGAAATCGACACAGCTTCATTTATAAACAACACTGAACTACCCGCCACACTCGTCAGTCTACCACCAACATACAAGACTCCGACTGTTATCTACACTGAACTACCCGCCACACTCGCCAGTCTACCACCAACATACCAGACTCCGAGCCTTATCTACACCGGACTAGCCGCCACACCCGCCAGTCTACCACCAACATACCAGACTCCGAGCGTTATCTACACTGAACTACCCGCCACACTCGCCAGTCTACCACCAACATACCAGACTCCGACTGTTATCTACACTGAACTACCCGCCACACTCGCCAGTGTACCACCAACATACCAGACTCCGAGCCTTATCTACACCGGACTACCCGCCACACTCGCCAGTCTACCACCAACATACCAGACTCCGAGCGTTATCTACACTGAACTACCCGCCACACTCGCCAGTCTACCACCAACATACCAGACTCCAAGCCTTATCTACACCGGACTAGCCGCCACACTCGCCAGTCTACCAACAACATACCAGACTCCGAGCGTTATCTACACTGAACTACCCGCCACCCGCCACACTCGCCAGTCTACCACCAACATACCAGACTCCGAGCGTTATCTACACTGAACTAGCCGCCACACTCGCCAGTCTACCACCAACATACCAGACTCCGACTGTTATCTACACTGAACTACCCGCCACACTCGCCAGTCTACCACCAACATACCAGACTCCGAGCCTTATCTACACCGGACTAGCCGCCACACTCGCTAGTCTACCACCAACATACCAGACTCCGAGCGTTATCTACACTGAACTACCCGCCACACTCGCCAGTCTACCACCAACATACCAGACTCCGAGCCTTATCTACACTGAACTACCCGCCACCCGCCACACTCGCCAGTCTACCACCAACATACCAGACTCCGAGCCTTATCTACACTGAACTACCCGCCACACCCGCCAGTCTACCACCAACATACCAGACTCCGACTGTTATCTACACTGAACTACCCGCCACACTCGCCAGTCTACCACCAACATACCAGACTCCGACTGTTATCTACACTGAACTACCCGCCACACCCGCCAGTCTACCACCAACATACCAGACTCCGAGCCTTATCTACACTGAACTACCCGCCACACCCGCCAGTCTACCACCAACATACCAGACTCCGAGCGTTATCTACACTGAACTACCCGCCACACTCGCCAGTCTACCACCAACATACCAGACTCCGACTGTTATCTACACTGAACTACCCGCCACACCCGCCAGTCTACCACCAACATACCAGACTCCGAGCCTTATCTACACTGAACTACCCGCCACACTCGCCAGTCTACCACAAACATTGCATCCTGAACAAATACATACACTGAACTACTTTCTATCCGTTTCAATGCATCAGTCTTGTCTCATGTATTTAATGATTCATAATAAGCGCACGTGCGGTGTGAATAGTGTTGATCCATTATAGACTATTAACATCTCAGGGATGCCTGTATTCTATTGTGAAAACGACCGCCGTGCGGAAATAAGGAGCTGAGTAATTATTGAAACGCTCCCTCCACCCATATTTGTATTATAGCTCGCTCGTCAGCTGACAACAATGAACACACCACGACAAATACACAACCGTCGCTAAGGCGACGTAAACATGTGAAGCTTCTGCTTGACAACATTGTTTATGTTTCTCATCATGGTATTCGCCGGGTACTATGGAGTCTGACACCGCTCTCCTCGGGGGCGGTCGGGTAGCCTAGTGGCTAAAGCTCTCGCTCGTCGAGCGGAAAACCCGTGTACGATTCCCGACACGGGTACAATGTGTGAAGCCCATTTCTAGTGCCCCCGCCATGATATTGCTTGAATATTGCTAAAAGCGTCGTAAAACCATACTCGCTCGCTCACTCTCCTCGGGTACTTCACAACTCATGAAGTGTTGAATGTGTGTCCAATGAGAAGTTATGCAAAACACGTGGTGCCTGGAAATGACAGCAGCACAGCTAGACAATGATGGACAGAGACGATTGTGTGCCGAGTGTTCTACCCACAACACACGGTAGCATTAAATCATAAACACGTCAAGGAATGGTTGTGACCACACCTGATAAGGTTGATCACCCCGGACGACATATACTACTCAAAGTTTGTTAAGGAGCACTACTTTAAAATGTAACACGTTAAATTGTGTGCATCTGTTGAAATAGCCAAAGACAATATTGCGTGAAGACATATTTAATGAACATTGGTCCGTTGCTATGTACCATACAATGCTAACAAACAACATGTGACCAATAATCAGTCAGATAACCCTTTATAACGAGAGTATCTGACCAAAACTGAAACGACAGAAAATCATGAAAACAAACTCCATGCTCACAACAACTCCCAGTAGCGCGTATATGATCCACGTGATGCGATCACATCCATCTGCCCAATTCTTCGGCCGTCAAACGACGTCTTTGACGTGCGTTTGAAGTGGGTTCAGTTATCATCAATAGCAAATGTTGATGTGCTCTCTGATAATGATGTGATATCTGTCACGATACATCCAAACTCAGGTTTTCAAGCTCGTGGACATCGTGTCCATTCCTCTGTCCGATCATCAAGACATTGAGGTCCTAGGAAATTACCCTATCATTGTGTACTGGCATATTTCAATCTTTATTTGCTGGAATCTTCTTACATCATCAAAACCTGACCCTCAGCAAACTCTGGGTACTATATACAGTGTGTCCGACCTGGTGTACATCTTAATGTAATACAGTCAAATTCACTTGGCGTACGTCTTGTCGAACATTGACATTCTCACTTCTACGTCTTCATATAATACGATCAAACCCATTTGGTGTGCCTCTTAATGCAATACTGACAAACTCACTTGGCATATGCCTTCTCGAGCAGCGCGGACCAGAACTCGTTTCTTGACTTGGAGTGACAGAAGATGAGCTTGCCGTCCTTAGTCGGGAGTCTGTCGTCCACGACCACGTCCACCCAGTCGCCGAACCTCCAGAACTGGAAGCGGAAGATGCCGGCATACTGGTTCTTGTCACTCCACTCCTGCGTCCGGTGATCCACGACCACCTGTAACAAGTGTAACAGAACCTGTAACAGAACTCATGTAACAGACGGGGCGGTCGGGTAGCCTACTGGTTAAAGCGTTCGCTCGTCACGCCGAAGACCCGGGTTCGATTCCCCACATGGGTACAATGTGTGAAGCCCCTGCCGTGATATTGCTGGAATATTGCTAAAAGCGGCGTAAAACCATGCTCACTCACTCATGTAACCGACAGACCAACACATTTAACAGGCATGCCGCTCTATCAGCTCTGGTGGCACGGGTGGCCCAGTAGTCATAGTCATTCCTTGGGCACGCCAGAAAACCCATGATTGTTGCTTCGAATCCCGGTTCGCTCCGATAATGTTTCTAGGTTTGCTAGCACATAACCGTGCTCTTGGGTTTCACTGAAGCATTAAAGATTGACACGTGCAACCTGAATCAGGCTTCCCTTCAACATAAAAAACTGTCACGCTGTGACATAATTGGAAGACTGTTCAAAGAGACGTTAAACCCAACTCACTCACTTTTATCAGCTGTCGTTATACTGCCGCTCTAGTACCTGTAGTCTCTCGTTATAACGCCTCCACTTACCCTCTGCCACATCTTGGGCTCCTGGGCCAGGCTGGTGCAGGCGTTGACGAACCAGGAGTTGCCGAGACTGCCCTGGTTGAGGTCATCACAGCTCACCCCCTCCACCACCAGGCGCGGGACTTTACACAGCTCCTGTTAGAGTAAAGACAGCCGTCTTCAATGACATGACATATTACAGCACTAACAGTGATCTGCATGCTGTGATGCTGTCCATCATGAGTACATGAGTTACATTTTGGCTGGACGAACAAGTCTTCGCATATTCCAATGAAAATCGCGTAACGAACTAGACATCCGGTTCGTAAACAACATGGATTTGACCCTCCAGATTTCGGTCGACTGCAGGCTTTGCAAAGCATGTGTACCGCAAACTTGGCGTCGACAGGTATTTTGCAAATCTTTTTATGTTTTGAATCAAGGTGCTCGAGTGATTTAATGCATTTCGCGGGGTAAGACCCGTTTTATTACACTATTATCTTGGGCGCCGCCATTTTGTTTGAAGCAAATGCATGCGAAATGAGCGAAGGAATCTTATTGGTCAATAGGAGGGACATGGAAGGGACATAACTCGTAAAAACTGGTGGAAATTCCAGCCTAGTTCGGCAAGGGAGGGAACTGGGCCTTCATTGTCAGTTAACCCCTTTGCCGCGGGAACATGGAAAACATCAAACAGAAATAGAAGATTTGTGATAACACTATGCGGAATAACGAGTTGTTTTAGATGTAAAGGCACGAGTACGACTATGTTAACTTCTCTTGGGATATAACCTTGACCTTGGTAAAACAATCTGACCTTTGGCCTCATCCATACTACGTCGTTGTCGATCTTGCTGAAGAAGAGGGACTTATTGTTGGCTGGGAACTCCGGGTCCTCGAACAGTTCACCTTTCTTCAGACAAGCCTTCTTGAGCTTGGAGTAGCCTTGACCCCGGAAGTTGGAGGGCATCTTCCTCTGTGGGGTACATAGAAGCATAAACGTCACTATGGCAACACTTTCCTCTAATTGGTACATGGAAGCATAAACGTCACTATGGCAACACTTCCTCTGTGGGGTACATGGAAGCATAAACGTCACCATGGCAACACTTCCTCTGTGGGGCACATGGAATAATATACGTTACTGTAGTAATACTTACCCTGTGGGATACATGGAAGAATACTCGTCGCTATAGTGACACTTTCCCTGTAAATGTAACCTTCACAAATCTATCATTAACATTCTTCTATCAGGGACATATGACACATGCCATACATACCTGTCTTTTGTCAGGGATATATAGCAAATATAAACTGTTTTTGTCAGGGATACATACCATATATCTATAGTATTGTTAAAGGTTTTCTCGGAATAACAAATGCCTAAAGTTTTCTGTAAACAGAAATACAGCACACATTGGTAGTATCTGGGCAGAAGCAAAAAAAGTATATACATATAGTCTTCAGTCGGGTTAAATATAATATATATCTGTAGTTATCTGTGACTAGAAAACTATTTTATTCCTATAGTCTTCTGTCAGGTAGAATGTATACGAGTACCTGTATTCATCTGTCTAGGGAAATGCCATATGATACGTTCAGTCTTCTGTCAGGGGAAATGTAATATATAAAAGTCATTTTCCAGTTTAAATGTAATATATACATATCAGGTGATAGATAACATATGCGTTCAATCATTTGTGAGTTGAAATGTAAAATATGCATACAGTCTTCTGTCGGGGAAATTGAAATAAACATACACCAGATTAAATGTAATCTATACATAGAGTCTTCTGTCAGTTGAAATGAAATATTTACATATAGTCATATACCAGGTCAAAAGTAATATATACATATAGTCATATACCAGGTGAAATGTAATATTTACATGCAGTCTTCTGTCAGTTGAAATGTAATATTTACATGCAGTCTTCTGTCAGTTGAAATGTAATATTTACATGCAGTCTTCTGTCAGTTGAAATGTAACATTTACATTCAGTCTGCTATAAATGGTGTTTGAACCAGGGGGAACATCTGCATGTATTGAGTTTATACTTTCGACTGGACATGGCTATAAACGCAATCTGAATATCTCTTCTATATAGGCATTGAATATGTTCTGTATGCTGCCATTATTTGAGATATTTGTGTTTGATTGCGATGTCTATATGGTAATTGTAAGCTTTCTGCCCCCACCCTGCCTGATATCGGTGCTCCATGGGGCTCCAGTTTACACGCAGCACACGCGGCCTTTACAACAATGACGGCGCCGCAAACGCTCCTCCATATAACAGTGTTATGGTAATGTATCGCTTCAATGTTTGCCAAAGGCTCTTTATAACGATTCTTTGCAAGTATCAATACATATACATTAATTTACCCCGCGTGTCTCGGTGTGCCCACGGACCTGTTCACAGGGAGGTGAGAAATCATATATATCTAAATAGACATATCTTGACCTTGAGTGGTGTGGCAGAGTAATGAATGTTGACCCACACTACCCGTCAACAACCCCTCACCTCTCCCCCATGTCGAGGTCTGGAGCTTCCGGGTTCCCCTGAAGTAAAGGTATGTTCGCCCCGGCTCACAGATTACACATTTCTATTACAATCACAAGGAGTAATGGGGCATACCACCCGTGGAGATCCGGGTAGAATAGGTATTCAGCAACCCATGCTTGCCGTAAAAGGCGACTGTGCTTGTCGTAAGAGGCGACTAACGGGATCGGGTGTTCAGGCTCGCTGACTTGGTTGATGCATGTCATTGTATCCCAATTGCTTGGGTCGATGCTCTTGATGTCAATGTCTTGATTGTCTGGATTGTCTGGTCCAGCCTCGATTATTTACAGACCGCCGTCAAATAGCTGGTATATTGCTGAGAGCGGCGTTAAACAACAAACAAACAAATTAGTGTACAAGGGTGGGTGTAGTTTATATTACACCCTTGTTTCTCCACTACTTTCACACTGAACACAATGCGCCTTTCCACAAAGCTATCTTGGCGCTATTGTCTCGTTCTCGATACAGAGCAACCTTCAGCTCAAGGTGTCACATAGAAACAACATGGCCGTATCTTGGTGTACACGAACCACACCTTCATAGTGTCCTGACCGCTGACCTCACTACGCTCTATAACATCCAAGTGACTGACATGATATAGTGAGTGACTTGGGGTTAATGCCGCCCAGAACAGTATATCAAGACTTGTTATAATTAGCTTGCTGTTGGAAGTAAGCCCGACGCAATACAGGTCTTAGACCTTTGCAACCCGGTGAAACCCTCAAACCGCAATGTTGTTGACCAACAGAAATATGATAATTGGGGTAAATCGGGATTTCTAAAACCAAAGTTTCATAAATTCCGCCACGCCTAAAGGAAGTCATCTTCGCTAGGCAGGAGCGTCAACTAGCCTTTTAATCAAAGTAGAAACTAGGCTTGGATGTAGACGAGTGGACACGATTGCCTCGGGAAGATGATAGGAAGCAGGCCACCAATTCTGATCTTGTCCTGTTTTGATAAATCCAATGAAATCATTCATATAATTGAATCCTCTGTCCCTTTTGACACTAATGTGATTGACAAGATTCAGGAAATACATGGCAATTATGCGGACCTCGCTCAGAAAGTGTCACGCTTGCATCCCAAGTATTAAGTTGTATGACCGACTCCCCATTGTTCTAGGTGCCTTAGGTTTGGTACCTCCCAATCTGCTGACTGACATTAGGAGAGTACCGGGGTTTGCTGCCAGGAATACAACTCTTCTGAGTAATGCAGAAGGCTGCAGTTTTGGGGAGTCTTCACATTCTCCGAGAAGTTCTGAGCGTTGTTTGACAAGGCAGCGCTTCCTGGGAGAAGTCCCATTCGCAAGAGCCCTGAGCTGATGATGAGCCTAACCGGTTTGACTGTGCCAGGATCCCCCAAGCACTCTTAGCTGCATTTATTTCAATAATAATAATAATAATAATAATAATAATAATAATAACAACAACAACAACAACAACAACAACAATAATAACAACCACGTGCACCAAATCACAAAACAAACGAAATAAAACCACACGTGCACGTGTCTGTATTGTGGGTAGTGATGTCACGTGTTGGACAGTAGGGCGCGGTTAGTTTAACGCAAAGCACGAGAGAGTTAGTGTCTTTGTGACGTCGCACGCGTCCCTGTACCTGGATGTCTGCTGTGAACTTGTTCATTGCGATGTCGTGGTCGTCGTCGTCCTCTCGTGGCTACACAACACAGTAATATCTTGAGAAAGTGCGAGATGACCTGGTATCATTGGGCACTGCCATCATGATTCAGTGCACGACATAGACTCAGTGAGTGGCTGTACAGAACCATTATGAAGAGACGCGATGTTTGTACTACACGTGCAGTTTATTTATTTGTTTGTTTGTTTGTTAAACGCCGCACTCAGCAATATTCCAGCTATATGACGGCGGTCTGTAAATAATCGAGTCTGGACCAGACAATCCAGTGATTGACATCACGAGCCTCGATCCACGCAATTGGGATACGATGACATGCATCAACCAAGTCAGCGAGCCTGACCACCCGATCCCGTTAGTCGCCTTTTACGACAAGCATAGTCGCGTTTTTCGGCAAGCATGGGTTGCTGAAGACCTGTTCTAATCCGGATCTTCACGGGTCCGTAGCACCAATGGAGACACCTTCTCTACTACGACTGATTCGACCACCTCGGTCCACGTGTCCTCTACAATATACATGTTGTCATGCTGTACATAGTCAATAACAGTATTACAGTTGTGGCTTAGGCGGATTATCAGAGGGTAATACAGGCAATAATACACACAGACTGACGCGACCAGGGCCCTAGCCTTGCTCCAAGGCTGTACTGAAAGAAAACTCCATGGATGAGTGATATTCTATTCGACCTCCTAACAGGCAATAATCTAAGGACTCCAGTCTCGTATGGGTACAATTTGCTATTATTATGTACATAATCTAGGAATTATGATTTATACTAATAATTATTGCCTTAGAGACTTGTGCAAGTCTGTTCTAATCCTAAAGTCTATAGTTCTAATCCCGGCCTTAGCTTACATAACACGGCGTTCTGGATATGGCTGTCTGTGTACCCCGCTGCTGAAGGGTCAACCTACGCCTACTCTATCAGCTTAAGCGGTGGTTGCAGTTTGTTGGTCATTAATACAAACAAATAAGATTAGTATCAGAATTCGTAAATCAGGACAAAATGACGGATTTATTGACCAAAAGAACTAATGCTGTGTGAGTTTTAATACTGTACTTTTGACAAATGTCTTAATGGTGTATTTATTTATATGTTAGAGTCAGTGTGTAAAATGACTGAAATTTTCAGTGAATGGTCACTTAAATATGACAGTGTCCAAGAGAGGGTCATAAATAAAATATACACATTTGGGGAGGGTCAAGTAAAATAAACTTTGTGTAATATAAAGTGCTTTTTCATTTTGTCTTTTCAGGGAGTCATGAACAAAATGGACATGGGAGGGTCATACAAAATATCACAGTCACAAGGGGCGGGTCATTATTTACAGCAGTGCATCAAAAACCTCTGACCCTTACACACCTGTAATATATGACAGGTCCCTTAATGTTCCGCGTTGATTACCGTATTTGTTAATAGAAGTGAGTGAGTATGGTTTTACTCTGCTCTTAGCAATATTCCAACAAAATCACGGCGGGGGACACCAGAAATGAGGTTCACACAATGTGAGGATGTGGGGATTAGAACCCGGATCTTTGGCGTGAAGAGCGCGCGATTTAACCACTAGGCTACCCCACCGCCCCTGTTAAGAGGAGGCATAGTGAGTGAGTGAGTAGGATTTTACGCCGCCCTTAGCAATATTCCAGCAATATCACGGCAGGGAACATCAGAATAGGCTTCACGCATTGTACCCATGTGGGGAATAGAAACCGTGTCTTTTGCGTGACGAGCGGGCGATTCAAATACTAGGCTACCCCACCGCCCCTGTTAAGAGGAGGCATAGTGAGTGAGTGAGTAGGATTTTACGCCGCCCTTAGCAATATTCCAGCAATATCACGGCAGGGAACATCAGAATAGGCTTCACGCATTGTACCCATGTGGGGAATAGAAACCGTGTCTTTTGCGTGACGAGCGGGCGATTCAAATACTAGGCTACCCCACCGCCCCTGTTAAGAGGAGGCATAGTGAGTGAGTGAGTAGGATTTTACGCCGCCTTTAGCAATATTCCAGCAACATCACGGCAGGGAACATCAGAATAGGCTTCACGCATTGTACCCATGTGGGGAATAGAAACCGTGTCTTTTGCGTGACGAGCGGGCGATTCAAATACTAGGCTACCCCACCGCCCCTGTTAAGAGGAGGCATAGTGAGTGAGTGAGTAGGATTTTACGCCGCCTTTAGCAATATTCCAGCAACATCACGGCAGGGAACATCAGAATAGGCATTGTACCCATGTCGGGAATCGAACCCGGGTCTTTTGCGTGACGAGCGAGCGATTCAACTACTAGGCTATCCCACGGCCCCTGTTAAGAGGAGACATAGTGAGTGAGAATGGTTTTACGCCGCACTTAGCAATATTCCAACAATATCAAGGCTTTAACCACTAGGCTGCCACCGCCTCTGTTAAGAGGAGATATAATACACGATGAATATATAACAGGAAGTTTAATACACTATACGTGTATAGTAGGAAGAAAGTTAATGCTATGTCAGTCGTTCCACTGCGTTAAGTTCAAACTAAATGTACACTGGATTTATCTCCACAGAACGACCCGTACTTCTGTGCGCGGACAGTAGTCTGTGTGTTTGAGTTTAAGCAAGTGTTCAAGTATTCAAATGTCACCTGATTGTCCTTGGAACTCCCGACTTGATGAAAACCCTAGACGTTTAAAACTTACGAGGTTTACACAAATACTTAGTTTATCTGGATCTATGATTTACCCACCAGGAAATACAATATCCGACCTGTTTACGTTTTCGTTGTGGAGGAAAAGAAGTTCTATTGTCGACCTGCCAGTTATATTGATCACCATGTGCGCGCGTCCTTGTAACAATGCGTGTTTGCACAAAGAAAGAGAAAAATAGCCTTTGTCGATCTTTTGATACTTATAAGAAAAAATCTATACTTAATGTGTCAAGTTGCAGGAATGCTACAAGGCTTACAGTGACACCATTTCTGTCACATATGTTGATATATTTTATTTCAGCTCTAAACATTTCACAATCCATCAACGTTTAACAAAACCCCGAGAGTCTTATCGACATATCACGTGACTTATATTCCCCCTGGTCTAAGTATTCATTTGGTCAGAAAACATCGATGAGGTGGAATCGATTATAATGTATCTGTGGCTGGATACTTCTACAGCGGTAACTCTATAGCAGGATATTCACGGACTCAGGTGTGAACGAACAAAAGAAATCCATAATTGGGAAAAAATATGTACATAATAGAGCGATCGCTGGTTAACAGCATGGACGCCAGTCGGGTGTCGGGTGGATGACTGCTGTTGGAAGATAGGTCTGGTGTTGGGCTGGTGTTGGGCTGGGTGTCGTGTCTGGTGTCTGGCTGGGGGTAGGGCTGGGGGCCGTGTCTGGTGTTGGGCTGGGGGTAGGGCTGGGGGCCGTGTCTGGTGTCTGGCTGGGGGTAGGGCTCGGGGCCGTGTCTGGTGTCTGGTGTCGGGCTGGGGGGAGGGGTGGGGGCCGTGTCTGGTGTCGGGCTGGGGGTAGGGCTGGGGGCCGTGTCTGGTGTCTTGCTGGGGGTTGGGCTGGGGGCCGTGTCTGGTGTCTGGTGTCGGGCTGGGGGCCGTGTCTGGTGTCGGGCTGGGGGTAGGGCTGGGGGCCGTGTCTGGTGTCTGGCTGGGGGTAGGGATAGGGGCCGTGTCTGGTGTCTGGTGTCTGGCTGATGTCGGGCTGGGGGTAGGGCTGGGGGCCGTGTCTGGTGTCTGGTGTTTGGCTGGGGGTAGGGCTGGGGGCCGTGTCTGGTGTCTGGTGTTTGGCTGGGGGTAGGGCTGGGGGCCGTGTCTGGTGTCTGGTGTTTGGCTGGGGGTAGGGCTGTGGGGCCGTGTCTGGTGTATGGTGTCGGGCTGGGGGTAGGGCTGTGGACCGTGTCTGGTGTCTGCCGTCGGGCTGGGGGTAGGGCTGGGGGCCGTGTCTGGTGTCTGGTGTTTGGCTGGGGGTAGGGCTGGGGTTCGTGTCTGGTATCTGCTGTCGGGCTGGGGGTAGGGCTGGGGGCCGTGTCTGGTTTCTTGTGTTGGGCTGGGGGTAGGGCTGGGGGCCGTGTCTGTTGTCTGGCTGGGGTGGGTGTCGGGCTGGGTGTCGGGTCTGAGGGTAGGGGTGGGTGTCGGGTCTGGGGGTAGGGGTGGGTGTCGGGTCTGGGGGTATGGGTGAGTGTCGGATCTGAAGGTAGGGGTAAGTGTCGGGTCTGGGGGTAGGTGTGTTTGTCGGGTCTGGGGGAAGGATAGCTTGGCGGGTTTTGGGGTAGGGTTGGGTGTCGGGCGGGGGGGAAAGTCGGGTGTCGGTCTGGGGGTAGGATAGGGTGTCGGGTCTGAAGGTAGGGGTAAGTGCATACACTGAAATAAATTAGTGTTTCTGCATTCTGTTGTGTCAGATCGTTCTAATTACTATTAAGATCCTTATTAGAATCGTCTACAGCTAGGGAACTGTGTATACAGAGAAGTTGCATTCTCCCCACCACACCTGTCCTGAAACCACCGACTTTTGTTTCTGAATAATTTACTCATCCCCAGTGTTTTAAATAATTTTAAAACCAAATACCAAATAAGACAGCAGACCACTAAGTCTTGCCTGCAAGTCCTTTAAGTTACCAGCCCGCATTCAGGCATTATAAATATTGAAAAATCGAAATTGAAAACTAAGAGACAAATCACGTCTTGATTAATTTCAAATAATTCAAACTTGAGAATCTACAACGCGTTATATTAAAACTGAATACGTAAGTAGTCTTATACTTATCTGCCAGACAGTCGGACAGGTCATCACATCACACGTAACTAAGTTTCTAAGTCTATCCCTGCTTCATATAATTTCCACACTATTTCCACATATATTTCCACAACTATTTCCACAACTATTTCCACACGATTTCCACAACTACTTCCACAACTATTTCCACACAATTTCCAGAACTATTTCCACACTATTTCCACAACTATTTCCACACTATTTCCACAACTATTTCCACAACTATTTTTTTACTTGGCCATAGAGCTAGAAGGTATCAGCGTACTAGTTTTCAAGACAGAAAATGCAGAACTTGCCCCGGTGATATTAAAGATGTGCGTAGTGTCCACTACCCACCGATCTACGGAAAACGTACATCACACAATATCAAAGGAACACACCTTCAGTCTTCAAATTTGTACAATTATATAGCGTTCAAAATGTTAAGGAATTAGAGCTGACTTGGTTAGGAAAAAGTAACTGTAAGCTTGCATTTGTGGTTCATTCTTCTTACGTTATATCTCCATCATAAAGATGCTCTCTCCTGTGTGAGGGACTCCCCCCAAACGATTACTGTTAACCACCTATATGCTATAAAGTTTCAGGTTAATTAACAATTAAACTGGAGTCAAGTGCATCAGCAAGCTGTAAGTCGCCTTTGGTACAGAACAGATAGTTTTCTTTACGATAGCCGTGCTTTCCGTTGCTATGTGCCTAATCAGAAGACACAAAACACAAGTCTTATTACAGTCGTTTATACGGTGGGTCGCGCCTCATGAACATTGGCAAGCTTTAAAAAATACTTTTCATTTATAAACTTACACTCTGAAGTATGTAAAAAGTACTCTGACAATAGTGATTGAAAGCGAAGATATTTTACCTACCTAGTGTCTCCGGGTGCGATTTTTAATCCTCCCTTATAATCTCGATACAGACCAACCACGCCGGGAGATCTCGCGTGAAGTGGCAGCGCGAGACTTCTCACGTGGCGAGGCTGTAGCTATTGTGATTATACAGATGACGTGTGGGTCAGGCGACTTGGATTGAAAGTGTGGATTGTCGACCCGGGGTATAGCAACAGCCTAAATATTTACAGGTGCTCGTTATACTATTGACTGCTCGCCCGCATGATAGAAGCGACCGGGAATTGATACTTGAGACAAGGCAGCAACGGGCAGTTTATGACACATGACCCAGCTATACTGGGCAGTGGGGGCACTGGTGGCCCAGTCATCAAAGGCGCCGCGATTCGCTGTGCAGAGTTGCGTCCCTTGGGCACGCCAGAAACCTATGATTGTGGGTTCGAATCCCGGTTCGTCCCGATTATGTTTCTATACCCGTGCTCGTGGGTTTCACCGAAGTGGTAAACGTCTGAGACCTGCATCACTTCGGGCTTTTCTCCCACATTAAGCTGACACGCCGTGATATAACTGGAATAATGTTAAAAGCGGCGTTAAACCCAACTCACTCACTCACTCGAGGTCTATGCCAAGGACCTCATGGCGAGGCCAAGGTCGTTCTACACACGGATACAAGGATGTACATTTTGTCTGACTTCGATATGTAATCCAATTACTCCATTCATCTCGATACAATACAACTACAAGGCCAAAGTTGTTCAAAACTCCCTCGGAGGTAGATTGTACTAGATACCTGTCAGTATCTACACACAGAGACAAGGATGTACGTTTGTCTGACTTCGATATGTAATCCTCCATTCATCTCTATACAATATAACCACACAGGGAGCAAGGCCAAAGTTGTTCAAAACTCCCTCGGAGGCAGATACCTGGCAGAATATGTCACACTTTAGACTAACACTTAGTCTTTCAAATTATTATTGTTATTCTTTGAAAGAACCTTTCCTCTTCTTCTGTTTTCAGGAATCAAGTAAACTAGACTTGGTTAGTTTGATCTAGACTTGCCTAGGCTTTTAGTAAAAAAAATACCTAAAAAACATAAATTCCACAGTCACGGGTCAGGACTTGGGAAACTTAGACCCGGATATACAATGTTTCTGACATCTTGAATATAAACTTTATCTTTGATACTGAAACATACTAGGAACCTAGGTCCTTAGGCACGATTTAAATAGATCGCGGACCGTTGTAAACATTCAAACCCTTTAAACGGGTGGACATAGGGACTTCGTGTTCTCACCAATATAGTGCCCATATGACTCCAGGAGTTGTCTCCCTTCAGATACACTTTTAGCGTGTGAGACCTAGGGTGTGTGGGTGTGTATGGTTTTACGCCGCTTTTAGCAAAGTTCCAGCAATATCGATATCACGTCGGGGGACACCAGAAATGGGCTTCACACTTTGTACCCATGTCGGGAATCGAACCCGGGGTGACGAGCGAACGCTTTAACCACTAGGCTACCCGACCGCCCCTATTAGCGTGTGAAACACCTCCGTTATATATACCGAGCCCTGATAAAACACGCTGTGGTTGTGGTGGTGGTAAAAAGGGGTTTAACGTCGTGTCCCAGATTAATGCGCTTATATAGCGACGTGGTGCACGTGTGTGTGTCTACTTGTACTACTCCGGACTAACGCCGATTTTATAGTGCTGACCCACTGAGATACCATGCCGCAGTTTAACATGAATACAACACTCAGACACAGTTTACTGACCCCAAGCCGACCAGTCCTTGTTTTAGTCCCTTAATGCCGAGCGCCAGGCAGGGTAACAACATGTAACATCTTTTAACGTGGCTGGGAATCGAACCACCGACCTTCCACTCTCGGAAGGACGTTCTAGCTACAACACCACTGAGACGGTCTCGTGAAGTTAGAACAGCTAGAACAGTTAGAACAGTTTATTGTTTTCACACGCCGGCTGGGGTACAACTTAGTACAAGCCTTCACACATGATGCACACGTGACAAGATGTAGCCTATCACACGCGGGAATATACATTATAACGTCCTCACAGATGATTCATGGAGCGATATCAGCTTGTGCTGGGATATATGGCGGTTGATGAGTAAAGGCTCCAGAGTGAGTGAGTATTGTTTCACGCCGCTTTTAGCGATGTTCAAGCAATATTACGACGGGGTACACCGAAAATGGGCTTCACCCATGTTGAGAATCGAACCCGGGCCTTCGGCGTGACGACCGCGTTCAGCAGCTTTGCTCCTGAGAGTTTCTAGGGCGTCGGTCCTGTCCCACACAAATGCACAAGTACCACGTGTGGTGCCTCCTTAGGCAAGACCCCCGCCGTGATATTGCTGGAATATTGCTAAAAGCGGCGTAAAACCATACTCACTCACTCACTCACCTTAGGCAAGTGACTTTGTTCGAAATGTGCCTCTGTTCACCCAGCAGTGAATGGGTACCCGGTAGGATGAGATGGTAATGTGGTTGTTAACCTTCTAGCGCCTCACATGCAGATTGGGTTGTATACTCCCCAGGGAGCTGAGAATGTGAAAATCCAGTGCACACTGATCCAGTGAACGGGGTAATTTAGAATCCCTGACGATAGAATCCATGTTTCAACGTTATGCATTGGTAAAACATGTGTACCCCAATACATGGATATTAGGAGAAAGCAAAGATCATGTTTAGAGAGAACTATACTGAACAACAAAAGTTCCTGTGACATTGAATAAGATTTAATGCATGTTATGTATTTTACCAAATCTGAAACAGTTTTAGTTTGCAACAATTAAAGGATTAATTGCCCATAATTAAGGGTGCATATAACACACGAGTGCGTATTATACACGAATAAATAAGTCTTGTGTACATTGATCAATCGGAAGGGGTGCTAATTGGGATTGTTCACAAGCCAATATATTAGCAAATATCGCCGTGGGCGGTTATTAGAGCGGAGCGCTTATTACGTCGAATACGGAATTGACGCAGTGTATTGCTGTTTGCGATTGTTAACCTAAAACTGAAAATAATATGTTGGTTATAAATTGAATTTGAGTGGTGTTTTACTGATTTCACAATTTAGATATGTGGATTGCGTTTCAATTTAGAAATCCCCTCGTTACAATATGGACGATGACCATGGTAATTGATTTTGGAGGATTTAATCCCATTTCCACTGCAGGTATTGTCGAGGGGGAATATGACAACATGTTCTGTTCGGACGTGACTTATGTAGTTAACACTCCCATGACGATTAAGATGCTGGTATTGCTCAATTCAGAACGTCCACTTAATGTCGCTGTGAGTGATACTACACAGGCGAGGTGAGGTAAATTGGGTTTAACGTCGCGTCCAAGATTATTGCACTTATATAGCGACGTGCATGCACGTGTGTGTGTCTGCTTGAACTAGTCCGGACTGATGCCGATTTATAGTGCTAGCTCACTGAGATACCATGCCGCAGTTTAACATGAATACCCCACTCAGACACAGCATACTGACTCCGAGCCGACCAGTCCTTGTTTTAGCCCCTTAATGCCGAGCGCCTGACAGGGTAACAACAAGTACCATCATTTAACGTCTTTTGGTATGACGCGGCCGGGGATCGAACCCCTGACCTACCGCTCTCCGGGCGGACGCTCTACCACAAGACCACGGAAGCGGTCGATACTACACAGCACCACTTCCAAAATATCCACTTAACGTCTTCGTGAGTGTTACTGCTCCATACCACTTCCGAATGTCCTAATATCATAGTGAGGGATATTACACAACACCACTTCTTAACGTCCAACATGAATACCCCACTCAGACACAGTATACTGACCATACTGACCAGTCCTTGTTTAAATGTCCTTAATGCCGAGCCCCAGGCAGGGAAACAACAAGTACCATCTTTTTGTATGACACAGCCCTAGATCGGAGCACCGACAATCCTCCCTCTGGGCAGGCACTATATCCAATACACACTTATACTGACTCCGTGACGACCAGTCCTCGTTTAAATGTCCTTTATGCCGAGCGCCAGGCAGGGAAACAACAAGTACCATCTTTGTTTGTTCGTTTGTTGTTTAAAGCCGCACTCAGCAATATTCCAACCATATGACGTCGGTCTGTAACTAATGCAACCTTTCGTAATAAATGGAAATTATTATTTATATTGACAAAAAAGGAACCGTTTATTGGTCAATAATTCAAAGCTTACACCGGCAATTTAACTTCACAAGATGGGTACATTCGGTCACAGGAAAGACCTCTCGCAGATGAAGCCTTCAGCGGAGGTGGCGGTGATGGAGGACCACATCCAGTCGGTGTAGGTGGCGTGAGAGGCGGGGTTGACCATGGCGATGCGGTAGTTGTAGGTGCTTGTGACCGGTTCTTTCGGCCCCCACCTCGTGTACTGGACACGTGCCATATCCAGCCACGCCCACTCCGTGGTAGCCATGATGTAGTATCCCCCCAGCCAATAATAAGCCGGATGAGTCGCCGCTGCCATAGTAACAGACAACACCTGCTACAGCATGCTTCACAACGTGGGCAAATCTTGAATGTGTACGATTTTGTGCAAAAACACTAAAAAAAGAAGTTCTTGAAGGTTCATCATTACTCAATATTGTATATCCTGTAGCTGACCTGGTACAAGTACGCACTCTTGTACGCACCTTCCTTTACGCTCACCTGGTACAGAGGTGTACGTCCTGTATGCCTTGAAGTTCACCTGGTACAAAGGTGTACGCCCTGTACGCCTGGAAGCCCACCTGGTACAGAGGTGTACGCTCTGTATGCTTTGAAGCTCACCTGATACAGAGTTCTACGTCCTGTATGCCTTGAAGCTCACCTGGTACAGAGATGTTCTTCCTGCAGACCTTGAAGTTCACCTGGTACAAAGGTGTACACCCTGTACGCCTGGAAGCTCACCTGGTACAGATGGTACGCCCTGTATGCTTTGAAGCTCACCTGGTACAGAGGTGTACGTCCTGTTTGCCTTTAAGCTCACCTAGTACAGAGTTGAAGAGCCCCACAAGGAAGAAGTCTTCGGCCTGGTCATCGACGGACGCGAGGTCAGCCCCACGTCGCTGGCAGTCCAGTCTGGCATTGTCCCAGGACAGCGTCCAGTTGGCCATGTAGAAACACGAGCGAGGTCCGGCCACGAAAGTCGGGGGACACCCTTGAGAAGACAAAACAGAGAGGATCTGATGTTAGACATAGCCGTCTGTGAAGTCGCGACTGTGGAGTAATACACAAGGATGCTGCCTGTTGTATGTGATATACACTGATACTCACTGCCTGTGGTATGTGATATAAACTCATACTCACTGACAGTGGTATGTGATATACACTGGCACTCACTGCCTGTTGTATGTGATATACACTGATACTCACTGCCTGTGGTATGTGATATAAACTGATACTCACTGCTTGTGGTATGTGATATACAATGGCACTGACTGCCTGTGGTATGTGATATACACTGATACTCACTGCCTGTTGTATGTGATATACACTGGTACTCACTGCCTGTGGTATGTGATATACACTGATACTCACTGCCTGTTGTATGTGATATACACTGATACTCACTGCCTGTGGTATGTGATATACACTGATACTCACTGCCTGTTGTATGTGATATACACTGATACTCACTTCCTGTTGTATGTGATATATACTGGTACTCACTGCCTGTTGTATGTGATATACACTGGTACTCACTGCCTGTGGTATGTGATATACACTGATACTCACTGCCTGTTGTATGTGATATACACTGATACTCACTGCCTGTCGTATGTGATATACACTGATACTCATTGCCTGTTGTATGTGATATACACTGATACTCACTGCCTGTTGTATGTGATATATACTGGTACTCACTGCCTGTTGTATGTGATATACACTGGTACTCACTGCCTGTGGTATGTGATATAAACTGATACTCACTGCCTGCGGTATGTGATATACACTGGTACTCACAGCTCGTGGTATGTGATATACACTGGTACTCACTGCCTGTGGTATGTGACATAAACTCATACTTACTGCCTGTTGTATGTGATATAAACTGATACTCACTGCCTGGTGTATGTGATATACACTGGTACTCGCTGCTTGTGGTATGTGATATACAGTGGTACTCACTGCTTGTGGTATGTGATATAAACTGATACTCACTGCCTGTGGTATGTGATATGCACTCGTACTCACTGCCTGTTGTATGTGATATACACTGGCACTCACTGCTTGTGGTATGTGATATACACTGGTACTCACTGCATGTGGTATGTGATATACACTGGTACTCACTGCCTGTGATATTGGATATACACTGGTACTCACTGCATTTGGTATGTGATATATACTGATACTCACTGATTGTGGTATGTGATATACACTGATACTCACTGCCTGTGGTATGTGATATATACTGATACTCACTGCTTGTGGTATGTGATATACACTGGTACTCACTGCCCGTGATATGTGATATATACTGGTACTCACTGCCCGTGGTTTGTGATATATACTGATACTCACTGCCTGTGGTATATGAGATATAAACTGATACTCACTGACAGTGGTATGTGATATACACTGGTACTCACTGCCTATTGTATGTGACATACACTGGTACTCACTGCATGTGGTATGTGACATACACTGATACTCACTGCCTGTGGTATGTGATATAAACTGATACTCACTGACTGTGGTATGTGATATACACTGGCATTCACTGCCTGTTGTATGTGATATACACTGATACTCACTGCCTGTTGTATGTGATATACACTGATACTTACTGACTGTGGTATGTGATATACACTGGTACTCACTGCCTGTGGTATGTGATATACACTGATACTCACTGTCTGTGGTATGTGATATACACTGATACTCACTGCCTGTTGTATGTGATATACACTGGTACTCACTGCCTGTTGTATGTGATCTACACTGATACTCACTGCCTGTTGTATGTGATATACACTGATACTCACTGCCTGTTGTATGTGATATACACTGGTACTCACTGCCTGTTGTATGTGATATACACTGATACTCACTGCCTGTTGCATGTGATATACACTGGTACTCACTGCCTGTTGTATGTGATCTACACTGATAATCACTGCCTGTTGTATGTGATATACACTGATACTCACTGCCTGTTGTATGTGATATACACTGATACTCAATGCCTGTGGTATATGACATACACTGATACTCACTGCTTGTGGTATGTGATATAAACTGATACTTACTGCCTGCGGTATGTGATATACACTGGTACTCAATGCTCGTGGTATGTGATAAACACTGGTACTCGCTGCCTGTAGTATGTGATATAAACTTATACTCACTGTCTGTGGTATGTGATCTACACTGGTACTCACTGCTTGTGGTATGTGATATACAGTGGTACTCACTGCCTCTGGTATGTGATATACACTGGTACTCACTGCCTGTGGTATGTGATATACACTGATACTCACTGCCTGTGGTATGTGATATACACTCGTACTCACTGCCTGTTGTATGTGATATACACTGGCACTCACTGCTTTTGGTATGTGATATACACTGGTACTCACTGCCTGTGGTATGTGATATACACTGATACTCACTGCCTGTGGTATGTGATATACACTCGTACTCACTGCCTGTTGTATGTGATATACACTGGCACTCACTGCTTGTGGTATGTGATATACACTGGCACTCACTGCTTGTGGTATGTGATCTACACTGATACTCACAGCCTGTTGTATGTGATATAGACTTGATTGATACTCCCACCCTGTTGTATGTTATATACACTGATACTCACTGCCTGTGGTATGTGATACATACTGATACTCACTGCCCGTGGTATGTGACATACACTGATACTCACTGCCTGTGATATATGATATACACCGATACTCACTGCCCGTGGTATATCCTACACCAGGGTGACTGGCGTTGTTGCGAGCCAGAGATCCCAGACATAGATGGGCGTTGCAATCGTCGGCGTCACAGCACTGGAAGCAGTGGTCGCTGTCATCCTCCCCGTCCTCAGCCTCGCGTCTCCCCAGCAACGTGGCAGCGTTAGAGAACAGCTGGCACCGCTGAAGATATATGGATATTCCGGTGGGATACAGCAGGCTCACAGTGTTAGTCCTCGTCCGATACCGTATATATGACACCATCTAATCAACTAAAGTGACGTAAACAGATTCGTTTTGAAGTCCACGAATAGTAATATAACCGGCATCCGAAGGTGAGTGAATGGTGAGTCTGGTTTAACGCCGCTTTTAACATTATTCCAGTTATATCGTGGCGGCAGCTTAATGTGAGAGGAAAGCCCGAAGTGATGCAGGTCTCAAACGTTTACCACTTCGGTGAAGTCGACGTGCACGGGTATAGTGCTGACAAACCTAGAAACATAATCGGGGCGAACCGGGATTCGAACCCACAATCATAGGTTCCTGGCGTGCCTAAGGGACGCAACTCTGCACAGCGAATCGCGGCGCCTTAGACGACTGGGCCACCCGTGCCCCCAGCATCCGAAGGGGACGAGTGTAGTAATTCAATATTACTCACTTAAACTTGTTTTGGTACCGTTTGAGAGATTTGTTTGTGTGTTTGTTTGTTGTTTAACGCCGCACTCAGCAATATTCTAGCTATATAACGGCAGTCTGTAAATAATCGAGTCTGGACCGGACAATCCAGTGATTGACATCATGAGCCTCGATCCACGCCATTGGGATACGATGACATGCACAAACCAAGTCAGCGAGTCTGACCACCCGATGCCGTTAGTCGCCTCTTACGACAAGCATAGTTGGCTTTCATTGCAAGCATGGGTTGCTGAAGACCTATTCTACCCCGGATCTTCACGGGTGCCGCTTGTGAGAGATGAAGACAATTGTTTACAAGACATTTTAAGAATGGCATTACATGATAAAGAGGTCACCACGCTTGTGTGTTTTGGGAATGGTAAATATTCTGTATTAGGAATATACACTTCATATTCCTGATAGAGGGTATTTGCCTTTGCAAAACTAACTGACGAGATAACCTATATGTATATGTACTGGTCTTCAGTGCTGGTGATTTACAGACATCAGGGTTTATATTTTCACACCTGTTTCTCTTCACACCCAAGATGGTAACCTTGTTTCCCGTTGTGGTCCGTGAACTCCCGGGTGAAGCAGATCTGTAACATAATAGGTGAGTAAGTCGACGGATGGGTGAGTAAGTCGATGGATGGGTGAGTAAGTCGATGGATGGGTGAGTAAGTCGATGGATGGGTGAGTGAGTGAGTGGATGAGTGAGTGAGTCGATGGATGGGTGAGTAAGTCGATGGATGGGTGAGTAAGTCGATGGATGGGTGAGGGATTCGATGGATGGGTGAGTGAGTCGATGGATGGGTGAGTAAGTCGATGGATGGGTGAGGGAGTGGATGGATGGATGAGTTAGTCGATGGATGGGTGAGTTAGTCGATGGATGAGTGAGTCGATGGATGGGTGAGTAATTCGATGGATGAGTGAGTGAGTCGATGGATGGGTGAGTGAGTCAATGGATGAGTGAGTCGATGGATGGGTGAGTGAGAGTGGATGGGTGAGTAAGTCGATGGATGGGTGAGTGAGTCGATGGGTGGGTGAGTCGATGGATGGGTGGGTGAGTGAGTCGATGGATGCGTGAGTCGATGGATGGGTGAGTAAGTCGATGGATGAGTGAGTGCGTCGATGGATGGGTGAGTGAGTGGATGGGTGGGTGAGTGAGTTGATGGATGGATGAATTAGTCGATGAATGGGTGAGTGAGTCGATGGATGAGTTAGTCGATGGATGGGTGAGTGAGTGAGTGGATGGGTGAGTAAGTCGATGGATGGGTGAGTGAGTCGATGGATGGGTGAGCGAGTGAGTGGATGAGTGAGTGCGTGGATGGGTTAGTAAGTCGATGGATGGTCGAGTGATTGGATGGATGTGTGAGCGAGTCGATGGATGGGTGAGCGAGTGAGTGGATGAGTGAGTGCTCGGATGGGTTAGTAAGTCGATGGATGGTCGAGTGATTGGATGGATGTGTGAGCGAGTCGATGGACGGATGAGTAAGTGAGTGGATGAGTGAGTGAGTCGATGGATTGGTGAGTGAGTGGATGAGTGAGTGAGTTGATCGGTGGGTGAGTGAGTCGATGGATGGGTGAGTGAGTGGATGAGTGAGTGAGTCGATGGATGGATGAGTGGGTCGATGGATGAGTGAGTGAATCGATAGATGTGTGAGTGATTGTTGAGTGCTGAGTGAATGAGTGGGTGGTTGGGTGTATAAATCGGAGAGTGGATGTGTGGGTGAATGAATAGGTGGATGAGTGATAGGTCGAGTTGGTGAGGGAATGGATGGATGGGTGGGTGAGGGAATGGTTGGATGGGTATGTGCAATGTTGAGAAGTCGATGAGAAATTGATGGAAAAGTCGATACTGGATAATATAGATGTCCCCTCCCACTGGATTATATAGATGTCCCCACCCACTGGATTATATAGATGTCCCCTCCCACTGGATTATATAGATGTCCCGACCCTCTGGATTATATAGATGTCCCCTCCCACTGGATTATATATATGACCCCACCCATTGGATTATATAGATGGCCCTTCCCACTGGATTATATAGATGTCCCCTCCCACTGGATTATATAGATGTCCCCACCCACTGGATTATATAGATGACCCCACCCACTGGATTATATAGATGTCCCCACCCACTGGATTATATAGATGACCCCACCCACTGGATTATATAGATGTCCCCACCCACTGGATTATATAGATGACCCCTCCAACTGGATTATATAGATGTCCCCTCCCACTGGATTATATAGATGTCCCCTCCAACTGGATTATATAGATGTCCCCTCCAACTGGATTATATAGATGTCTGGGTGATATAGATGGCCCCTCCCACTGGGTGATATGGATGTCCCCGCCCATTTGGCAACATCTATGTCTCCGCCCACTGAGTAATATATATGTTCCCGCCCACTGGGTGATATAGATGTCCCCTCCCACTGGATTATATAAATGTCCGAACCTACTGGATAATATATATGTCCCCATCCACTGGGTGATACAGATGTCCCCGTCCACTTGGTGATATTGATGTCTCCTCCCACTAGGTGATATAGATGTTCCCGCCCACTGGGTGATATAGATGTTCCTGCCAACTGGGTGATATAGATGTTCCTGCCAACTGGGTGATATAGATGTTCCCGCCCACTGGGTGATATAGATGTTCCTGCCAACTGGGTGATATTAATGTTCCTGCCAACTGGGTGATATAGATGTTCCCGCCCACTGGGTGATGTAGATGATCCCGATGACACAGATGACATACCTACCTCACCGTTGCCACATTTGGCCAGTGTCAGACACTTGAAGGGCGCGTCTGTCTCGTGGCATTCAAAGCATCGTCTGTCTGAAGAACAGGAATCGTTCCGGCAATGTCATATCAGGTGTTGCGAAGGCGAAGGGCCATCACAGGGCTCACAGGGCAGACTGGTGCACCATCAAAGACCTAACAGGTCATTGAGATACATGGTCACAGTGCTCACAGGTCATTGAGATACATGGTCACAGTGCTCACAGGTCATTGAGATACATCGTCACAGTGCTCACAGGTCATAGAGATACATCGTCAATGTGCTCACAGGTCATAGAGATACATCGTCACAGATCACAGATACATCGTCACAGTGCTCACAGGTCATAGAGATACATCGTCAATGTGCTCACAGGTCATAGAGATACATCGTCACAGATCACAGATACATCGTCACAGTGCTCAAAGGTCATAGAAATACATCGTCACAGTGCTCACAGGCCATTGAGATACATCGTCACAGTGCTCACAGGTCATAGAGATACATCATTACAGTGCTCACAGGTTATAGAGATACATCGTCACAGTGCTCACAGGTCATAGAGATACATCGTCACAGTGCTCACAGGTTATAGAGATACGTCGTCAATCTGCTCACAGGTCATAGAGATACATCGTCACAGTGCTCACAGATCATTGAGATACATCGTCACAGTGCTCACAGATCATTGAGATACATCGTCACAGTGCTCACAGGTCATAGAGATACATCGTCACAGTGCTCACAGATCATTGAGATACATCGTCACAGTGCTCACAGGTCATAGAGATACATTGTCACAGTGCTCACAGGTTATAGAGATACATCGTCACAGTGCTCACAGGTTATAGAGATACATCGTCACAGTGCTCACAGGTCATAGAGATACATTGTCACAGTGCTCACAGGTTATAGAGATACGTCGTCACAGTGCTCACAGGTTATAGAGATACATCGTCACAGTGCTCACAGGTTATAGAGATACATCGTCACAGTGCTCACAGGTTATAGAGATACATCGTCACAGTGCTCACAGGTCATTGAGATACATCGTCACAGTGCTCACATGTTATAGAGATACGTCGTCAATGTGCTCACAGGTCATAGAGATACATCGTCACAGTGCTCACAGGTTATAGAGATACATCGTCACTGTGCTCACAGGTCATAGAGATACATCGTCACAGTGCTCACAGGTTATAGAGATACATCGTCACAGTGCTCACAGGTCATAGAGATACATCGTCACAGTGCTCACAGGTCATAGAGATATATCGTCACAGTGCTCACAGGTCATAGAGATACATCGTCACAGTGCTCACAGGTCATAGAGGTACATCGTCACAGTGCTCACTGGTCATTGAGATACATCGTCACAGTGCTCAAGGGTCATAGAAATACATCGTCACTGTGCTCACAGATCATTGAGATACATCGTCACAGTGCTCACAGGGCACAGATACATCGTCACAGTGCTCACAGGTTATAGAGATACGTCGTCACAGTGCTCACAGGTCATAGAGATACATCGTCACAGTGCTCACAGGTCATAGAGATACATCGTCACAGTGCTCACAGGTCATAGAGATACATCGTCACAGTGCTCACAGGTCATAGAGATACATTGTCACAGTGCTCACATGTTATAGAGATACGTCGTCAATGTGCTCACCGGTCATAGAGATACATCGTCACAGTGCTCACAGGTTATAGAGATACATCGTCACAGTGCTCACAGGTCATAGAGATACATCGTCACAGTGCTCACAGGTTATAGAGATACATCGTCACAGTACTCACAGGTCATAGAGATACATCGTCACAGTGCTCACAGGTCATAGAGATATATCGTCACAGTGCTCACAGGTCATAGAGATACATCGTCACAGTGCTCACAGGTCATAGAGGTACATCGTCACAGTGCTCACTGGTCATTGAGATACATCGTCACAGTGCTCAAGGGTCATAGAAATACATCGTCACTGTGCTCACAGATCATTGAGATACATCGTCACAGTGCTCACAGGGCACAGATACATCGTCACAGTGCTCACAGGTTATAGAGATACGTCGTCACAGTGCTCACAGGTCATAGAGATACATCGTCACAGTGCTCACAGGTCATAGAGATACATCGTCACAGTGCTCACAGGTCATAGAGATACATCGTCACAGTACTCACATGTTATAGAGATACGTCGTCAATGTGCTCACCGGTCATAGAGATACATCGTCACAGTGCTCACAGGTTATAGAGATACATCGTCACAGTGCTCACAGGTCATAGAGATACATCGTCACAGTGCTCACATGTCATAGAGATACATTGTCACAGTGCTCACAGGTCACAGATACATCGGCAGCGCGTTCAGGGGTGTGTTGGTTGGTTTGTTGTTTAACGCCGCTATCAGCAATATTCCAGCTATATGACGGCGGTCTGTAAATAATCGAGTCTGGATCAGACAATCCAGTGATTGATATCATGAGTCTCGATCCACGCAATTGGGATCGATGACATGCATCAACCAAGTCCGCGAGCCTGAACACCCGATGCCGTCAGTCGCCTTTACGACAAGCATAGTCAACTTTTACGGCAAGCATGGGTTGCTGAAGACCTATTCTACCCCGGAATCTTCACGGGTCGCGCGTTCATGGGGAGGACAAAACGTATATGGTGACCACCAAGCACAGCTTTCTCTCTGCTCCGATTGTTATCTTTACTCACACTGTCAATCACTTGTTTGGGGGTCAAAGTTCAAGCAGGTACAAGCTTCACTGATACAGCTATCATATTACCGTACCAGCGCAAGGCACCAGCCATATATTCTACTTAAACATACACTCGGGGTATGAGGGGCAAGGGATTATGATTTAATAACATTTTTCGAAGAAGTGAGGTGAAATGGGGTTTAACATCGCATCCAAGATTATTGCACTTATATAGCGACGTGCATGCACGTGTGTGTGTGGCTTTTTGTACTAGTCCGGACTGATGCCGATTTATAGTGCTAGCTCACTGAGATACCATGCCGCAGTTTAAGATTAATACCCCACTCAGACACAGTATACTTGTCCTTGTTTTAGCCCCTTAATACCGATCGCAAGACAGGGTAACAACAAGTACCATCTTTTAACGTCTTTTGGTATGACGCGGCTTGGGATCGAACCCCGGAACTTCCGCTCTCCGGGCGGACGCCCTACCATTAGACCACGGAGGCGGTCTTTTTCAAGGAGAGACATACTAAGGTACCACGTCATAGTAGATGTACAAGGAATTCCTAGTTCAGTTAGATGTAATAAAGTATGATGTACCTATGACGTTCTGGCGTTTAGACAAGTCCTCTTCATCTGTTGCGCCGATGACGTTACACATTAGCAGAAGGGTCATCATCTAAAGGTCAAGCATTGAACAGTCGATCAGTGTTCTGCATAACAGTATTCATCGTATAATGGATACGAGTAATATCTCAGCTTGAGCGAGTGAGTTCGGTTTAACGTCGCTTTTAACAGTATTCCAGTTACATCACGGCGTGTCAGCTTAATGTGGGAGGTAACCCTGAAGTGATGTAGGTCTCGGATGTTTACCACTTCAGTGAAACCCACGAGCACGGGTATGGTGCTGACAAACCTAGAAATATAATCGGGGCGAACCGGGATTCAAACCCACAATCATAGGTTTCTGGCGTTCCCAAGGGACGCAACTCTCCACAGCGAGTGAGTATGGTTTTCCGCCGCTTTTAGCAATATTCCAGCAATATCACGGCGGGGGACACCAGAAATGGGCTTCACACACTGTACCCATGTCGGGAATCGAACCTGGGTCTTCGGCGTGACGAGCAAACGCTTTAACCACGAGGTTACCCGACCGCCCTCTCAGCTAGAGGTGTGCAATAATCAAACATATACATGTAGATATGGATACACTACTTGTTTCATTCAAATTTGAAAGCAATGGACACGTGTAGGTAGGAAGGTATATACGGAAAATGATCATCAGCGGTGAAAGTCTCTCGCGGAACAAGCAACTCACCAACTGCACAAAGTCCGCCATGTTGGTCCTAAGAGGTCTGACACACAAGGCTGTGAGGTGGAACTCTTATCAGCAGTATGTCCATGCACAACCACACAGATAGCACGGTGTGGCAGCGTCTGATAAGAATTGGAACAGCTCCTATGGATTAACAGTGCTTTTTCGTTATGATGGTCAGTGGGATTGAGGCGGCCAATATAGTATACCGGCTCTCCTTTATAATGTGAGACACCGACGTTTTAGTATAATTTAAAACACGGCTGCTTTTGTAAAACGTGAGATACGGCCGCTCCTGTTATGTGAGATACGGCCGCTCCTGTATATTGTGAGATACGGCCGCTCCTGTATATTGTGAGATACGGCCGCTCCTGTATAATGTGAGATACGACCGCTCCTATTACGTAAGATACGGCCGCTCTTGTACAATGTGAGACACGGCCGCTATTGTAAAATGTGAGATACGGCCGCTAATGTATAATATGAGATACGGCCACTCCTGTTTAATGTGAGATACGGCCGCTCTTGTACAATGTGAGATGCGGCCGCTCCTGTATAATGTGAGACACGGCCGCTATTGTAAAATGTGAGATACGGCCGCTCATGTGTAATATGAGATACGGCCACTCCTGTTTAATGTGAGATACGGTCGCTTCTGTGTAATGTGAGATACGGCCGCTCTTGTATAATGTGAGATACGGCCGCTCCTGCATTATGTGAGATACCGCCGCTCTTGTATAATGTGAGATATGGTCGCTCCTGTGTAATGTGAGATACGGTCGCTGTTTTACAATGTGAGATACGGCCGCTCTTGTATAATGTGAGATACGGCCGCTCTTGTATAATGTGAGATACGGCCGCTCTTGTATAATGTGAGATACGGCCGCTCTTGTATAATGTGAGATACGGCCGCTCTTGTATAATGTGAGATACGGCCGCTCTTGTACATGTATAGTGTGAGATACGGCCGCTCTTGTACAATGTGAGATACGGCCGCTCTTGTATAATGTTAGATACGGCCGCTCCTGTATAAAGTGAGATACGGCCGCTCCTGTATAATGTGAGATACGGCCGCTCCTGTATAATGTGAAATACGGCCACCCCTGTATAATGTGATTTTCATTCACTCCTGTATATGTGAGATACGACAGCTCCTGTATAATGTGAGATACGGCCGCTCCTGTGATATGTGAGATACGGCCGCTTATTTAATACACCGACCCCTGTAGAGTAAATGCGAGATACCGCCTCTCCTGTATTATGTGAGATGCGTCTCTCACGTATTATGTGAGATGCGTCTCTCAAGTATTATGTGAGATGCCGTCTCTCCAGTATTATGTGAGATGCCGTCTCTCCTGTATTATGTGAGATGCCGTCTTTCCAGTACAAACTGTGGTACTGGTTGTACAGTATGTGTCAGCGTGTCAGAGACCGCTGTGCATGATATACAACGATCCACCTACGTACATGTACAGTACTGTGATCCTGACCTTCAAACAACACGGCAAGGCTCGGCAAGATTCCCCCCCCCCCCCCCCAACCCCCTCATCCCCCTCTCCCAATTCGAGCCGTGAAGATTCCGGGGTAGAATAGGTCTTCAGCAACCCATGCCTACCGTAAAGGTAACTTTGCTTGTCGTAAAAGGCGACTAGCGGGATCGGGTGGTCTTGCTCGCTGACTTGGTTGATGCATGTCATCGATCCCAATTGCGTGGATCGATGCTCATGATATCAATCACTGGATTGTCTGGTCCAGACTAGATTATTTACAGACCGCCGTCATATAGCTGGAATATTGCTGAGTGCGGCGTTAAACAATAAACCAACCAACCAACCAACCTCTCCCAATTCGCCTGATGACATCACTGCAATGTATATCTGTGATATATTTAAACCATTTACGTCACAATTAAAAATTTCAAACACCAGCACAACTTCACAGCCATGTTTTATTGAAATATCAGCCTACTGAGCCTTCGTCTCGCAGATGTAGTTGTATGCCGTCGTAGCGGCAACGGACGCCCAGCCCCAGACAGTGAAACCCGAGTTCTTCTGGGGATTCAGCATGGTGATCGTGTAGGTGTACGACTTGTACCGGGGCTGACTGGGCCCCCAGTTTGTGAACGTGATGGGCTGGTAGTCGGGCCATGTCCAGGAGGAGGTCGCGGTTACATAGTACCCACCGATCCAGTAGCCTGTCACCTGCGTCTCTGGGAACAGATATGTATCAGTGTATGTAGATGAGATCTGACATGTGTTGTGTTTAACAGTGTTGATAGATCAGATCTGACATGTGTTGTGTTTAACAGTGTTGATAGATCAGATCAGACATGTGTTGCGTTGAACTGTGGTCCTTGGTCAGATCAGACATGTGTTGTGTTTAACAGTGTTGATAGATCAGACTAGACATGTGTTGTGTTTAACAGTGTTGATAGATCAGACTAGACATGTGTTGTGTTTAACAGTGTTGATAGATCAGACTAGACATGTGTTTTGGTTAACAGTGTTGATAGATCAGATCTGACATGTGTTGTGTTTAACAGTGTTGATAGATCAGATCAGACATGTGTTGTGTTTAACAGTGCCCCTTGATCAGATCAGACATGTGTTGTGTTTAACAGTGCCCCTTGATCAGATCAGACATGTGTTGTGTTTAACAGTGCCCCTTGATCAGATCAGACATGTGTTCTGTTTAACAGTGCCCCTTGATCAGATCTGACATGTGTTGTGTTTAACAGTGCCCCTTGATCAGATCTGACATGTGTTGGTTGAACTGTGGTCCTTGATGAGATCTGACGTATGTTGTGTTTAACAGTGTCCCTTGATCAGATCAGACATGTGTTGTGTTTAACAGTGCCCCTTGATCAGAGCAGACATGTGTTGTGTTTAACAGTGCCCCTTGGTCAGATCTGACGTATGTTGTGTTTAACACTGCCCCTTGATCAGATCTGACGTATGTTGTGTTTAACAGTACCCCTTGATCAGATCTGACGTATGTTGTGTTTAACAGTACCCCTTGATCAGATCTGACGTATGTTGTGTTTAACAGTACCCCTTGGTCAGATCTGATATGTGTTGTGTTTAACAGTGCCCCTTGATCAGATCTGACGTATGTTGTGTTTAACAGTGCCCCTTGATCAGATCAGACATATGTTGTGTTTAACAGTGCCCCTTGATCAGATCTGACGTATGTTGTGTTTAACAGTGCCCCTTGATCAGATCTGACGTATGTTGTGTTTAACAGTGCCCCTTGATCAGATCTGACGTATATGTTTGTAGATGAGATGCGACATGTATTATATGTACAGTTACCCGAATTACAACAAACTTAAAGGAGAGTCCATCTTTGATAAAGACCCGAGCACGGCGACCCGCATCATGTATATACTCACGTAAAGTTGAAATGAGAATTTGAGTTATAGCGTCACTTTCTGACTGCGTTTCTATGGAAACAAGATCCGCCCCTAATCCTCTGCACGCTGTCAAAGCAGTTGCCCAGGCCTTGGTTTCGTTGGAGAAGTAGTAGCACGAGTTACCTCCCTTGGAGAAGTTCTGGGGACATCCTTTCAATGACAGAACATTCTAATGACGTCATTAATACATGAACACATCGCTGAGACGCCCGTGTTAGATAATAGTAGGTCTACGACACGGTGGTAAGTTAATTGATTTTAATATTGGTGGGCTTGCCGTCGCTTTAAATATAAGACTGCGGGGAATTCGTTGATTGTTGAGTGAGTGAGTGAGTATGGTTTTACGTCGCTTTTAGCAATATTCCAGCAATATCACGGCGGGGGGTCACCAGAAATGGGCTTCACACATTGTACCCATGTCAGGAATCGAACCCGGGTCTTCGGCGTGACGAGCGAACGCTTTAACCACTAAGCTACCCGACCGCCCCTCGTTGTTTGTTGAAGCGCTAACAAAGTAACAATACTACATTGCTATGACCAGACAGTGTTGGATGTACTTCCCGAGTGCTATAGTACCAGTGATGTTATGACAAGGTAATGTCTGGCTACACTCGATTATCCAGAGTGTAAAATCGCCGTTCAATTAGGATAAATACCCTGGACTCGGAGTTATATTTTCGTTCACATTCGTCACCACTCGCCCCTTTCCGTAACCTGCAAGAAGACTCGTCCCTCTATCGAAGAATGTTAGGTGCGAAAACACGACAAACCAATCAGAATGCGCGTATGACTTCAAGTTCCTCTTCAAAGAATCCCGCAGAAATAATTTTGATTTTACATATGTCTTGCATCTAAATATATACCCAAGACACAGTTAAATGTGTTCAAACATACTTTATAATTCCGCGAGTCCCGGTGTGCTTTAAATTGCATCTGAAATATATATAATATTTGGGGAAATATCATTTGTGACCAACTCGTGTTATTCCGGGCCAAGCCGAATAGCGACTCGTGCCCCTCTCGTGGCCATTTTTGCGACCGAGTTCCGGCTTAGCGCAAACGGGCTTACCTAAAACAATTGTCACCTCTTTGCGTAATCGTTCACACATTTTACCAATATACTTTATATATTTCAGATGCAATTTAAAGCACATCGGGACTCGCGGAATTATACAGTATGATTGAACACATTTATCTGTGTCTTTGGTATATTTTTAGATGCAACACATATGTAAAATCAAAAATTTCTGCGGGATTCTTTGACGAAGAATTTGAAATCATACGCGCATTCTGATTGGTTTGTCGAATTTTCGCACATAACATTTATCGATAGGGGGACGAGTCTTCTTGCAGGTTACGGAAAGGGGCGAGTGGTGACGAATGGGGGAAATATATGTGAACCATTACGCAACGAGTTGACAATTGTTTTAGGTATGCCCGTTTGCGCTAAGACAGAACCCAGTCGCAAAAAATGGCCATGAGAGGACACGAGTCGCTATTCGGCTTGTCCCGGAATAGCACGAGTTGCTCATGAATGTTTCGTTCAGGACACGTCATAATCTCTATCTCACGTATCACTGACGTTCTTTCGCTCATGAGTGTTTGTTGTTGTTTGTTTGTTTGTTGTTTAACGCCGCACTCAGCTCATGAGTGTAAATTGAGTGGACCGTTCTTTTTAGTCTAGTCTATTTCGAATCGGACTAAAAACAAAGCAATGGTAGCGAATTGATCCAGGGTATTATCTCAGCAGGACAATGGAAGATGTCATACACACCCATTGCAGCAATATCGGTTGGCGGGACAGGTGAGGTGGAAGCGATTTGATTGACGGCGGCGCGACACAGCTGACTGTTGCAGTCGTTCGACTCACAGCACTCCATACACGTCATGGGGTCGGACCCGGTCTGGTTGCTGGGGACCAGACACGCCTGAAGGAAGATTGAACAGGGTGTCAGCCCGGTGGTCGGACTCTTGGTTGTTGGGGGTCACACACTCATTGGCAGAAGGCAATGGACATAACTCTTGTTGGTGCTGGAGTCGGGTGTGGAAGTGATTTGTGTGTGGGGGTTGGTGTGGCAGTGGTCTTTGTGCTGGGGCTGGGTGTGGCAGTGGTCTTTGTGCTGGGGCTGGGTGTGGCAGTGGTCTGTGTGCTGGAGTCGGATGCGGCAGTGGTCTGTGTGTTTGGGTGGGTGTGGCAGTGGTCTGTGTGCTGGAGTCGGGTGTGGCAGTGGTCTGTGTGCTGGGGCTTGGTGTGACAGTGGTCTGTGTGTTGGGATTTTGTGTCGCAGTGGTCTGTGTGCTGGGGTGGGTGCGGCAGTGGTCTGTGTGCTGGAGTCGGGTGTTGCAGTGGTCTGTGTGCTGGAGTCGGGTGTGGCAGTGGTCTGTGTGCTGGGGTGGGTGTGGCAGTGGTCTGTTTGCTTGGGCTTGGTGTGGCAGTGGTCTGTGTGCTGGGGCTGGGTGTGGCAGTGGTCTGTTTGCTTGGGCTGGGTGTGGCAGTGGTCTGTCTGCTGGGGTGGGTGTGGCAGTGGTCTGTCTGCTGGGGTGGTTGTTGCAGTGGTCTGTTTGCTTGGGGTGGGTGGGTGTGGCAGTGGTCTGTGTGCTGGGGCTGGGTGTGGCAGTGGTCTGTTTGCTTGGGCTGGGTGTGGCATTGGTCTGTCTGCTGGGGTGGGTGTGGCAGTGGTCTGTTTGCTGGGGTGGGTGTGGCAGTGGTCTGTTTGCTTGGGGTTGGTGTGGCAGTGGTCTGTGTGCTGGGGCTGGGTGTGGCAGTGGTCTGTGTGTTGGGGTGGGTGTGGCAGTGGTCTGTGTTTTGGGATTTTGTGTGGCAGTGGTCTGTGTGCTTGGGTCGGGTGTGGCAGTGGTCTGTGCTGGATTTGAATGTGGCAGTGGTCTGTGTGCTGGTGTGAGGTGTGATAGTGGTCTGTGTGTTGGAGTCGGGTGCGGTTGTGGTGTGTGTGCTGGGGTTAGTGTGGCAGTGGTGTGTGTGCTGGAGTCGGGTGTAGTTGTGGTCTGTGTGCTGGGGTGGGTGTGGCAGTGGTGTGTGTGCTGGAGTCGGGTGTAGTTGTGGTCTGTGTGCTGCGGTTAGTGTGGCAGTGGTGTGTGTGCTGGAGTCGGGTGTGGCAGTGGTCTGTGTGCTGGTGTGAGGTGTGATAGTGGTCTGTGTGTTGGAGTCGGGTGTGGTTGTGGTGTGTGTGCTGGGGTTAGTGTGGCAGTGGTCTGTGTGCTGGAGTCGGGTGTAGTTGTGGTCTGTGTACTGGGGTTAGTGTGGCAGTGGTGTGTGTGCTGGGGTTAGTGTGGCAGTGGTGTGCGGCTGGAGTCGGGTGTAGTTGTGGTCTGTGTGCTGGGGTGGGTTTGGCAGTGGCTTGTGTGCTGGAGTCGGGTGTGGTTGTGGTCTGTGTGCTGGGGTGGGTGTGGCAGTGGTGTGTGTGCTGGAGTCGGGTGTAGTTGTGGTCTGTGGGCTTGAATGGTCTTAACGAATTACAGTCGGGACAGAGATATGGGAGGATGGGATGTCGCAGGGATGAGGTTGGTAAGTTGGTAGAATGTAGAAAGATGCTGACCTGCTGAAACTCACAGCCGAGCCTGAACCGCAGTTGTCCTGTGGAATCAAGGGACGCCTGGGTATAGCAAACCTGGAACAAGTGAGTGAGTGAGTGAGTGAGTGAGTGAGTGAGTGAGTGAAAGAAAGAATGGTTTTACGCCGCCTTTAGCAATATTCCAGCAATATATTACGGCGGGGGACAACAGAAATGGTCTTCACACATTGTACACATGATGGGAATCGAACCCAGGTCTTCGGCGTGATGAGCGAACGCTTTAACCACTAGGCTACCCGACTGTCCCCCTGGAACAAGGATACCCACATTTATCCTATAACGGGTATGGGCGGTCGGGTAGCCTAGTGGTTAAAGCGTTCGCTCGTCACGCCGAAGACCCGGGTTCGATTCCCGAAATGGGTACAATGTGTGAAGCCTATTTCTGGTGTCCCCCGCCGTGATATTGCTGGAATATTGCTAAATGCGGCGTAAAACCATACTCACCCACATTTATTCTATAACGGGTAGGTTTCTCAGCAGGATAAAGCCAACGGATAAAAACGACATCCGTTGGGTCTCATATGCGGATAGAGATGCAAATATCGAAGGTCAAGTAGGGACAACTTTCAGTGTTTATAAACAAACACTGCGTAGCCCTTGTCATTCGGCGATCGTGTCAGACTTAACCATCGGGAATCTGGAGAAACTACTGGGGTAACTGCTATTATTATCCAAAAAATAGTCTAGCATACTTAAAAACAGTGTCTAACTGTGACGTAGCTAAGGCATTTCACAAGTTTTGGCAACGAGATATATATTGCGAATTTTCTCTTGCGAGAACACCAACCATGCGGGGTCAGTTTCGATATCTGTACTTGTAGACCTTTGCTGCTTGGACAGTTGGATGTGGCCGATATATGTCCGAATTGTTACTGTTTCGTTTTGTCGCTGTGTGTACATCTGACTGTAACAAGACAGGCCGACTGTCAACAACGTGACTGTGGCCGTGACGTCTCAAATACTAGGGTTGGAGTAGCTTCCCTTTAATAAATAGCAGACAGCGGACAGACCGAGGGATTGGCGCGCAAGGCAAGTTGATACAACCTGTGTAGGCAGTTGTTGCTATGCAAATATGAAGTCACGTGTATAAGACACAGTTGGAACTATATTGGCTACTGTCACTGTCCGACTGACACATCACTGACATTATGATGTAATATATATTAATGCGCACATCCCAGGAAAACCTGCAATTCTTAGGTAATGTTTCTTAGTGATGGGAAGAGATTTTCGAGCACAGAATTGAAGAATGACATTACATGATAAAGAGGTTATCACGCTTGTGTGTTTGGGGATGGTAAATATCCTGTGATGGAAATAAACACTATGCATTGAGCTCGCCAAGCTCTGTGTATCACACCTATAAGATAATCACACCTGTACATCATCACACCTGTAACCTGATCACTTCATTCAAATATGTAACTTGTCTCTCTGTCACATGTGTCACAGTTCCCAGTTAAAAGTGTTTCATCCTTTCAACCATTCAACACCTGTCTGTCCATCCTTCAGACGTATTTCTCTCGTCCGTACGTGCGTGGGTCTGTCTGTCCATCCTTCAGACGTATTTCTCTCGTCCGTACGTGCGTGGGTCTGTCTGTCCATCCCTCAGACGTATTTCTCTCGTCCGTCCGTGCGTGTGTCTGTCTGTCTATCCTTCAGACGTTTTTCTCTCGCTCGTACGTGCGTGTGTCTGTCTGTCCGTCCAACTCACCTCATCCACTCCACACACGGACCAACGGTCGCACATCCGGGGATCGGCCACCGAGTGACAGTCAAGGCAGCGGTGATCTGCAAATACAGAAAACAGCTTATTGGAGGCTGCTTGTCCCCGAAAATTCTTGAAAACAAGCATTTCTGCTTAAGAATGTGAGAAAAACAAGAAATGTGTGTGTGGCGCTATCGCGTCTACTTACTGCTGTTCTGGGTAGGTGGCGCTGTCATGTCTACTTACTGTTGTTCTGTGTTGGTGGCGCTATCGTGTCTACTTACTGCTGTTCTGTGTGGGGGTGCGCTATCATGTCTACTTCCTGTTGTTCTGTGTTGGTGGCGCTATCGCGTCCACTTACTGCTGTTCTGTGTTGGTGGCGCTATCGCGTCTACTTACTGTTGTTCTGTGTGGATAGCGCTATCGCGTCTTCTTACTGCTGTTCTGTGTGGATAGCGCTATCGTGTCTACTCACTGTTGTTCTGTGTCGGTGGCGCTATCGTGTCTACTTACTGTTGTTCTGTGTGGATAGCGCTATCGTGTCTACTTATTGTTGTTCTGTGTGGGTGGCGCTATCATGTCTACTTACTGCTGTTCTGTGTTGGTGGCGCTATCGTGTCTTCTTACTGTTGTTCTGTGTGGATAGCGCTATCGTGTCTACTCACTGTTGTTCTGTGTCGGTGGCGCTATCGTGTCTACTTACTGTTGTTCTGTGTGGATAGCGCTATCGTGTCTACTTACTGTTGTTCTGTGTGGGTGGCGCTATCATGTCTACTTACTGCTGTTCTGTGTTGGTGGCGCTATCGTGTCTACTTACTGCTGTTCTGTGTGGGTGGCGCTATCGTGTCTACTTACTGTTGTTCTGTGTGCATAGCGCTATCGCGTCTTCTTACTGCTGTTCTGTGTGGATAGCGCTATCGTGTCTTCTTACTGTTGTTCTGTGTGGATAGCGCTATCGTGTCTACTTACTGTTGTTCTGTGTCGGTGGCGCTATCGTGTCTACTTACTGTTGCTCTGTGTGGGTGGTTTTATGGTGTCTACTTACTTTTGTTCTGTGTCGGTGACTGCCCTGTCCCAACACCGCAGAGGGCACTGTTGCAGTCGTCACTGTCGCAACACTCGAAGCAGGTGGGCGTGTCCCTCTTCCCTAAAAGGACAGACATGCGCCGGTACATGTCACATCTCTGGGGGCGAAATCGGAAACATGGCTTATATCTGAATCTGGGAAATATCATAGACATAACAACCGTTATATGACGACCATTTAACTTGAAAGAGATGTTGATGCAAGAACAGCATTGGAGCTCACAGCCCATGTGAAAGTTCTGACAGACTGAGTTGTGACACTTACAGACACAAGTTCACAGCCCGTGTAATAGAACTGAAAGAGTGAGTTGTGACACTTACAGACCTGAGCTCACAGCCCATGTGATAGATCTGATACAGTGAGTTGTGACACTTACAGACTTGAGCTCACAGCCCATGTGATAGATCTGATACAGTGAGTTGTGACACTTACAGACTTGAGCTCACAGCCCATGTGGTAGGTCTGATACAGTGAGTTGTGACACTTACAGACTTGAGCTCACAGCCCATGTCGTAGGTCTGATACAGTAAGTTGTGACACTTACAGACTTGAGCTCACAGCCCATGTGGTAGGTCTGATACAGTGAGTTGTGACACTTACAGACTTGAGCTCACAGCCCATGTGATAGATCTGATACAGTGAGTTGTGACGCTTACAGACTTGAGCTCACAGCCCATGTGGTAGATCTGATACAGTGAGTTGTGACACTTACAGATTTGAGCTCACAGCCCATGTGATAGATCTGATACAGTGAGTTGTGACACTTACAGACTTGAGCTCACAGCCCATGTGGTAGGTCTGATACAGTGAGTTGTGACACTTACAGACTTGAGCTCACAGCCCATGTCGTAGGTCTGATACAGTGAGTTGTGACACTTACAGACTTGAGCTCACAGCCCATGTGGTAGGTCTGATACAGTGAGTTGTGACACTTACAGACTTGAGCTCACAGCCCATGTGGTAGGTCTGATACAGTGAGTTGTGACACTTACAGACTTGAGCTCACAGCCCATGTGATAGATCTGATACAGTGAGTTGTGACACTTACAGACTTGAGCTCACATTCCATGTGATAGATCTGATACAGTGAGTTGTGACACTTACATACTTGAGCTCACAGCCCATGTGATAGATCTGATACAGTGAGTTGTGACACTTACAGACTTGAGCTCACAGCCTATGTGGTAGGTCTGATACAGTGCGTTGTGACACTTACAGACTTGAGCTCACAACCCATGTGATAGATCTGATACAGTGAGTTGTGACACTTACAGACTTGAGCTCACAGCCCATGTGGTAGATCTGATACAGTGAGTTGTGACACTTACAGACTTGAGCTCACAGCCCATGTGGTAGGTCTGATACAGTGAGTTGTGACACTTACAGACTTGAGCTCACAGCCCATGTCGTAGGTCTGATACAGTAAGTTGTGACACTTACAGACTTGAGCTCACAGCCCATGTGGTAGGTCTGATACAGTGAGTTGTGACACTTACAGACTTGAGCTCACAGCCCATGTGGTAGGTCTGATACAGTGAGTTGTGACATTTACAGACTTGAGCTCACAGCCCATGTGATAGATCTGATACAGTGAGTTGTGACACTTACAGACTTGAGCTCACAGCCCATGTGATAGATCTGATACAGTGAGTTGTGACACTTACAGACTTGAGCTCACAGCCTATGTGGTAGGTCTGATACAGTGCGTTGTGACACTTACAGATTTGAGCTCACAACCCATGTGATAGATCTGATACAGTGAGTTGTGACGCTTACAGACTTGAGCTCACAGCCCATGTGGTAGATCTGATACAGTGAGTTGTGACACTTACAGACTTGAGCTCACAGCCCATGTGGTAGGTCTGATACAGTGAGTTGTGACACTTACAGACTTGAGCTCACAGCCCATGTGATAGATCTGATACAGTGAGTTGTGACGCTTACAGACTTGAGCTCACAACCCATGTGGTAGATCTGATACAGTGAGTTGTGACACTTACAGATTTGAGCTCACAGCCCATGTGATAGATCTGATACAGTGAGTTGTGACACTTACAGACTTGAGCTCACAGCCCATGTGGTAGGTCTGATACAGTGAGTTGTGACACTTACAGACTTGAGCTCACAGCCCATGTGGTAGGTCTGATACAGTGAGTTGTGACACTTACAGACTTGAGCTCACAGCCCATGTGGTAGGTCTGATACAGTGAGTTGTGACACTTACAGACTTGAGCTCACAGCCCATGTGGTAGGTCTGATACAGTGAGTTGTGACACTTACAGACTTGAGCTCACAGCCCATGTGATAGATCTGATACAGTGAGTTGTGACACTTACAGACTTGAGTTACATTCCATGTGATAGATCTGATACAGTGAGTTGTGACACTTACAGACTTGAGCTCACAGCCCATGTGATAGATCTGATACAGTGAGTTGTGACACTTACAGACTTGAGCTCACAGCCTATGTGGTAGGTCTGATACAGTGCGTTGTGACACTTACAGACTTGAGCTCACAACCCATGTGATAGATCTGATACAGTGAGTTGTGACGCTTACAGACTTGAGCTCACAGCCCATGTGGTAGATCTGATACAGTGAGTTGTGACACTTACAGACTTGAGCTCACAGCCCATGTGGTAGGTCTGATACAGTGAGTTGTGACACTTACAGACTTGAGCTCACAGCCCATGTGATAGATCTGATACAGTGAGTTGTGACGCTTACAGACTTGAGCTCACAGCCCATGTGGTAGATCTGATACAGTGAGTTGTGACACTTACAGATTTGAGCTCACAGCCCGTGTGATAGATCTGATACAGTGAGTTGTGACACTTACAGACTTGAGCTCACAGCCCATGTGATAGATCTGATACAGTGAATTGTGACACTTACAGACTTGAGCTCACAACCCATGTGGTAGGTCTGATACAGTGAGTTGTGACACTTACAGACTTGAGCTCACAGCCCATGTGATAGATCTGATACAGTGAGTTGTGACACTTACAGACTTGAGCTCACAGCCCATGTGGTAGGTCTGATACAGTGAGTTGTGACACTTACAGACTTGAGCTCACAGCCCATGTGGTAGGTCTGATACAGTGAGTTGTGACACTTACAGACTTGAGCTCACAACCCATGTGGAAGGTCTGATACAGTGAGTTGTGACACTTACATACCTCAGCTCACAGCCCATGTGGTAGATCTGATACAGTGAGTTGTGACACTTACAGACTTGAGCTCACAGCCCATGTGATAGATCTGATACAGTGAGTTGTGACACTTACAGACCTGAGCTCACAGCCCATGTGGTAGGTCTGATACAGTGAGTTGTGACACTTACAGACTTGAGCTCACAGCCCATGTGGTAGCCTCGTATCATGTTTCTGTTGTAATACTCCCTGGTATAGCACTCCTGAAACAGAGATAGAAAGCAGGTAGAACACGTACAGAACACAAGTAGAACAAGGTAAATCACGCGTAGACCACGTAAAGAACACAAGTAGAGTACATGTAGAACACAGGTGCCACACACAGAACACGTAAAGAACACAAGTAGAGCACATATAGAACACAGGTGGCACACACAGAACACGTAAAGAACACAAGTAGAACAAGGTAAATCACGCGTAGAACACGTAAAGAACACAAGTAGAGTACATGTAGAACACAGGTGCCACACACAGAACACGTAAAGAACACAAGTAGAACAAGGTAAATCACGCGTAGAACACGTAAAGAACACAAGTAGAGTACATATAGAACACAAGTGGCACACACAGAACACGTAAAGAACACAAGTAGATTACATATAGAACACAGGTGGCACACACAGAACACGTAAAGAACACAAGTAGAACAAGGTAAATCACGCGTAGACCACGTAAAGAACACAAGTAGAGTTTGCATAGAACACAGGTGCCACATACAGAACACGTAAAGAACACAAGTAGAACAAGGTACATCACGCGTAGAACACGTAAAGAACACAAGTAGAGTACACATGTAACACAAGTGGCCCACACAGAACACGTAAAGAACGCAAGTAGAGTACATATAGAACACAGGTAGCACACACAGAAAACGTAAAGAACGCAAGTAGAACAAGGTAAATAACACATAGAACACTTACAGAACACAAGTAGGACACAAGTAGAAGACAGGTAGAACACATTTAGAATGCAGGTATGAAAATAATAGATATACCACAGGTAGAATAGAACATAGGTAGATCACAGGTGGGACGTGGGTAGAACACAAATAGACCAAACGAAGACAACTAGTAGAAAACACATAGATAACAGGTGGATCACATGTCGAACACGGTGAACCACAGGTAGATCACAGCTGCACAACATACAGTCCACAGGTAGGACAAAAGAAGGATACATGCAAATTATCGGTATAGTACAATCAAGCTGAATACAAGTAGAACACATGTATGCATTTTGCGGGTAGACCACAGTTAGACCAAGGCAGATAACAGGTGATCGCAGGACGATCACAGGAACATCAGAGTTTGAAAACAGGTGGCATATACAGGTAAACGGAATGTAGCATACATGTAGAAAACAGGTAGATAACAAATCACAGCTTGAACACAGTTAGATTACAGGTAAAATACATGCCGACCAAAGGAAGGACACAGATAGACCACAGGTAGAATACAGGTACACATTGCCTTTAACCCGCAATGACGCTCCAGACAGGAGTTACATGGCACATTCATATTTTAGTGATATGTATTTTTAATAAACATACTTCCTCCTCTCCACATGAAACCCACATGGTGCAGTCCGAGGGCTTGGCCACTTCATGACACTCTAGACAGCGTATACCATTATACAACGGAGCTGGGGGAGATAAATGTATATTCATGACACTACAGTCAGCGTATACCATTATACTCCGGAGCTGGGGAGATAAATGTATATTCATGACACTCTACACAGCGTATACCATTATATGCCGGAGCTGGGGGAGATAAATGTATATTCATGACACTACAGTCAGCGTATACCATTATACACCGGAGCTGGGGGAGATAAATGTATATTCATGACACTACAGTCAGCGTATAACATTATACACCGGAGCTTGGGGAGATAAATATATATTCATGACACTACAGTCAGCGTATACCATTATACGCCGGAGCTGGGGGAGATAAATGTATATTCATGACACTCTAGACAGCGTATACCATTATACGCCGGAGATGGAGGAGATAAATGTATATTCATGACACTACAGTCAGCGTATACCATTTTACACCGGAGCTGGGGGAGATATATGTATATTCATGACACTACAGGCAGCGTATACCATTATAAACAGGAGTTGGGGGAGATAAATGTATATTCATGACACTACAGTCAGCGTATACCATTATACACCGGAGCTGGGGGAGATATATGTATATTCATGACACTACAGTCAGCGTATACCATTATACACCGGAGCTGGGGGAGATAAATGTATATTCATGACACTCTAGACAGCGTATACCATTATACACCGGAGCTGGGGGAGATATATGTATATTCATGACACTACAGGCAGCGTATACCATTATACGCCGGAGCTGGGGGAGATAAATGTATATTCATGACACTACAGACAGCGTATACCATTATACACCGGAGCTTGGGGAGATAAATGTATATTCATGACACTCTAGACAGCGTATACCATTTTACACCGGAGCTAGTGTGGACATTTTTTATCATGCTTTTATACATCGAGTCTGTATACACAATTGTATTTAGCACATGGAACTTCTGACAGACGTACAACAACTAGTCGATTCAAACAGTTCCTCAAAAGGAGCGCTGACATGAGCGTATGTATGTTCAAATTGACTGTTAAGAACTGGGGTGTTGATATGAGGGAATGCACATGACACTCTAGACAGCGTATACCGTTATACACCGGAGTTCGGTAGATAATGTTTCATCACTCTTTTATTCCTCGAAGGATGTATACACAATTGGATTTAGCACATGGAACTTCATGTTTACACTGACAGACGTACAACAACTAGTCGATTCAAACAGTTCCTCAAAAGGAGAGCTGACATGAGCGTATGTATGTTCAAATTGACTGTTAAGAACTACCTCAGACAGTCGATGACTTTGACAGCGCGTCGTAATACGTTTACAAGTACGGGACGTCAGAATGTCGGACACTGTAAATCGTGACGGGAGGGATTTCAGAAGTTATAAATTAACCTGTGGCGGTTACAAGTGTCAGTCATCACTGATAAATAGCATGACAGGTGAGATAAATTCATAGATTGCTGTAGGTTGCCAGTCAAGACGGGGATCGAGTTGATAGTTTGAGTGTACATTTCTTCGGTTTATTCACTGTCATGGGTCGTAGGGAGGATATTCGCGAACTGGCATAAAGTCAAACTCTCTTTCTTTTTCCAATGTATGCTAATACACTGACTTCAATATTAAAGAGTCTAAATGATAGGAAACAACGCTTCTGTATGTATTCTCCAGGAATGTGGAAGTAGTCCGTCAGTGTTTACGCCATGGCAAGAATACTCTCTCGTGAAAACGTATGAAATTTACAATATGTTGTTCATACGTCGACGAACGTCATTTTCGTCCAACGGCATACATTATACACCAGAAATTGGTATCCGTTGGGGTCATATGCGGATGCAAATATAAAAGGTCAGGCAGGCAGTTCCTTATTTACAAACAAACATAGCGCCACCCTTGTTTATCTGGACAAATTATTGTGATAAATGTTATCATTATAAATCTAGTAGTCTAAGATACCGAAAACCAGAGTCTAGCAGGGGTGAAACTGAGCATTTTAATATATAGGATATAGAGAGAGATATAAATTGTGAAACAACTTTAGTGAGACCGCTCGTGGAATTAGTTTCCTTATCTGTAATGGGAGACTTTGCCCCAATTATAACAGAATATGCCTGAATTGTTACGTTGTTTAATTTTGTCGCTCTGTGGATATCTGTCTACATTTCTTGACGTTAGGACAGGCCAGACAGTTTGCAAACAAACGTGACGTCGCATAGACTAGAGTAGCTTCCCTTTGATAAAGGGCAATAACTCTAGCGGACGGACTGATGGAATGCCGTGAAAACAACTGGACAGTCTGATATGTGTAGGTAATTGTTATTTTGCCTATATCAAGTTACGCCACTGTCTAAAAACAGGTTTCATTTGAAACTATATCACCTGTTGTCACTGTCCGACTGACAAATCACTGACCTTCAGAAGTTATACGCATTAAAACATTGCAGGAATATTTGCAATGTTTAGATACCGTTTGTAAGTGCTGAGAAAAGGTTTATCGACGACAGAAATTAAGAATGACATTATATGATCAAGAGGTTATCTCGCCCGTGAATGTTGGGATGGTAAATATATCGTGTTCGAAATAAACAAAGTATTCAGTTAGGCAAGGATCCCAAACAATATTCACGTGATAACTCTATATATCCTCGTGACTATTATATACCATGCGTTATCCTGAACGTGTTGGACTGTATGTACTTACTAGCTGTGACGTCACACCGCACATCGACGACTGCCTGCACAATAAGCGCCACCTACAACAAACGCCACACTTAAACCCAAAACACAAACATTGACCATTTCGTCTGAAGGTGTCAAATCTACATTCGAAACCTCGTAAATGAGCTTACCTCCATTCGTCCATGACAAAGTGTGAAAAAAATTATTCGGTGACAGCGGAACTGATGAGTGATTGTGCATCCATTGCATCATATATTTTCATTGGGGTATAGGTGAGGTAAAATGGGGTTTAACGTCGCAACCCAAGATGATTGCACATAAAGCGACGCGTGTGTGTGTGTGTGTGTGTGTGTGTGTGTGTGTGTGTGTGTGTGTGTGTGTGTGTGTCTGCTTGTACTATATTGTTCTATAAATATTTCGTTTCTAAGAAACTACAAAATGTGCGGGTTAAATTGAAAACGATTAAATAATCTGCAAAACAGTAACCGACGATGAGGGACACATGATGATTTGGAACGTGCTACAATCTTTTAATTATGATAATAATGATAATAATAATAATAAGTGCATTTATAATACGCCAGATTCCTTTGACCTGTCAATGGATCAGTGAGCGCTCGATTTTCCTTTCCAGCTCCCAGGGGAGTATACAACCCATGTCTTTTAACACAAACTGATACACAAACATATTAACTTTAATTTTGTCCCAATCTAATATCTGAGTTGAACCGTTTTTGTCTTTTTTTTCTAAATACAAATGTTATTTTTGCATGTTCTACACGTGGTCCCGTTGTCAGACGTCAGAACATATCACCTTGGTATATATTGATCTGACAATATTTGCTTTCTAAGCAACTTCAAAATATACAAGTTTGAGGTGAGGTGAAATTGGGTTTAACGTCGCTTCCAAGATTATTGCACTTATATAGCGACGTGTATGTACGTGTGTGTGTGTGTGTGTGTGTGGCTGCTTGTACTAGTCCGGACTGATGCCGATTTTATAGAGCTGGCTCACTGAGATACCATGCCGCAGTTTAACATGAATACCCCACTCAGACATAGTATACTGGGTAACAACAAGTACCAACTTTTAACGTCTTTTGGTACTACGCGGCAGGGGATCGAACCCCGGACCTTTCGCTCCCCGGGCGGATGCTCTACCACTAGACCACGGAGGCAGTCCTCATTCGGTTAGATGGTCACATGCAGAGATCAACTGGTATCGGTTCTAATCGGCGTATGTTTGCACTCATATACTCCAACCATCACTTTCACCATGATACAATGTAAGACAATAAAAAATCCTGAAGTCAGCAATACTCTTTTACTCGTTGTTTATAAGAATGTCTGTCTACAATGTAGCAACCAAATGGCTTCAAATCCCACAAAGCGATTTCGCAACGTTTATTAAGTATCTTCCGTAGGTGAAATTGCTCACGATTTTGTGAAAATAAGTGCTTTTGTTTAAATATTTTCTTTTGCGGTTCTACGGAATGAGAGTAATCATGGTCGTACGTTGTCCACTGTCGGACAAATCAAAACGCAGTATTATAGAATATGTCACGATCGAACTACATTTCGTGTTTTCATGTCTACTGCCCAGTACATGACCTGGCGCCTTAAACAAATACTGTATCTACAAAGATATTTAATTGTAATGAACAAATATTGTTTTACGACATTCAGCTGGAAATGTCACGACGTTGTGCCATTAGAAATCAAAACATTTCTGTCATGTTCCGCGTTAGTATTTATAATTTCCAATTCACATGCCATCATGAGCTTAACACGGTCATTAAATGTTCTAACTTACCAGTACTGTGAGTGTTGTGTACATGATGGTACCCGTCACAGAATTAGCAACAACACGATCATGTCTAGGCCAAAACGACAGCAAACGTGTCACGTCCCAGCATGCGTGACCACTATCGAACGACGAACACGTCGTGCAATGTGGGACCAGCATACGGACATACGTATTCATTATGGCGCTGTACTTTGTGAGACCAGCATACGGACATACGTATTCATTATGGCGCTGTACTTTGTGAGACCAGCATACGGACATACGTATTCATTATAGCGCTGTACTTTGTGAGACCAGCATACGGACATACGTATTCATTATGGCGCTGTTCTTTGTGAGACCAGCATACGGACATACGTATTCATTATGACGCAACATTTTGGGGGGCCATAATACGAGGATATGTCTTTGTTATGCCGCTGTGCTATGTGGGGCAACAAACCGTACATACGTATTCATTGTGACGCTGTACTATGTGGGGCCATAATACGTGCATACGTATTCATTATTACGCTTATGCCATTATTAAACATATCCCAACCCAAGCTCTTGAGTTTATTGTTCAATTCTGGAACAGGAAACGAAACATTATTTACCTTGTTGTAGCTGCCTGTATCTTATCTCCCGGATGAGGTCACGTGGGACTACCCCGTGTGCCAGACACAGCTGACAGGTCGAGATATAACTGGAATACGGTTAAAGCGGAGATAAACTCTATTCACTCACTCACTACTCAAATGTGCAGAATTATCTCCCTTCGTCGCGCAAGGATCTGATGGTCATGGGTGTAAATTTCTTATTTGCTCAGATTATAATCTTTGTTCTGTCCGCCTCCGGCCAGTCTGTACATTAACAAAGCGCAAAACGTCGACGTGCATGTATTGACTATTGTTAACATTGAAACCAGAATCCGCTAAAGTTCCTGTAAATGTATTGACTATTGTGGGTGTTAACATGGGGACCAGGATCCACCAAAGTTCCTGTAAATGTATTGACTATTGTGGGTGTTGACATTGTGACCAGAATCCGCTAAAGTTCCTGTAAATGTCTTGACTATTGTGGGTGTTGACATGGTGATCAGAATCCACTAAAGTTCCTGTAAATGTATTGACTATTGTGGGTGTTGACATGGTGATCAGGATCCACCAAAGTTCCTGTAAATGTATTGACTATTGTGGGTGTTGACATGGGGACTAGAATTCGCTAAAGTCCCTGTAAATGTATTGACTATTGTGGGTGTTGACATGGTGATCAGGATCCACTAAAGTTCCTGTAAATGTATTGACTATTGTGGGTGTTAACATTGAAACCAGAATCCGCTAAAGTTCCTGTAAATGTATTGACTATTGTGGGTGTTACCATGGTGATCAGAATCCACTAAAGTTCCTGTAAATGTATTGACTATTGTGGGTGTTGACATTGTGACCAGAATCCGCTAAAGTTCCTGTAAATGTCTTAACTATTGTGGGTGTTGACATGGTGATCAGGATCCACCAAAGTTCCTGTAAATGTATTGACTATTGTGGGTGTTGACATGGGGACTAGAATTCGCTAAAGTCCCTGTAAATGTATTGACTATTGTGGGTGTTGACATGGTGATCAGGATCCACTAAAGTTCCTGTAAATGTATTGACTATTGTGGGTGTTAACATTGAAACCAGAATCCGCTAAAGTTCCTGTAAATGTATTGACTATTGTGGGTGTTGACATGGGGACCAGAATCCACTAAAGTTCCTGTAAATGTATTGACTATTGTGGGTGTTGACATGGGGACCAGAATCCGCTAAAGTCCCTGTAAATGTATTGACTATTGTGGGTGTTGACATGGTGATCAGAATCCGCTAAAGTCCCTGTAAATGTATTGACTATTGTGGGTGTTGACATGGGGACCAGAATCCGCTAAAGTCCCTGTAAATGTATTGACTATTGTGGGTGTTGACATGGGGACCAGAATCCGCTAAAGTCCCTGTAAATGTATTGACTATTGTGGGTGTTGACATGGTGATCAGAATCCGCTAAAGTCCCTGTAAATGTATTGACTATTGTGGGTGTTGACATGGGGACCAGAATCCGCTAAAGTCCCTGTAAATGTATTGACTATTGTGGGTGTTGACATGGGGACCAGAATCCGCTAAAGTCCCTGTAAATGTATTGACTATTGTGGGTGTTGACATGGTGACCAGAATCCGCTAAAGTCCCTGTAAATGTATTGACTATTGTGGGTGTTGACATGGGGACCAGAATCCGCTAAAGTCCCTGTAAATGTATTGACTATTGTGGGTGTTGACATGGGGACCAGAATCCGCTAAAGTTCCTGTAAATGTATTGACTATTGTGGGTGTTGACATGGTGACCAGGATCCACTAAAGTTCCTGTAAATGTATTGACTATTGTGGGTGTTGACATGGGGACCAGGATCCGCTAAAGTTCCTGTAAATGTATTGACTATTGTGGGTGTTGACATTGAAACCAGAATCCACCAAAGTTCCTGTAAATGTATTGACTATTGTGGGTGTTGACATGGTGATCAGGATCCACCAAAGTTCCTGTAAATGTATTGACTATTGTGGGTGTTGACATTGAAACCAGAATCCGCTAAAGTTCCTGTAAATGTATTGACTATTGTGGGTGTTGACATTGTGACCAGAATCCGCTAAAGTTCCTGTAAATGTATTGACTATTGTGGGTGTTACCATGGTGATCAGAATCCGCTAAAGTTCCTGTAAATGTATTGACTATTGTGGGTGTTGACATGGTGACCAGGATCCACTAAAGTTCATTTGTCTGCAGCTCATATCAAGGATTGGCCCCAGGCTCTTTAACAGACCCGGTTCAGAAGTACATCCCCACCAGGAGTCTACGATCTGTTGACGAGATGCTCCTTTATGTTCCAAAGTCCTTTGGATAAAGAATATTTTCTCACTGTGTCTTTTCCTCTGGAACCATCTGCCGATGGAACTGAAACATTCTCCATCCCTTTCTGCTTTCAAGGTCAGTCTCAAGACGTTTCTTTGTGAAAGAACTTCTGACTGTCGCAACTGCTCCTGTGCGCTTTTAGCAACCACATACTGGATGGAAAACCCCGCCTTAGAAATAGAATCAGCATCGTCGTCGTCGTCATCATCATCATCATCATCGTCGTCGTTGTTGTTGTTGTTGTTGTTGTTGTTGTTGTTGTTGTTGTTGTTGTTGTTAACAATATGGGGGCGGTCGGGTAGCCTAGTGGATAAAGCTCGCTCGTCACGCCGAAGACCCGGGTTCGATTCCCGACATGGGTACAATGTGTGAAGCCCATTTCCGGTGTCCCCCGCCGTGATATTGTTGGAATGTTGCTAAAAGCGGCGTAAAACCTCACTCACTCACTCACTATTAACAATATGTGATGCCGTTTGGACTATTCAATACAATGTTTTCATAGGATTTAGGATGATCAACAACTGGTGTCAACTGATAATCGGTTACATCAACTGAAGGCAGGCGAAGGAAATGATTTCTGAAGCACGAGGGACATAACAACTTGTTTGCGGACTGCATCAAGTAACCTGCATTGATCACGTGGCACCAAACGACAAATCAAATGAAAGTTTATTCTGCAAACGACAAGCAACAAGCATATAAATACTAATGAAGAGTGTTTTAATCTTCATGAATTTTCATTTGTTGTCAAAGGACAATGTGCATATCATTTTCTACTATTCTGAAGAATTATTTCTATACTAAGAAGCAAATGAAACCTCCTCTCAGTTGATGTTTGTTATTCATTTGAAAATATCTTAAGTTAGCAATATTATAAAAAAAATCAATGTACTTGCGTTCAGTCAGCACTCAAGGAATATTTCCGAATGGTTATATTTTAATAAAGATAAATAAATTTAAATTTTTTAAAAATTTAGAAAAGAATGTTAGCATTATACACTGATGATGTGATCTTAGACATCTTATGTGTGAAAATCAATACATTTGCTTTTTTCGCCACAAAGTTCCATTTCATGGTGGGGTCATTGGATCGTTTAGTTAATTTCTTACCCCTTCTTCACTGATCCAATCTAGTTTTACCCAGCCACTGATTATGTTTTGCAAAACTATACCGGAATGAGTGATGGTTAAATGGACATAAACACTTCTTTCAATTTTCAATTACATAAACAACAATATAAGCAACTATCCGTGTACACTTAATTCGAGGGAATTCTATGAGGCCTAAACATTAATCTACACATGTCTGGATTCTATGTGAAATCACATTGTATCTGTGTTTGAACATATATGCCAAACACCAATTACGTTTATCCTGCACAGAATACATTCTGGCCAAGGGTCAACATGCTTTCCGAATCAGTACGATAGGCGAAATACCTTTATGACGTCATAGTTAGAACGAGCGAAATACCTTTATGACGCCATAGCTATGTAATGTCTTGTAACATCGCTATACTTGGCACGATACAGAGATTCACATTACACAGAGCACTTCTGTCAGGCAGAGCAGCCTCGAGGTGTCGTGTTGGGTTCTTCCTCCGTCCTCTCCGGCCCCCTCTCCTCTACCTTATCCTCATCCCTGGTGCCATGTTTCAGCACCCTGGTGAACTCGCTGTAGTTGAACTTGCCGTTGGTAATGGGTGCATCCAAGAACAGGTCATCCACCATCTCATCCGTCCATCTTTCCCCCATTGTTGTCAAATCACTGCGCAGTTCATCTTCCGGGAGATAGCCTAGGGGAGATAACTCAAATGAACAACCATCTCAACAGCAGCAGCAAAAACAGCAACAGCAACATCAACAACAACAACAACAACAACAACAACAACAACAACTACTACTACTACTACTACTACTACTACTACTACTACTCGTACCAGTCGACCACGCTTGTCGTAAGAGTGAGTGAGTGAGTGAATACGGTTTTACGCCGCTTTTAGCAATATTCCAGCAATATCACGGCGGGGGACACCAGAAATGGGCTTCACACATTATACCCATGTCGGGAAGCGTATCCGGGTTTTCGGCGTGACGAGCGAACGCTTAAACCACTTCAACCACTAGGCTATCCAACCGCCCCGCCCGCGGGTGGTCAGGCTCGCTGACTTGGTTGATGGATGTCATCGTATCCCAATTGCGTGGATCGATGCTCATGATGTCAATCACTCGATTGTCTGGTCCAGACTCGATTATTTACAGACCGCCGTCATAAAGCTGGAATATTGCTGAGTGCGGCGTTAAACAACAAACAAACAAACAAACTACTACCACTACTACTACTACTACTACTACTACTACTACTACTACTCTACTACCACTACCGACCCGTGAAGGTCTGGGGTAGAATAGGTCTTCAGCAACCGATGATTACTACTACCACTACTACTACTACTACTACTACTACTACTACTACTACTACCGCTACTACTACTACTACTACTACTACTACCGCTACTACTACTGCTACTACTACCGCTACTACTACTACTACTACTACTCTGCCACTACTGCTACTATAACTACTACTACTCTACTGCTACTACTGCTACTGCTACTACTACCACTACTACTATTACTACTACTACTACTACTACTACTACTACTACCACCACTACTATTACTACTACTACTCTGCTACTACTACCTCTGCTACTACTACTACACTACTACTACTACTACTACAACTACTTCTGCTACTACCACTACTACTATTACTACTACTTCTCTGCTACTACTACCTCTGCTACTAATTACTTATACTAAAACAACGACAACGTATACGACCACTAAGGGTAATCTTCTACTGCTACTACTACAACTACAACTACACCCTGTACTACTGCAACAGCTACTACGACAACTACTACTAGATGAATGAAGGAGTTTGCAAGCAACTATATTGCAATGGCATATTCACCTCTACGTCTGCCATCAAGGCAGTGGAAGGCGTTCACGATGACGTCTTCAGGATCTGTACCTTCCAGCTTCTGTCCAAACATTGAGAGGAACATGGTGAAGTTTATGGGTCCTGGTGCCTCCTTCATCATGGCGTCCAAATCGGCGTCAGTTGTCGTCTTCCCGAGGGAAGTCAGCATCCTGTTCAGGTCATCCTTGTCTATAAACCCGTCTCCGTTCTGGTCTATCATGTTGAACGCTTCCTGTCACAACAGCAGACAGTTCGAGACCCAGATTTTAATACTTGTACTCTACTAATTCCACAGGACATTGGTCAAAGTGACTTAAATTCCTGATGCGGACTGGGTCACAGATGGGCATGGCTCTAAGTTACTTTGTTTATATTCCTGTACCTGATCTGGGTCAAAGATGGGCATGGCTCTAAGTTACTTTGTTTATATTCCTGTACCTGATCTGGGTCAAAGATGGGCATGGCTCTAAGTTACTTTGTTTATATTCCTGTACCTGATCTGGGTCAAAGATGGGCATGGCTCTAAGTTACTTTGTTTATATTCCTGTACCTGATCTGGGTCAAAGATGGGCATGGCTCTAAGTTACTTTGTTTATATTCCAGTACCTGATCCTGGCCAAAGATGGGCATGGCTCTAAGTTACTTTGTTTATATTCCTGTACCTGATCCTGGTCAAAGATGGGCATGGCTTTAAGTTGCTTTGTTTAAATTCCTGATGCGGACTGGGTCAAAGATGGGCATGGCTCTAAGTTACATTGTTTATATTCCTGTACCTGATCTGGGTCAAAGATGGGCATGGCTCTAAATTACTTTGTTTATATTCCTGTACCTGATCCTGGTCAAAGATGGGCTTGGCTCTAAGTTACTTATTTTATATTCCTGATGCGGACTTGGTCAAAGATGGTCATGGCTCTTTGTTACTTTGTTTATATTCATGTACTCGATCCTGGTCAAAGATGGGTATGGCTCTAAGTTACTTTGTTTATATTCTTGATGCGGACTGGGTCAAAGATGGGCATGGCTCTAAGTTACTTTGTTTATATTCCTGTACCTGATCTGGGTCAAAGATGGGCATGGCTCTATGTTACTTTGTTTATATTCATGTACTCGATCCTGGTCAAAGATGGGTATGGCTCTAAGTTACTTTGTTTATATTCCTGATGCGGACTGGGTCAAAGATGGGCATGGCTCTAAGTTACTTTGTTTACATTCCCGTACCTGATCCTGGTCAAAGATGGGCATGGCTGGCTCTAAGTTACTTTGTTTATATTCCTGTACCTGATACTGGTCAAAGATGGGCATGGCTCTAAGTTACTTTGTTTATATTCTTGATGCGGACTGGGTCAAAGATGGGCATGGCTCTAAGTTACTTTGTTTACATTCCTGTACCTGATCTGGGTCAAAGATGGGCATGGCTCTATGTTACTTTGTTTATATTCATGTACTCGATCCTGGTCAAAGATGGGTATGGCTCTAAGTTACTTTGTTTATATTCTTGATGCGGACTGGGTCAAAGATGGGCATGGCTCTAAGTTACTTTGTTTACATTCCTGTACCTGATCCTGGTCAAAGATGGGCATGGCTGGCTCTAAGTTACTTTGTTTATATTCCTGTACCTGATACTGGTCAAAGATGGGCATGGCTCCAAGTTACTTTGTTTATATTCCTGTACCTGATACTGGTCAAAGATGGGCATGGCTCTTAGTTACTTATTTTATATTCCTGATGCGGACTTGGTCAAAGATGGTCATGGCTCTATGTTACTTTGTTTACATTCCTGTACCTGATCTGGGTCAAAGGTGGGCATGGCTCTAAGTTACTTTGTTTATATTCCTGTACCTGAACTGGGTCAAACATGGGCATGGCTCTAAGTTACTTTGTTTATATTCCTGTACCTGATCTGGGTCAAAGATGGGCATGGCTCTATGTTAATTTGTTTACATTCCTGTACCTGATCCTGGTCAAAGATGGTCATGGCTCCAAGATACTTTGTTTATATTCCTGTACCTGATACCGGTCAAAGATGGGCATGGCTCTAAGTTACTTATTTTATATTCCTGATGCGGACTTGGTCAAAGGTGGTCATGGCTCTAAGTTACTTTGTTTACATTCCTGTACCTGATCTGGGTCAAAGATGGGCATGGCTCTAAGTTACATTGTTTATATTCCTGTACCTGATCTGGGTCAAAGATGGGCATGGCTCTAAGTTACTTTGTTTATATTCCTGTACCTGATCTGGGTCAAAGATGGGCATGGCTCTAAGTTACTTTGTTTATATTCCTGTACCTGAACTGGGTCAAACATGGGCATGGCTCTATGTTAATTTGTTTACATTCCTGTACCTGATCTGGGTCAAAGATGGGCATGGCTCTAAATTACTTTGTTTATATTCCTGTACCTGATCCTGGTCAAAGATGGACATGGCTCTAAGTTACTTTGTTTACATTCCTGTACCTGATCTGGGTCAAACATGGGCATGGCTCTAAATTACTTTGTTTATATTCCTGTACCTGATCTGGGTCAAAGATGGGCATGAATCTAAGTTATTTTGTTTATATTCCTGTACCTGATCCTGGTCAAAGATGGGCATGGCACTAAGTTACTTTGTTTATATTCCTGTACCTGATCTGGGTCAAAGATGGGCATGGCTCTAAGTTACTTTGTTTATATTCCTGTACCTGATCTGGGTCAAAGATGGGCATGGCTCTAAGTTACTTTGTTTATATTCCTGGACCTGATCTGGGTCAAAGATGGGCATGGCTCTAAGTTACTTTGTTTATATTCCTGTACCTGATCTGGGTCAAAGATGGGCATGGCTCTAAGCTACTTTGCTAATATTCCTGATCTGAACTGGGTTTACAAAGATATAGATCTAATTTATTGCACCTGATATCCCTGATATGAAATTGGTCTACATGGATATAGATCTAAGTTATTTGACCTTATATTCCTGATATGAAATGGGTCTACATGGATATAGATCTAATTTATTGCACATGATATTCCTGATATGAAATGGGTCTACATGGATATAGATCTAAGTTATTTCACCTGATGTTCCTGATATGAAATGGGTATACATGGATATAGATTTATTTTTGTCACCTTATATTCCTGATATGAAATGGGTCTACATGGATATAGATCTAATTTATTGCACCTGATATTCCTGATATGAAATGGGTCTACATGGATAAAGATCTAATTTATTTCACCTTATATTCCTGATATGAAATGGGTAAACATTGATTTAGATCTATTTTTTTCAACTTATATTCCTGATATGAAATGGGTCTACATGGATATAGATCTAATTTATTGCACATGATATTCCTGATATGAAATGGGTCTACATGGATATAGATCTAAGTTATTTCACCTTATATTCCTGATATGAAATGGGTCTACATGGATATAGATCTAATTTATTGCACCTGATATTCCTGATATGAAATGGGTCTACATGGATATAGATCTAAGTTATTTCACCTTATATTCCTGATATAAAAAGGGGTATACATGGATATAGATCTAATTTATTGCACATGATATTCCTGATATGAAATGGGTCTACATGGATATAGATTTAAGTTACTTTATATATATTACTGATATGAACTTTGTCTACATTTGTATAGATTTAAGTTCCTTTATTTATATTACTGATCTGAACTTGGTCTACATGGATAAAGATTTAACGTACCTTACCTTATATTCCAGGGCATCGTTCCTCAAAGCGATCTTAGTGCTACGTCTATCGTATGCCGGTGTTAAAGTATGGGAGTTACGATCACCTTGGCGCTAAGATGGCTTTGTAGGAACAGGGCCCTGAACTAGGTCTACATGGTGAGGTGAGGTGAAATGGGGTTTAACGTCGCGTCCAAGATCATTGCACTTATATAGCGACGTGCATGTACGTGTGTGTGTTTGTTTGGCTGCTTGTACCAGTCCGGACTGATGCCGATTTATAGTGCTAGCTCACTAGTTTAACATGAATACCCCACTCAGACACAGTATACTGACTCCGAGCCGACCAGTCCTTGTTTTAGCCCCTTAATGCCGAGCGCCAGACAGGGTAACAACAAGTACCATCTTTTAACGTCTTTTGGTATGACGCGGCCGGGGATCGAACCTCGGACCTTCCGCTCTCCGGGCGGACGCTCTACCACTAGACCACGGAGACGGTAGGTCTACATGGATAGAGATCTAAGTTACTTTACTTCTATTCCTTATCTGAACTGGGTGTTCATGGTCATAGATCTAAGTTACTTTACTTATATTCCTGATCTGAACTTGGTCTACATGGATATAGATCTAAGTTACTTCACCTTAAATTCCCGGATCTGAGTCGGGTCAAACATGGTCATCACGTTGGACATCTTTCGGCGTCGTTTCATACTGATGCGTATCTGTGCCATAGTTGTATGGAACTGAAATGGAGGAAAAACCTGCACCCGATTCATTCGTGCGTGTGTTGTAAAGAAATAGTATAGGAATCGTGTTGTACTCTCGGTATGATACACTGTGTCAAGTTGTACTCTCAGTAAGATACACTGTGTCAAGTTGTACTTTCAGTAAGAGACATTAGGTCAAGTTGTACTCTCAGTAAGAGTGAGTGAGTGAGTTTGGTTTTACGCCGCTTTTAGCAATATTCCAGCAATATCACGGCGGGGGACACCAGAAATGGGCTTCACACATTGTACCTTTGTCGGGAATCGAACCCGGGTCCTCGGCGTGACGAGCGAACGCTTTACCCACTAGGCTACCCGACCACCCCACTCTCAGTAAGAGACATTGGGTCAAGTTGTACTCTCAGTAAGATACACTGTGTCAAGTTGTAGTCTCAGTAAGATACACTGTGTCAAGTTGTACTCTCAGCAAGAGACATTAGGTCAAGTTGTACTCTCAGTAAGATACACTGTGTCAAGTTGTACTCTCAGTAAGAGACACTGAGTCAAGTTATACTCTCAGTAAGAGACACTGTGTCAAGTTGTACTCTCAGTAAGAGACACTGTGTCAAGTAGTACTCTCAGTGAGATACACTGTGTCAAGTTGTACTCTCAGTGAGAGACACTGTGTCAAGTTGTACTCTCAGTAAGAGACACTGTGACAAGTAGTACTCTCAGTGAGATACACTGTGTCAAGTTGTACTCTCAGTAAGAGACACTGTGACAAGTAGTACTCTCAGTGAGATACACTGTGTCAAGTTGTACTCTCAGTGAGAGACACTGTGTCAAGTTGTACTCTCAGTGAGAGACACTGTGTCAAGTTGTACTCTCAGTGAGAGACACTGTGTCAAGTTACACTCTCAGTAAGAGACACTGTGTCAAGTTGTACGCCCAGTAAGTGACACTGTGACAAGTTGTATTCTCAGTAAGTGACACTGTGACAAGTAGTACTCTCAGTAAGAGACACTGTGCCAAGTTGTACTCTCGTTGAGAGACACTGGGTCAAGTTGTACTCTCAGTGAGAGACACTGTGTCAAGTTACACTCTCAGTAAGAGACACTGTGACAAGTTGTACTCTCAGTGAGAGACACTGTGACAAGTTGTAGTCTCAGTGAGAGACACTGTGTCAAGTTGTACTCTCAGTGAGAGACACTGTGACAAGTTGTAGTCTCAGTGAGAGACACTGTGCCACGTTGTACTCTCGTTGAGAGACACTGGGTCAAGTTGTACTCTCAGTAAGAGACACTGTGTCAAGTTGTACGCCCAGTAAGTGACACTGTGTCAAGTTGTACTCTCAGTAAGAGACACTGTGCCACGTTGTACTCTCGTTGAGAGACACTGGGTCAAGTTGTACTCTCAGTAAGAGACACTGTCAAGTAGTACTCTCAGTAAGAGACACTAGGTCAAGTTGTACTCTTAGTGAGAGACACTGTGCCAAGTTATACGTTCAGTGATACATACTTTATCTAGTTGTACATTCAGTGATAGACACAATATCATGTTCTACTTTCAGTAGTAGACACTGCACCACGCTGTACGTTAAGATGAGGTAGGTATAGTTCCGTCCACTTACCTGAGGTGACGGGATAGCAGTGTCGCAGTAGAGCGTCCGTATTTACAGGCCGTGCGCCTGTCAAACTCTCCACTCCAATACGTGCACAGACAAGCTACATGGTGAATGCAGGTTTCCATTTGAAATATGCACAACTGTTTCAATACTCTGCTGTAATCCTCTGTGTGGTGTTCATTCATAACATAACCGTCGCCCCGTTATGGTTGACGGGGACAAGGGGTGGGGTTAGAGGGGGGTATGTGTATGTGTGTGTGTGAGGAAGGGGGGGGGGGGGGGGGGGGGGCGTCTGTCGTCTAAGTGGCCTCAATTCGCTGTGCAGTGCTGCATCGCCTCAGAGGGTTGTGTTACCTACATTAGCTTATTATCCTTGGTTTCTTACTTACTGACTGACTGACTGACACTCACTGACTGACGGACGGACGGACGGACCGACCGACCCACCGACCGACCGACCGACGGACCGTCACACCAAAGACCCGGGTTCGATTCCCCACATAGGTACAATGTGTGAAGCCCATTTATCGCCTTGATATTGCTGGAATATTGCTTAAAGCGGCGTTAAACCATACTCACTCACACCAAGAAAATAAGTAGGTCAGGCTATTCTATTTAGTGTTGCCGGTTTTGGTTTGGTTTGTTGTTTTACGCCGCACTCAGCAATATTCCAGCTATATGACGGCGGTCTGTAAATAATCGAGTCTTGTCCAGACACTCCAGTGATTGACATCATCAGCATCGATCCACGCCATTGGGATACGATGACGTGTATCAACCAAGTCAGCGAGCCTGACCACACGAACCCGTTAGTCGCATCTTACGACAAGCATAGTCGCCTTTTACGGCAAGCATGGGTTGCTGAAGACCTATTCTACCCCGGATCTGAGTGTTGCCGGAGGGCACTGCAATACAGCAGAACAGAACAGTTCAGCTGGTTTCTGTTTATTTTATAAGCAAGTTGTTGCTTATTTACATCTTATGAGATGTTGCATTTTAAAAATAATTGTTTGTGTTCTTCAGGCGAAAAATTGTTACGTTACGAAGATGAGAAAACGTTTACCAAAGAAACTTTCACAGACGAATCTTCCACGGCACGAAAGTCTGTTCGATTTTACATTGGTCAGGTGGAATGAAGATAAACCTGCTTTTGTTGATCATAATACTAATGTTAGCCCGAATTAAATCTCTACGCGTTCGGTTTCCAATGATATTCAGAAGGTACTAATTCGGTCAAACATTAATCTAATTTAATAGAAGTATGTCACACGGGAACGTCTTAACCACAATGCTATAATAATACGTACCAATGATAATGAAGTAGAAGTACGTCCCGTGGTTAGTGCTTAGTGAAAATGAAGTAGAAGTACGTGATTAGTGCCTAATGACAATGAAGTAGAAGTACGTGATTAGTGCCTAATGACAATGAAGTAGAAGTACGTGATTAGTGCCTAATGACAATGAAGTAGAAGTACGTGATTAGTGCCTAATGACAATGAAGTAGAAGTACGTGATTAGTGCTTGATGACAATGAAGTAGAAGTACGTGATTAGTGCCTAATGACAATGAAGTAGAAGTACGTGATTAGTGCCTAATGACAATGCAGTAGAAGTACGTGATTAGTGCCTAATGACAATGAAGTAGAAGTACGTGATTAGTGCCTAATGACAATGCAGTAGAAGTACGTGATTAGTGCCTAATGACAATGAAGTAGAAGTACGTGATAAGTGCTTAATGACAATGAAGTAGAAGTACGTGATTAGTGCTTAATGACAATGAAGTAGAAGTACGTGATTAGTGCCTAATGACAATGAAGTAGAAGTACGTGATTAGTGCCTAATGACAATGCAGTAGAAGTACGTGATTAGTGCCTAATGACAATGAAGTAGAAGTACGTGATTAGTGCTTAATGACAATGAAGTAGAAGTACGTGATCAGTGCTTGATGACAATGAAGTAGAAGTACGTGATCAGTGCTTAATGACAATGAAGTAGAAGTACGTGATTAGTGCTTGATGACAATGAAGTAGAAGTACGTGATCAGTGCTTGATGACAATGAAGTAGAAGTACGTGATCAGTGCTTGATGACAAATAAGTAGAAGTACGGGATAAGTGCTTAATGACAATGACGTAGAAGTACGTGATCAGTGCTTGATGACAATGAAGTAGAAGTACGTGATTACTGCTTTATGACAATGAAGTAGAAGTACGTGACCAGTGCTTAATGACAATGAAGTGGAAGTGCGTCATCAAAGCTTAATGACAATGAAATAGAAGTACGTGATTAGTGCTTGGTGACAATGAAGTAGAAGCACGTAATTAGTGCTAAATGACAATGCAGTAGAAGTACGTGATTAGTGCTTAATGACAATGAAGTAGATGTACGTGATTAGTGCTTGATGACAATGAAGTAGAAGTACGTGATCAGTGCTTGATGACAATGAAGTAGAAGTACGTGATCAGTGCTTGATGACAAATAAGTAGAAGTAAGGGATAAGTGCTTAATGACAATGACGTAGAAGTACGTGATCAGTGCTTGATGACAATGAAGTAGAAGTACGTGATCAGTGCTTGATGACAAATAAGTAGAAGTACGGGATAAGTGCTTAATGACAATGACGTAGAAGTACGTGATCAGTGCTTGATGACAATGAAGTAGAAGTACGTGATTACTGCTTTATGACAATGAAGTAGAAGTACGTGACCAGTGCTTAATGACAATGAAGTAGAAGTGCGTCATCAAAGCTTAATGACAATGAAATAGAAGTACGTAATTAGTGCTAAATGACAATGCAGTAGAAGTACGTGATTAGTGCTTAATGACAATGAAGTAGAAGTACGTGATTAGTGTTTGATGACAATGAAGTAGAAGTACGTGATTAGTGTTTAATGCCAATGAAGTAGAAGTGCGTGATAAGTGCTTGATGACAATGAAGTAGACGTACGTGATTAATGTTTGATGACAACGAAGTAAAAGTACGTGATTATTGCTTAATGGCAATGCAGTAGAAGTACTTGATTAGTGCTTGGTGACAATGAAGTAGAAGTACGTGATTAGTGCTTGATGACAATGAAGTAGACGTACTTGATTAATGTTTGATGACAGTGAAGTAGAAGTACGTGTTTAGTGCTTAATGACAATGAAGTAGAAGTACGTGATTAGTGCTTAATGACATTAGAGTAGACGTACGTGATTAGTGCTTAAAGACAGTGAAGTAGAAATACGTGATTAGTGCTTGATGACAATGAAGTAGAAGTACATGATAAGTGCTTAATGACAATGAAGTAGAAGTACGTGATTGGTGCTTAATGACAATAGAGTAGACGTACGTGATTAGTGCTTAATGACAGTGAAGTAGAAGTACGTGATTAGTGCTTGATGACAATGAAGAAGAAGTACGTGATAAGTGCTTGATGACAATAGAGTAGAAGTACGCGATAAGTGCTTGATGACAATGCATTAGAAGTACGTGATTAGTGCTTGATGACAATGAAGTAGAAGTAGGCTGTGTTGCATCATGCCTATGACCGATGTCACTTCGTTGTCTGTAGTTTTTTTGTGTTAATGAAAAAATGTCTGTCTGGACAGTATCCGACTTTTTATTTATAAGAACTGACTGCAACATATGTTACTCGACATAAAAGGAAAGTTGACTGAAGACCTTCTTGTCATACAGTCTCGTGGAAAGGTTTTTGTTGCTCTAAATCTTTATGCATAGATAATTATGTATAATAAATATATAATAAATACACACTGTGCACTTTATGAACGTTATACATAGACATGAATAACATTAATTCAGGTAATGAAGTGTACAACGCTACACATGTTGTGAGCGTGATGAAAAAGTTACGATTGTTTTACTTTTATGGCTGGCTGCATTTATTGGTTACTGTTATTCATGTCCATGTACATCGTGAAGATTCGGGTTAGAATAAGTCTTCAGCAACCCATGCTTGTCGTAAGAGGCGACTAACGAGATCGGGTGAGAGGAGAGGTATTTACATAAGCAAGTTTTGCTTGTTAACCGATTCAGATTTCTTTTGAAAGGAAAATATGTTTAAACCATAACGAGATCGGGTGGTCAGGCTCGATGACTTGGTTGGTGCATGTCATCGTATCTCAATTGCTTAGTTCGATGATAACGATGTCAATCACTGGATTGTCTGGTCCAGACTCGATTATTTACAGACCGCCGTCATATGGCTTGAATATTGCTGAGTGCGGCGTTAAACAACAAACAAACAAACAAACATGCACGTGTAGGGCTCCATTGTCCCTGTCAAGTTATACGCCGAGGGATGACTATAGGAATGATATACCCAAAATGGTAATAAGTTAAGAACATACAGGCTTTTTAAATCCGACTTGACTGTTGAAAACTCTGTTTTTAAGCTTAGATATGAGGACCTACGCCGTGTTTTAGCTTTGTTCCGATGAGAGAGGGAGAGAGAGAGAGAGAAATATCCGCACAACTGAAGATGAAAACCACTTTCTTATATGTTGTCCAATTTATAAAGGTTTAAGATATTAAATATTTTATGAAGCTTCAAATGTATCAAATGAGTTTTTATACCCTTGATGATATGCATAAGTTATGTTTTATATTGAAATCGGACGACTTACAGCATTGTTTATCTAAGACCCTTTTAGAAATGTATAAACGATTATCTTTTATATGAATTGTTTTTAACAATACTTATATAGTGCTGAAATTGTTATAGCTTGTTTATTAATAATATGTTTTATATGTTTTCATCGTGTCTCATAAGCCTTATGGCTGGGCGTTACATATTTTACTTATGTATTGAGTTTGTATAAAATTGATCTGTAACATTGTAGTTAGTGAGTGAGTTGGGATTAACGCCGCTTTTAACAGTATTCCAGTTATATCACGGCGTGTCAGCTTAATGTGGAAGGAAAGCCCGAAGTGAAGCAGGTCTCAGACGTTTACCACTTCGGTGAAACCCACGAGCACGGGTGTGGTGCTGACATACCTAGAAACATAATCGGGGCGAACCGGGATTCGAACCCACAATCATAGGTTTCTGGCGTGCCCAAGGGACGCAACTTTGCACAGCGAATCGCGGCGCCTTAGACGACTGGGCCAGCCGTGCCCCCCTGTAACATTGTAACGCGTGACACGCGTTGACTTGGTTGATGCATGTCATCGAT